TTGTTAAATCCGCAAAAGAGTACCTAAGCGCCCGTTTAGTTCCTTTGCTCGATTTGTTGCCTACCTATATACCCTGGCATATTTGACAATTACACTTGCTTAAAAAATCTATATCTATAGGATTTATTTACTACATAGATATATCTACTAGATCTATAGACTATGTTATAGGGAAATCTATATAGATATCTATAGATATTTTAAACCCTACTTATTGACTTTAGTAAGAAGACAGTAACTTTAGTAAGAGCTGCTGTCTGTGTTAGTGAAACAGTAACATAGTCTTGATGTAAATATACGGTTCCTATTGTAGGAATGTCGCAAAAACTAGAACCTAAAACATGTAATAGAATCACTGTTAATAGAATAACAGAATAATTATGCTCTATGAAGGATAGAGGGAAAATACAGCATGTATAGTATAGTTATGTGTTAAGTGTCCTACTAACTATCCTCTCTCGTACACCACCCTCCCCCTGGGAATTGTTAATTGTCAAGTTTTATCCCTTCCTTCTCCTTATTTTAGCCTGTGTATTTTGCTGATACTTTTATAAGTGGGCTCTATAGCACTGTAAACGTATTAGTAGATAAGAACTTATCCTAGGAACACCACGTAACACTCAGTAGAAAGTCTCCCGTGCAATTGCTGACTGAAATACTTACCTAGGTTCAGAGTGCTCTTTTTAGTATGCCCATAAAGTAGGAGATTAGACTCAGCCCACGCGGGTCTCCATGCGGGCAACTTCCGCCTCAGCCTGAGCCTCTGAATGGAAGATTTGCTTGGTGCCTATTTTCCACCCTTTTTTACTGTTTGATACATCATACTGGCCTGCCGAGACAAAGGAGTCGACAACCCGGCTAAGCTGCGATGACTTTACTTTGACGTATTTTTCAGCTTGAAATACATTGTTGCCTGAGTGATAAAATGCTGCAAGCAGTATCTTTTCCGCAAAGACATTAGTAACAAGGAGGGTAACCAGAATCAGGATTGCCTTAGAAAGAATCATGGTGGATAGAGTATTTATATGTGATGTAGGAGGATAATAGAGTAATAAAGGGTTTAAGAGTCTGTAATACTGTGCGTAGAGACTTGTGTCAGTAGGATAGGCAAGGGTCAGAGACAGGTATTTATAATTCTAGAGGTTCTTCTAGATCTATATTTTATATAGGTGTTCGACTTATAACATACATGTGTACCGGCGTCGCCGCTAAGGTTATACTAGGGTGGATATATAGTTCATTTAAATATAGAGTAATAAATTACATTTACTAGAGTGCTGTAGAACCCATGTCTTAATTTATACTTTTCCCTTTGCTAGTAACTAGCTCTCATAGAAACGTCTCTCTGCTAACGATGCGCGGCAACACCGACAATCAAGTAGTACCTAGTCCTACAGTTATTAGGGCTCGGGCCGTATACCCTAGCACCGACCTTCAGCGCCAGCCGAAATAGATGCTACATTAACCGCGTCCCGGCGACTGCCGATAGGCCAAGTGGGGCAAATGCTATAAACATTAATTACCTAGATAGATACCCCTACCTTAAGTACATTAAAAATATTATGCGTGCATTTGCCAAAGTGCTAGAGTTTAAGCAGCCACTACTCCGTAGAGTGTACTACAAATAGGGGTGCCTCTACTGTTGTATGCACTTTGTTAGCAATTAAATCTTAGGTATAAAGGGATAGGGAATAGTTGTTAAATTGTAGGGATTGTAATGGCTGATTGTGTTAAATGTGGCAGAAGTACACGTGAATTAACTGCCAAATGTACGGTTGCCCTATGGCGAATCGTTAGGGAATAGGCGGTGAAATAGCCCCCCTTTACAGGTGATCTTACTAATCATATGGCTAGGATTAGCCTAGGATTTCCTAACAAAGGAATAGGGGGGTTTCCCTATTCCTATAGGATTTCACTATAGTTATATAACATATAACATAATATATTTAACTAACTATTATAATCCTTACTATTTAAGAATAATAGTTATATAATAATTATATAAATTTAAAAAGACATTAGATTTAAATAATTTAAAATAAAAAAGATAAACTATTATAGTTACTAGTATTTAGCTAGTGCACTTTTAGCTAGTAGTTAGTAATTTAAGCCTATTTAGGAAGGCACTACTAACACTACTATATTTATCTAATATAAATAAAATAATTATATTCTATTACTTTAACTCTAGCTAACCTAGACCTTAACTACCTATAAGATAATTACTTAGTTAATAACTAACTAGACAAAAAGGTCTAGTCTTACTTCCTCTAATGTTAGAGGAACAAGACAGAAGCGTGCTTAAGTACTCTAGGTCTCTACTTCCTTATAATTACCCTCCTTCCTAGGAAATTTGTCCTTGAATTTCTAGGCTAGGAGTTAAAAGCAAGTAGGCGTCCTCACAGGGTAATTCGCCTAGCACTCCTAACCAGCCGGTTCGCTAGAGGCCTGCCTAAATCAGCTCCAGGCCTGTCCCTTCTGGGCGTCTGGCCTGCCCCACTAGGCAGGCCCCTTCAGCTCTTACGCTCTCTGGCTGGCTCCTCGGCCTCTGCCGGCATCAGCCTATTAGCTGGAAAACTCTGATCTGGTGGGCCCTTTAGGCAGGCGCCACAGCTCTTATGCTCTCTAGCTGGCTAGAAAATCCTGTTCTGTAGGTCCTATCAGGCAGGCCCCTACATACATAGTAGGGCTGTACGCTAGCCAGGTGTACGTAACAGCAGTTATATTAGGATTTAAACCTACGACTAGAGGAAGCAAGATAATTATAAGATAATTACTTAGTTAATAACTAACTAGATAAAAAGGTCTAGTCTTGCTTCCTCTAATATTAGAGGAACAAGACAGAAGCGTACTTAAGTACTTTAGGTCTCTACTTCCTTATACTACCTTAACTACTAACTTAATATATCTTTAAGAGCCTATATATCTATAGAAGATATATAGGGTTAGTAGATAGGGTAGTTAAGGTCTAGGTTAGAATTTAGGTTAGTTAGAGTTAGGGTAATAGAATATAGTAATTTTAGCTTCTATATAGTAATACTTTTAGATTAGATTAGACACTAGCTACTAACTAAAGGTGTACTAGCTAAATACTAGTAACTAACTATTACTAGTAATTAATTAATTAATTAATTAGAACTTTATTATATTATATAACTATTTATAGTCTATATTTATCTTAAATTTTAAATTAAGTACTATACTAACCCTAGGAGAAAAAAGTAAATAATTAAAAAGTACTTCTATTAACCCTAAAGTTAAGGAATTTATTAGTAGTTAGCCTACTAGCTACTTCTTAATAACTAGGAGATTTAAAGAGAGCTACTTCTACTTATATCCTTAGGCCTAGAGTTAATAAACTAGAAGGCTACTTACTATTTTATAAGGTAAATAAAAGTCTTAATATAAAGGATATACTTATTACTATATATAAGTAGTAGATTTACTAACTTAAGAAAGTTACTAAAGTATATAAGCTATATATAAAGGTAAAGATAACCCTAGGGCCTTATAAGCACTTTATCTAGATAAAGTATATCTAGAAATCTAAATAATAAGTTAAAAAGATTACTTTTAAGGTAGTAAAAATAGTAAGGTTATAAGAGATTATTAAACTTACCTCTTTTTAGTATTAATTCTATATAGTTAAGCTATACTAATTACAGTCTTATAGTAATATAAGTTATCTGTCTAGATAGTAGTAGGGTTTATTTGTTGCTGTTTCAAATAAGGGGGTGTTTAAAATAGGGGTGCTTTGATTAGTCCTGGTCTGGGACAAGCAGATGCATTCCCTGTTCCGAAATAACTGCAGATTACATTAGGCGATTATTTTACGTTAACTATACTTATATATACCTAGATTGGCATGCATTTTGATTTACATAGATCTAATTGATCTCCTCCTGCTGTGTCTCCTTTCTTCCTGGTGTTCTTACTATTGTGTTTTCCAGGGTGTGTCTTGATACCGTCTCCTTTATATCACTTGCTGTTTCAATGTCTATCAGAACACTGGCAGTTTCAAAAGGAAATTGGAAAAGAATATGGTTATCAAGCAGACAAATCATCATGACCAGTTTTGTATCTCAGCCATTACCAGGCCTATCATATTTGCAATCCGCATGTCCAAAGTGCCAGGTCCGAACGCTTTATGTTTGACATTCCATGCTACAAGTGAGATCCTGGGTTGTATGCAAATACAAATGTGAATTCAAGACAATTGGCCAAGATCTTCGTCTACCTGCAAAGGTTTGTCTGGCTATCTAGGTAGTTTCAATAAGCCTGAGGCAGGACGGCACCTAGATATGTGGAGGGACGACACGTGACCGAAGCTTAGCCACGGTGAGGCGTGTGCTTAATCAGCGGCAGTGGCAGCTCCTACACGCGTCGGGCTACTGCGTCCTGACCTAGCCCATCTGCGGCATGACGTCAAAGTCCCCTGTCAATGCTCATAATTCAAGGCAGTATCCGTATTACCTAGAAGCTTCAAGTTCCAGAGCCAGTTCGACGCCCAGTTCCAACAAAAAGGTGGCCGCGCATCCAGGGATTCATTCATTCGTCTTAGCGTTGCGCCACTCCCAGAAACAGGGGCTCGCATGTGCTTTTCAAGCGAGCAGGCATCGAGCGACGCCCGAGGGGCTGGAATGCCGCAATCCGGTGATTTGATTTGCTGCCTGTCGTCGTGTCAACCTCCGAAAGCTTGAGCCGGTTCTGGGAAACATGGCAGCCATGATATGATGGCTCGTAAGATTTGTCAATGGCGTGCCAGGCGGCATAAGCAGCAGATGACGCGCGCTTTGTTCTCTGCGGTAAATACGATGGGGAGTCATCTACCATGAAAGATGTCCGTCCCCTCGTACAACACGTCTCCTTCCTCTTCCCGACTCCTGATCAAGCGCCGACAAGTCCCCTTTTTACCCCTCCTCAACTCCTCATCCTGATTTGCAAGCATCCCCAAGCCACCTACCAAGCACCCGTCCACCGCGACGACTCAATTGCCCATCATGGGAGACCAGGAACCGACCCCCGAGAACCACACCATGATGCAGGGCTTCGAGTGGTACGTCCCTGCCGACCAGAAGCACTGGGTGCGATTGGAGAAGCACGTTCCGCAGCTCAAGCAGTTTGGAGTCGACAACATTTGGATCCCGCCAGCGTGAGCCTCCTCCGGCCGCTTCAGTGCTACCGCAAGCGGCTAGCTGACATCCAATTTTAGATGCAAGGGCTCGTCCAAGACAGGAAACGGCTATGATATCTATGATCTGTATGTCCCCGGCCAGCACACTTCAACTCGAGCAACCAAGCTGACCTTGAAAGCTACGACCTCGGCGAGTTCGACCAAAAGGGCTCCGTGGCGACCAAATGGGGGACAAAGGAAGAGCTCCTGCAGCTCGCACATACCGCCAAAGACAACGGTGTTGGCATATACTGGGACGCCGTCCTCAACCACAAGTTCGCAGCCGACCGCAAGGAGAAGTGTCTCGCTGCCGAGGTCGACCCCGAAGACCGCACCAAGTTCGTCAGCGACCAGTACGAGATTGATGCCTGGGTCGGCTACGATTTTCCTGGCCGCGATGGCAAGTATAGCGACATGAAGTATCACTGGTACCATTTCAGCGGCGTCGACTATAATGCTAGGAACGAGAAGACCGCCATCTACAAGATCCTGGGCGACAAGGGTGACCAGCAGTGGGCGGACAGCGTCGACAGCGAGAAGGGCAACTAGTAAGTCCTCAGCACTTTGCTTTTCTGGCTGCGTGTCTCTTATTGACGCTTCCGTGTTTCCAGCGATTTCCTGATGGGGTCTGACCTCGACTACGACCACCCCGAGGTCGTCAATGATGTGCTGAACTGGGGCAAGTGGCTGGCCAAGGAGGTGCCCCTCAAGGGAATACGGTTTGACGCAATCAAGCATTATAGCGAGGACTTCTTGCGTCAGTTCATCACCGAGCTAGACAAGGAGTATGGCCAGGGGTGGTTCTTCGTGGGCGAGTTCTGGAAGGACAGTCTTGATGACATGTCCGAGTACCTGGCGCGGATGGGCAGGCGCTTCACTCTCTTCGACGCCCCCCTGGTCTACAACTTCAGCGAGATCAGTAAGGGCGACGGCGCCGATATGAGAAAGGTTTTCGATGGAACTCTTGTGCAAAAGGAGCCAATCAACGCCGTGGTATGCTTCTAAACCTTCAATCTCTTGGATACAATCTAACTTTGGCAGACTTTGGTAATGAACCACGATACCCAACCTTACCAGGCGCTAGAAGCTCCAATTGAGGGCTGGTTCAAGCCAATCGCGTACGCTCTTATCCTTCTCCGCACTGGTGGTTATCCCTGCGTCTGGTACGGCGACATCTACGGCATCAAGGGAGAGCACCCCTTCCCGCCGTCGTGCGGCGGGGCTGTGCCAAAGATGACGCTTGCGAGGAAGCTATATGCCTACGGCAAGCAGGCCGATTATTTCGACTACGCGACGTGCCTCGGCTGGGTCAGGTACGGAACTTGGGATCGTCCCTTTGGCTGTGCCGTCGTTGCGAGCAATGCAGGCCCCGGGTCGAAGCGCATGCACGTCGGTGAGATGCACGCTGGTGAGGTGTGGACTGATGTTCTTGGGTGGAATGACCGGGAGGTCACCATTGGCGATGACGGCTTTGGCGAGTTTGTCTGCTCCGGCACGTCTGTAAGCATTTTCGTGAATCGGGAGGCGGGCGGCAGGGAGAAGTTCAACAAGGAATTGTGAGTACCATTCGTTCCCAAACGAGAGCTTATAGGCTAACCTGGGTAGTGACTCCAACATCTACGAGGAGTAATTAGGCGACAAGATACCTCTCTAGCCCACTGTCACATGGATTCATCGAGGCAGATCTGGAATGAGAAAATAGTATTCTGGACATTGTAAAAAGGGTGGCCATGACTGTCGACATTTAGCATGCATTTGCTACAATGTAATAACCCAGCAATTTCCAGTCATCACTGACATGTACGAATACAAGCCCTAGTACCAGACCCTAATATGGGTGTCCCACATAGAACGAAAACTCATCTACGTCCTCCGTGACTGGACTAAGCCATTTTCAACACCATCATCGGGTAGCCGTGGAGATGGAGCTCGGCCTGGTGTGGGCAAACAGCGTGCACGCAAGACAATGCCCCGCGTTCTTTAGGCGTCGTGAAGCAGAGTTGTATTCGCAGAGAGTTGGGCGAGGTGGGATTTGCGGCATGAAGGCAAATCAAGACTGTCTACGTCAACATGGGTACAAGATTGTATGTAGTTCTGCTTTCACTTGCCTGGTATTGAACAGCACCTGGAACACTTTGATTGCGTACTCTCAAAATATCTACCTCCTGGAGGCTATGGATTTGGTCTGTGACATGCACCAGAGGCTCACCTCGCCTGACTGCGCCCAACTATCATCTGAAAACCCCAGCATCAATGTGGGGACTGGTGAGGCCGTAAAGCTAAAGCTCTCGGTCCTTTCAACGTAAGATTCACAATTATTTCCAATTCAGCTTCCATCATATACCTCCTCTTGCTTGAAAGTTGTTTAACAAGGAAGAGGCTTTCAAGAAATGCCTCCAATATCATTACTGTTGTGACCCAATCGTCTGGTACATCATGTGACCTAACTGGGGCATAGAGTTTAACAGTAATAACATCGATACTCAATTGGCTCCTGTTGTCACAACTTAGCACATGGAGATACGCTCCAGCCCTCTCTAGGACGCTTATAAATTCATGTCTTTCCCTTGTTTGGAAGTCATAGTGCTTTCGCGTCATCTTCACAGCTTTGCTAAAATCAAGACAGAGATGGTACTCCATTTTTGTTCCAAGCTTACCCACAAAACGCAATTATCATGCCTCCTGAAACCTTCATGCTATTTCCATGCATTGATTCAATATTACAGACAGGTTTGACCGCAGTTGTGAGGTTACAGCTTTGGATCAGCTAACAACACTGAGAAGCCAAGATAAAAAGGTCACGTTATGCATTCAGTGCTATTCAGCCAAAAGCTGAAGTTATGCTAGATCTTCATTCAAATATTATAGCAAAGCGAAACAGCAGTCAATCAAGAAAAATTATAGTATAGTATAAGGAGGTGTTGTTATACGCAACAACTGCATTGTTTTCGTTGTCTTTGTCCTTTACTTGTATGTAACTGCGTCACAAAGCTGAATAACTCGACATCTGTAAGAAGTCTGGAATACTCGTGGTTATACTATAAAGGACGGTTTCAGACTGGAAACGAGGAGAGGAAAGGACGAAAAGTTATGAAGCGGGGAGACGAGGCAGGAGGGACCTCTCCAGTCACTTCTTTTCATTTTCGAATTTTCAAAGCCTTCACCTTTCCTGGATTCGTTTTTCTTTCCATCTTCTCTTTCTCACAACTCCTGTTGCCTATCTTCAAACCCCCCGTTGCTCCTGACTGATAACCCTCACCTTCTAGGTTTCACTTCGAGAAAGTTCGGCTCTTCACTTGCAACTTTTCCTTTTTCTTCGACTTCATTGTTTTCATTATTCAAACTACTTTTCTTTTCTTCTTCAGCCTAGTTACTCATTTTTTCAAGTTTCTTAATAAGCTTGATCCTCCATTGCCGATCATGGAATCCGACGATCAAGACTCTCGCTTTGGTTCACCGCCAATGTCGCCGAAGAGGCAGCCGAATGAAGACACGATCGGTGCTTTGAGAGACGAAACTCCTCTTACTCTGCCCAGCACGGAGTTTTGCTCCTCGCCAGTGGCTGACTTGGAGACCTCCGCGGGTTCTTCTCCGACACATGGCCAGTTTACTATGCCAGCTTCACTTCAAGACACCCATGAGGCTCTTGCACGCTCTTCAGACTTCGACGACACCTTTACACCTAACGCCGTTTATCAACTTGCTGCTCAGCGAGCGAAAAGAGAAATGGATCAGTCTAGGCCGTCAGTGTACAGCTCGCAGATATTGGAGGCCCTCAGGAACACTACAGGCCCCGTTCGTCTCATTCCGACTTTACCCACGAGTGCTCCATTCACCCCTACGACTGTAGCGGATACCACATCCGCTTCGTCATTATCACCAAATCACAGTTTTATCCAGCAAACCGAGTGCTTTACTCCAGCGAACGCTGTTGCAGCAAGCTCACCTCATGACTCTGTTGCCGGCAACGACGCGATAGCGTCAAACTACGCCGCCACTCACGGGTTGAAGAAGTGTACCAAGTGCAAAAAAGACAGGCCGCTATCAGATTACGAATACATGAGTCCTATGGGACATCAAGTGCCTCGTTCTCAATGCGCCGAATGTCGAGAAAAGAGACGCGTCTCAGCTGCGCATGCCAAGATCAAGAAGGATGGAATTCGAGCCCAGGCTCGACTCCAGGCACAACACGCCCAACAGCGACAGCAGCAGCACCACGACCAGCAGCAGCAGCAGCAAGCTTCAGGAGGATTTCATGGCTTCGCTTCTCAGACGAACCTCTTGCATCCCCTTGGCCTTGGGACAGCGATGTTGTCACCCGCCCCAGATTGCAACGCCAACACGATAGCCCAGGGCCCGTCTATGGCAACTTTGTTTGAGCACATGCCTATGCATCTGTCCTCTACAGCCTTCCCATATCTTCATTATGATGGACTCTCAAATCTCCCAGGTGTAAGTATACTTAGTTACTGGCTTCTCGGCTGTACTTACTGTACTCACTGACAACATTTAGCCCGAAGGACCCTGCTCAGTTGCAACTTTTTCCCCGTCTACTCCCCATTCGTTGATGGGCCCTGCCTTCTCTAGCCTGTCTTTTGGTGGCTCTATTGCTGATGCACAGATGAACCGAGATCTCGAGGTATAATTCCTGGTCGTTGTACTTCATATTGTCGCGCTGACTGGTTTCGCTTAGATGCTTGAGTTGGACTTATTAGCTGCTGCCAATAACGCATCTTCACGATTACCGTCACCCAGCTCCGTCTTACCACCTGATCCGTCCGCGGAGTCGATCCCTCTCCAAGAACAGCAGCAGCAGCAGACAAACAACTGCCCCCATGGTACCCTCGTCACTGTCCAAATCCTCCCAGTGACCCTGACCGAGGCGGACATAGACCTGCTCCTCAACCAGGAAATGGAGAGGTTCCGCTCCGGCCGCGAGAATTGTCGCTGGCTGAAGAAACAAGACGAGGCAACTGTGAAGAAATTTTGGCGGAGACGGGAGGCGGCGATTGTTCTCGGACTCGTCACAGTGCCCCCTCCCAACCTGCAGCCCAGGATTGGATTTGTCTACTCGGAAGGCTCGCATGATATCCTGCCAAGCGGTAATGGTGAATACGAGGACAAAAGTTGATTTGGAAACACGGTTTTCTTTTATTCAAATGAAGGAATGTGAGCTGGGCTGTGTTGCGCCGAGGGCTGCTTGAGTGACCAGTGGAGTCTCATTAGTTAGTTGATAGTCGGTACCACCCATTGCCGTTTTTCTGAACAGATTTCTTCAGATATCCATGATTGACCGACATGGTAAGCTTATCTTCCAGGTTTGATGCCGCAACAATACCAAATTGCCTCACCAGTCGTCATGTTTTCGGGAATTATGACCTGTCAGTTGGGGAGCGAAGGAAATGTCTTTGAAAACAGGCAAATACACCAGCAATACATTTTTGCGGTTTAAGAGCTATTATGCAGAGTCACTTATTGGATGGTGATGCATGTTGAAGACGATGCTCCTATACACCATGGGCTGTAAGCTGACACCAGCAGTGCAAAACCTAAAGTCCAGCGAATTGACCATGGTCATCTTTTTCAGTCAGCGAAAAAGGAACAACGCTGGCTTCAGAGCGGCATGATATCTTCAGCCACAGTGCTTGGGCTTTCATGAATCTGGAAGGTAAACAAAGGCGAAACTTGTTTGTTGAGAGTTATGCAGACGCTTACGGTAAGGGTCATCAGGAATGATCTCAATTGAGCGATGATTCATTCCAACACTCCCTCAATATTATCTCTTCGTATGCGTCCTAAGACGTTTGTGGTTGGTCTACCTTCATGATGTCACCACTATTATGTGCGTCAACAACGTCATTTCGAGCATGCCGTGCGTCAAAGATGACGCACACAGACATCTCCAATCCTATAAGACTACAGGCCAGTGGCCTCTGTAGGTCGAATTCTCCATCACACAAGACAAAATGAACAGAATCGCCCTTAGACAAACCAGAGCTTTCGTTGCATCTGCATCTAGAGTTAGAACCATGTCGTCCCAAAACCCCATCCACGACGCCGCCAAGACAGCCGGCCAGAAGAAGGACACCAGTCCCTCGAACCCCAGCGTCATCTCCTCCGAGGGTGCCATCGGCAAGCAGTTCAACCCTGATGGTAACATTGGCCAGATTGGTAAGCGCCTGAGGCTCATCAATAGATCACAAGTTCATTATCCACTAACTCGCGACTAGGCGAGGCTGTTGGCGGTCCTTTCTCCAAGGATGGAGTGATCGGAAGTCAATTCGATGCTAGCAAGGATGGCATCGCTGGAACTGTAGAAAAGGCCGTGGATGGGCCTAGGAACCCAGCCAAGAAATAGACTCGCGTCGTTTGATGAAGAAAAGCGCGATCCAGCCACCAAGACCTCATTACAAATAAGTCCGCGACGGGACTATAATAAAAACTCCAAAATATTTCTAATGTTCGTTCTTTTTACTGTGAAAGACGATGCGTACGGAAGCGTTACTCAATTTCACGATATTAGAATTATGGCTGCCTTTGAATCAACCATCTGTGCATCTTACAGTCTTCCATGGACGGTTAAAAACAATATCAGAGCTATATTTTCAAAACGCGAATCGTTCAAACATTTACTCCTCTCCTGAACGTTTACGGTTTGCTAGCCCAAACTCAGAGCCTTATCACTGTAAGTTTGTAGTTTCAAGTGGCCTTGTAACTCATTACACTGCTGTTGCTTTCTGTGTTCATATCAACAGCCTGGTCTGTGTAATGGCCTCTCTTCCATACCTAAAGACACTGCCCTATAAAATCATTCAACACCTAGATCTTTAGAACCCGCAATGTTGAGATGGGATTGTGTCAGGAGACTAGGTTCCTGCCTTCTTGCACAAACTAGTAGATATAAGATTCCTAGTTACCAAGCTTATGAGTTTCCCTTTTGAGGCCATAGGTAAGAAGAATCTATAGTTTTTAGTCAGGCTCTCGTAAACTCGTACTAAAATAATAGGGTGAACCCGAAAATTCCATTTCTGCGATTAACCTTTTGACAACAAAACTTGGTCGTTGTACGAATAGATGTACTCTGTTCAGTACGCTTGTGTGTCATTTCGTTCCAAGCATATATTGGCCCCTTTCTGGGATTAACTAAGCGGCAACCAGTCTGCGCCCTTTGTTGCGGAGTGTTCTGAACTAATGAATGTTGTATGGCCATATGGCATCAACGTTTCAACAGAAGTCGTATATATTGTGATTTCGCATTTTTACCCTCGATCTCTGGGACATAATAGTGCATTCTTGTAAGCCCAAATATAATCTTTCAAGATGTTGCAATCTAATGGAAGCGCGGAATGGACCGTTCCACTGCTTTCAGAATGGCGAATGTGTTGGAGGGACCACCAATAAATTGTTACGTTGTAAAAGACCGATCCGATTCATATACATGATCGATCCAGTCTTGGCCAACCGGAATAGTTAATCTAGCAGGTGTAGGTTGAATACAACTTCACGTAATCAGAACGTATGATAGGTTCCTTTCTAGAATGTACGTATTGAAGGACGAGGCAGACAGGCAGTCTCTTTTTTGCTGCGAAAATCCCTGCTGTGAATGATGATACAGCTCTTGGATTAGCTCTTACTCCTAGGGATGCTTGCTTACCCACGGGCCGACTTCCGCCTTAGCATCTTGGCCAGTGGCAGCGGTTTATCAGATGCATCAAGCCGCTTTGATATAAGCTTTAGCCGGATCTTTTGGCTTTCGCACAGCCACCAGGCCGCCTCCTCTATGGCAACAGATATTTGAAGAACGTTCAGAGGCCGAATTGTCTTCTCATGAGTAGCACTCACATGCTCAACGTTCATGTAAACTCCATGTCTGCAACCCAACCTCCAAAAAAGAGACGGCCAGCAACCCGAAGAGTTCGGAACCCACTTGTGCCCCATCATGAAAAGGCAGGCGAGCGAGGAAGTTTGCCCAATAGTAATAGCACACATCAGGCAGCGAGACATTGTTCTCCTCAGTCTACGCATGAAAGCCCACCTAGGCAGACTTTTAGGGACTCGGCCAAACAGGGGCATGTGAGACAGGTCTTTGCCGAAAGGAATATCGATTTATCCAAGGCGGAGTAGATGCCGATCGGCTAGGCGCGGCCAGCCCGCGAAGCAGCTTGCAGCCCTCCAGCAACTACGCGTCCGAATGCTCCGTTCATGCCATACATCAAGGAGACCACGCAGCCACTCGAGGCTGTGTATCCGTATGAGAAACCAAGATGCGCGTCCAGTCGATTAATGTCTTGGCTGTGTACGTGGAATGCGTTTAACACGCTGCATACGGGCCAAGGAAAGCAACAGTCGGACAAGGTTCAAACCGCCCCGAGTCTGCCTACCCCGCGGCATCCACATCGGAGGCCATGACTTGGGCGGGATGTTCAGATTTCCCACACCGACTCTCAGGCGACGATGTAGGGGTGAGATCTACCTAGAGAAGAGGGTGCCGAGAGGGGCACGAGGTGGACTCGGCGCCGGGAGACGGGATGACATGGGCGCCGCACTGCACTCATACTGCATAGTACTAGCGTCGGTTACATCATACCAGAACGCATAAGCTGTCTCAGTCTCTCCTACCGCCTTGCGCAATGAGTTCCCCATGCAATCGGGCAGCCGCTTACTCCCATGTCCATCTGATGTTTCCCTCTCGTCTCTGCCCTCTCCCCCATTTAGTAGAAAGTAAGTCTCGCGGCCCGCTTTCTGACGGGGGTCGCATCTAAAGTACATAGGTAGGGCCGACCATACGCCCAGGAATGAAGAGGAGAAGTAGCTGATACTAGTGCCCCCAGGCACCACCGGCCGGTAACGCTAGCACAGATCCTAGTCAACGGATTGTCTTGTCATACGTCGCTCTTTTTCATCCTCCGCGCACGTCGGGATCCCATGAAGACATGATTCCTGGCTCTTGTTAACACATATCACCCTTGGAGGCTGCATCTGTGCCTTTCTCTCTCACCCTCTCCCAGATCCTTACGCAGTCCACACAGACGCGCCTCAGAGTCAAGATTTCGGGCAAAATTGGGTAGTCTGCAGAGCAAATAAGCCTAACCCCCGCTTCCTGTGTTTCCCGCCTTAGCCGGTGAGCCACGGAGCTCGCTAACCATCACCTGCCCCCCCCCCCCCCCGTCTGACTGTCTCTATTACCCAAAGCCAAGCTGCCGCTTCTCCTCCTTCAGACCCCCCCCGCCCTCATATTTACTTTGTGTCAGAAACGAACAACAAACAGGAACACCAAAAAAGTTCATTCCTTCCATTCTACTCTCGCCAAGAAAGCCTGCGGCACGCCTTGCCTTCGCCCGGTCTTACAGCCAGCGGCGGGATGACGCACGATGATGCGTGGCAGGGAATCGAATGGACAAGCTCTTCAAATATGCCTCGCGATTGGGATGAGCCAAGATGGGCTATGTTCGACTCTAATTCATTTCCACAAGAGATGGGCACTGGTCGTATCGCGGCTGAGTATATGAGGCCTTGAATCTCCCTTCGTTCCGGGTAGCCGTAGAGAGAACTGGGGTCTGTCGTTAGCTCCATCTTTCGTCGTTTGGAAGAATAAATTGACTCTGGTTTTGCCCTCTCGTGCAGTGCAGCCTTGTCATATGTTTCTTGTTTGTTTCTCTTGTTCAAGACTGAGGTCCATGATGCAGCTCGCCTTGACGCTCCTGGCGCTCGCCGCCGGCGCTTCGGCCGCGCCGCTCAAGGGCATCGACCGCGCGACCATACAGACTGAATACGACTTCATCATCGCTGGAGGTGCGTCGAACTTCGTCCCCCCGCTGTGATCCTGCTAGATGCTAGAATACTGACGCAAAGTTTATTCCCCCTCCAGGCGGCACAGCCGGCCTCGTCCTCGCGAACCGCCTTTCCGAGTCCGGCAAGCAGCGGGTCCTCGTCCTCGAAGCGGGGCCGAACCCCGAAGTCGTCTCGGCCTACAAGCCGCCCGGCGGCAACCAGTTCCTCGGTGGTACCGCCATCGACTGGGCCTTTTCCACCACCCCCCAGGAGCACCTCGACAACCGCATCCTCCGCTACCACCGCGGGAGGTGCCTCGGCGGCAGCAGCGTGACCAACGGCTTCTACTACGGCCGCGGCAGCGCCTCTGTGTACGACGACTGGGTCAAGATCGGCAACCCGGGATGGGGGTGGAGCGACGTCTACCCGCTGTTTATCAAGGTAAGTGCGCTTCTTCTTCTTCTTCTCCTTCTTCTTCCATTTGATTCTTTCTTTCCTTCCCGCAAACCGATATTGGGCATGACGTTCGCGAACGAAGCGGTTGACTAAATCCAACTCCCAGGGCACGCACTTCAACCCCCCAGACGATCACAAGGCCAAGGGCTTCGACGTTTCCTACAAGACCCACGACCCCTCGGCCTACGGCGACGGGCCCCTCCAGATTGGGTTCCAAGGATACGTGCCGCCCTCCGGCGTCGGCTTCATCGAGGCCGCCGCCGACGCCCTGCAGATTCCCATCGTCAATGACTACAACATGGGCAACAGCACGGGCGTCAAGCAGGGAACCGGGCACCTCGACGCCAAGTTCATGCGCAGCTCCAGCTACGACAGTTACCTCAAGCAGGCCCTTGGCCGCCCGAACCTCGACGTGCTGTTCTCGGCACCCGTCTGGAAGATCAACTTCAACACGACCGGCGCGAAGCCCCGTGCCCAGGGCGTTGCCTTCATGGACCACCCTACGGGCACCGTCTACGAGGTCAAGGCCAATAAAGAGGTCATCGTCAGCTCCGGTGCCTTCAACTCGCCTCAGTTGCTGATGGTTTCTGTAAGTTTTCGACAGCCCCTCGCCGTGAATGCACGTCGTTGGTTCTGACAAAAGACAAAAGGGAGTCGGCCCCTCCGCCCAGCTCAAGGAATTCGGCATCGACCCCGTTCATATCAACGAAAACATCGGCCAGCAGTAAATTTTAACCCCTCCCCCCTTTCCTTCATATCCTGCTCCCATGCTGACCATGGCATTCAAGCCTCAACGACCACTCCGTCTTCAGCATCATGGCGACCTCGACCCCCGAGTTCTCCACCTCGGACATGTCCGCGACCTACATGGCCCTCCGCGAGGCCCAGAACCTGTTCTACACCAACGCGACGGGCCAGTACACGGCGCCCTCGGGTATCACCAACGCCTTCCAGAAGCTCTCAGAGGACGAGCTCAACAAGATCGGCGCGAGCGACATCATCAAGGCGGGACTCGGGAACCAGTCGCACATCGAATACCTCTTCGAGAGCGTCTTCTACCCCGGCGGCCCCACGCCATATTACACGCCACGCAGCAACGAGACGTACATCTCCCTGACGGCCTCGAGCATGGTGGCGCTGTCCAGAGGCAACGTCACGCTGCAGTCGAGCTCCATGGGCGAGTATCCCAAGATCAACCCCAACGTAAGTTCTGTCACTCCTCTGCCCACCCCCCCCCCTTTCCCTTTTGCTTCTTCCCGCTCGCTTCACTCGTCTTGCTTCGACGGGGTATCACGATTGCGACGACGAACCGCCAAAGAACTGACCACCCCCTTCCCGCAGTACTACGCCCACCCGGCCGACCGCAAGATCGCCGTCGCCTCCTTCCGGTACCTCCGCAAGATCCTCGCGCACCCGCGCATGGCGGAGTTCACCGTGGGCCCCAACAAGGGCGAGGTCTCCCCCGGCGCGCCAGTGACGGACGACGACGAGGACGCCATCCTCGCCTACGTCCGCGCCAACACGATCCCCAACTGGCACGCCTCGGGAACGAACCAGATGCGGCCCGAGGCCGACGGCGGCGTTGTCGACCCCCGGCTGCGCGTCTACGGCGTCGACGGCCTGCGCGTCGTCGACTGCAGCATCATCCCCATCCTGCCCGACGTCAACATCGTCGCGTCCGTCTACATGATCGGGGAGAAGGGCGCCGCGATGATCCGGGAGGACTGGAACGATTCGTGTACATGATTGGACTTTTTTCGTCCCATTTTCTTTTTTCCCCTTTCCGGGTTGGGAGTCGAACCCCGCTGTGACATAGATTGTGCGCTCTTCATTACACCGCTCTTCTTTCTTTTCCGTGCTGATTGACAACGTTTCAGCCTCGTCCTGTTTCGTTTGGACCGCCATGAGTGTTGTAGTTGTCGGCGTCGACTCTTACCTGACCATAACAATAAATCAGTCATCATCACTAAGCTCTTGGTAACAACTTACACACGGTAATGATATTAGTCCGGGCATCCCACCGGTTGCGCCGTCCATGCAAACGAATCGTCGATCCCTCAGCCAGCCCCGCCCATCCTGCCATCTCAACCCTCTCGACTCTCCGTGTATGAGTTCCGTCTGGGTTGAAGATGCATGTTCCAGAGCGATTTCCACGGGCCTGGGCGGCGAGTGGGTGAACTATGGACGGGTCACCAAACAGCATGACGGCCTGAAACATCAACTTCCGCCGTCCCCATGTTCCAGCAGCCAATGGTGGCAAGACTCGGTGGTACAAGGCGACGGCAGATGGAGGCCTCTGTCCGGGGGGGGGCGGCTGTTTGGACGCCCTGCTGCCAGGCCCCTCTGCCCCCTCTCCCGTGTTTTGCAACGGAACGGTTCAGATGCCCGGAGCCTTTTTCATTAAAACCATCCGGCCCATAAGAGATATGTCTTTCCGAGAGAGGCCCATCCAAAGACTGAGCTTGTTTCAAAAACGAGACGGTCCTCAATGGACAATCAGCATGGGGTGGGTGTTCTGGAAAACCCCTACGCGACATTTCGTGCATCAGTTTGTTGTATGGACCCATGTTATACCAAGGTGAGATCAAGTTGAGAGACTGGTAGGCCATAACGGCACGGTAGCACAAATTATGGCGTTCACGCCAGGAACAAGTGAGGGCGGTTTTGAATTCTTTTTGTGGTGTTCTTTTTGATTGAGTAGCGTGAGCACCCAATCCTATCTAGTACACAATGTTCATGGCGAACCCCCATGATCCCGCCTCTTTCTCGCCAATGTAAAAATCATCATTCATACCGAACCTCCCTGGTCCCTATAGAACTCTTTTCATCCGCCACGGCACAAAGAGAAATAAGAAGAGTAAATAAATGCCTATCCCGGTTTGGGTGTAGTTGATCCCCATGTCAATCCCAACGCCCAAATAACAGATATCAAGCTAGTATATGCACAGAAATGGTATAGCGAACACAATGCCCGCAATAATGGTGCTAAAATGAAGGTGGAGTAGAGAATGTGAAATTAGAGCACAAGCGACTCTAGTCTTGCAAGAACGGGTTCAAGGCTGGCTGCGATGCGTTGCACCTTAGCCATAGCGACGCAGGCGTTTTGCTCCTCTTCTGAGGCATCGATCAGTTCGTAGCGGGCAAGAACCTTCTCGGTCTCGACGCCACCAAAGATGTCGACGTGGGAGAAGGCTTCGGTGTCCAGTACCACAGGGCTTTCGGAAGCAGGGACAGGAGAAGAATGGTAGAGAGCGAATTCAGGATCGTTCTCGAACTCATCGTCGAAAACTTCCTCTTCCTCAGCGAGGGCTTGAGCCTTGACCTCAGGAGCAAGGACCTTGGGAGTCTCGATGGCGGGGAGCTCGATCTTCTCGTCGTCCGACTCAAACTGCTCACCGACAAAGTTGGAAGACTTGCCAGAGAGAACATTGGTGTCAATGGTAACGGGGACGTCGGGGGTCTCGAGGACGGCAAACACCTGGGGCTGGAAATTGTAGGCATCATTGTCGATGTTGAGCATGGCGAAGTCCATGTTCTGCTCCGGGAGCATGGCTACGCCAATCTGCTGCTGCTGGCCCTGGTTGGCGTAGGGGTTGATGTCCTTAGGGATCTGACGCTGCTCGGGTTGTCTCTCGACCTTGACGGGAGCGGCAGGCTGGGGAGGAGCCTGGGGGTTGGTGCTCAGGTGGTCGAGGAAGTTGGAGAAGGATGGAGAGGCAAGAAGCATGCGCGTGAGATCTTGCAGGCGCTTGTTCTCGTCCTGAAGGGCGCGGTTGTGCGCACGGAGGTCACCGTTCTCGGTAACCTTGTTGGCGATCTCGGCCTCAAGCTGGGTGATGTATTCTGACACTGGTTAGCGAATGCTTGTGGTAGGTGAACGAGTATTGAACTTACCCTTTCTGCGGGAACGGAAAGCGCGGGCGGACACCTTGTTGCGGAGCTGGCGCCGTTCCTTGCTGCTGAGCTTCTTGCCCTCCTCGCTGGCAAGAAGTCTCTCATCCTCATCCATATCCTCCTCGTCCTTCTTGGTCCGTGGCAGATTCATGAGGGGAGAGGGGCTTTCGCCGTCCTCGCCGGATTTGGCACGCATAGAGTTGAGGAGCTGAGTAATCTTTTGCTCGACGATAGGGTCGGTGGGCTGTTGGCTCTTGGTGCGGGGCTTGTTGCCCACTTGCTGCTGCCGTTGCTGCTGGATGATCTGTTGTTGTTGCCTCTGCTGGGCCTGGGCCTTGGCGAGGGCAGCCTGAGAGTGCATGCCAGGCCACAGTCTGCCAACGTTGCTTTGCTGCGTCGGAGCGATTGGTGACTCCTGACCGGCGATGGCAGCAGGGTTGACAGTAGGGTTGGGGAAGAAGTATTGAGAGTCGGGCGGGGAGTCAAACTCCATGTCCATATCGAGGCCTGCGGAGTTCTGCGAGGGAGAGGTGTTGAAGTCAAAAAGGTCGTTCTCGGGGCTCAAGCCACCGCCAAGATAATCCATTCCGTAGCCGCTGTTGTAGCCACTGATGTGGGGGTTGATCTCGTTCACGGCCAGCGTGCTGGCAAGTGCGCCTGGCACGATGCCGGTCTGCTGCTTGTAGAGGTCGTACTGGTGGCTCGGGCCGGTGAGGGGTTGCGATGCCGAAGGCAGAGTCGGGGTGGCAACGGTGCTCACTGACGGGCGAGAGAAGGTGTTCTTTGCGGTAACGGCGGGAGAGAGCGAAGGTGACTGATAGGACATGTTGTCGTACTCGCTGAAGTCGAGAAGGGCGTCGATGTTATCGACGTTCTGGCTCGAGGTTGACATCGCTGTTGAGTGGAAGGGTTCGATCCCTCGGGTATCGATATGTAGGCTGGTGGATTCAGGTCCGCACCGGATCTGCGGCGAACCTCTGTTTGCGTTTGGTGAGACCCCGTTGACGACGGGGTTTATATGTTGACGGGGGATGTTGGTCGGCAGGTGCAACTCGGTGAGTGAGGCTCTTGACGATGTATGTCTATGCCTGAGGTGGTTTGGTTGAAGAGAAGAAAATGAAGTCAGAGATGGTTGAGGTTGGGGGGAGTCGATGGAGAAAAAGGAGGAAAAAGGAGTAGAAACTGAGACTGGATTTCGGGGGACAGTTTGGGGGGTGGTCTAGGCGATGGATGTATGGGAACGTAGCGAAAGGGAGCAGAGCACGGGGATTCCGTTTCTTGAATGATTTGGGTGCCTGGTCCTCGAAAGACTAGGGGTGTGTGTAGTGTAAGAAGGGCAGGCCAAGCGGACTCTTGCCGGGCTGAGCAGGGATGATGTGATGTTATGTGCCCAGGAAAGAGAAACGAGGAGCAAAACGGACAAGCAGCCTCCAAACAGCCCAGAGCAAGAAAGGGGGGGGGGTGAGGGCCGCCGGGAGGGAAAGAGGGAAAAGGGAAAGAGGGACGCGTAAGCCTATGGACAAGCACACCCGATTAGGACTAGTGCGGGGAAATGAGAGAGACGGGGCCGGGCGTCCTTGGCCGATAAGGGCCCGAAGAAGGTGCACTGCACTGAGAGAGTGCTCTTTCTCCTACCCACCGTTGCAGGAGCAGGAGGGAGTACGTGGTCGTAGTAGGTGCAGGTGCAGCCGCGGCAGGTGGAATATGGCAATGGCGAGATGGCTACCGCAGGCAACACGCTATAGAGGCAGGAAGGACTTTTGAAGGGGGGCAGGCACCATCCACAGGCAGCTATGCAAGGTCCTACTTTGGAAGAGGTAGGTACAGTAATACTACGTAGCCGTCCCCGGACGCATTCGTACGCCGTGGATTGTGCCCAGTGTACCTTCCTGCAGCATCACCCACGATAAGGGTACATATCCCCATGCTGAGGATGACGACGCCAACTACTCTTTTGGGTTGTTGAGCTTATTCGCTTCGTCGTCGTCGTCGTCTATTATCCAGGTAAGGTAGGGGGTTCTTTTCTAGTATTGCGCCGTCGGGCATCCTTTTTTGGTTGTTGTTTTGCTTCTGGACGCTATTCGATTTCATGGGCCTCGTCACTCCCACCGCGTGTTTCGATAATAGATGGAAGAGGAGCTGCTGCCGCCGCCTCTCGAGGCCATGGTTTCGAAAAGTTGCTTACGACGATACCCGCGACACACGCCTTATTGAAGAGTCTTTTTCCCTCTTCCCTCTTCCCCCTCCACCTCTTCTCTCCCCCTCCCTCGTTTTCGGTCCAACACGTGCAAGCAAAAGTAACGACAACGACATCCATCTATTGAAGGATCCGCCCCCTCTCCAAAAAGGAACCAAAAAGAATTTCTTGGCCGAGTCTCGTCGAGCTTTGAGGTGGTTGCCGGTATTGATCACGAATCCCGAATCCCATCCTAGGTACCATGTAGACTAGGTACCTATGTAGATACGAACAAGCGCTGACCCGGAGCTAACTCGCTACCCGACGGAGGCTGGCATTAGAGACCTTCGGTTTTCGCTTGCGACGACAATTATCTAAGCCACATTGTACCTGGTACATGATTAATCACCTAACGCTATCTATGGACACAGGTATCGCTACCATGCAATGTGGGATGGTGTGGCTGTTGCAGTTGGCGCGCGCTCTTTCTCCTGCTGGTTCGGGCGCAGGTTTGCGAGCCCCCGAGCTTGCTTCCGCTTGCTCTGCCCACCATCAACAAATGAGAGCTTGCTGTCTGGCCTCTGCTCGAAAGAAGGTTGTTTACCCGCGTGCTCAGCCTCCATCACTGAACCCCTAACAGGCTCATGATCGTCAATCTGTCCCTAGCTCCTCAGCTGCTCGAAGAGGGCTTGGAGAATATTTGATATGCACCCGCTATTCAGCCCCCCCCCCCCCCGTGCACCAAATCTCATCACCCTCGTTTAGATACAGGACTTATCTCCTTCTTTTTACGAACATGCTCAATGCCCTCTTTCGGCCTCATGGTCTTATCCGGAAGCTTTTAGACGCCTTCTTCAGCTTACCTGACATCTGATCTGGACCACAGTGCTCTTGACTCGCGGCTTCCGGCTTCTACCCACATCACGATCGGTACGTTTCTGAACAAAACGCTCAGTTTAACTAACCCTCTCGCCTTACCAAGGAGTGGGTCGCATGTGGCCATGCACAACGCAGGACCATTCTATGGCCGCTGCTCCAGCCCCGAGCGTCTTCTTCGCTTCATTCTGGAAATGCTGCTTGCTTGCTGCTCATCACGCTGTTTACGCCACTGTGGGAGGGGCGCAAATTGTTGGTGATTTCCGTTCCCTGCCCCTACCTCGATAATTCATGCACTGCCACGACGACCGTTAACACTGCTAACCCATCCCTCTGTCCGCCGTCCCCGGGCTATGCAACCTAGCCGACGCCCGTGAGCGATCCCACCGTAGAAACAAGGGAAGGCCAAGGAACTCAGATGAGCGACTCGGGTCTTCACTTGTTTATCTACCGTCCGTCGGCCAGAATCAAACTGATACCTAACAGTAAACAGAGACGTCGGTGACAGGGTTTAGACTTTTGCTCTCTGCCCCAGCCTGCACCCACCAGGGCGATGCGGAATAGAGGCTAACTACAGCAGACTACAGCCTCCCTCCCTGCGACTCTGCTCTTAGCCTCTCAGTCAGGCCGATACCCGTTGGAAATTGGACTTGTAGGCGCTGCCACCCCTCACCGTAGACTTGGAATGAACAACAGGTTCCTCTCCATCTCGCCTATCCTTGGTGACGGTTTGGAATCTGGACCGTGAGCAGTCTGCCCACTTTTGCGCTCCATCAGTGCGTGCTGGGCCGAGGGGACATTGGTGCGGCCATGACTTTGGAGATGTGCTGAGACTCGAAACCGACCCCGGCGCTGTATCGGCATTTTCCAACCATTGGAGTCGGCTCGCGGCTCCGTCACTCTGAACACAAATCGTCTCGGTCTCTGGCTAGCCAGGGCCATGCTCGTAACTGATTGCCCTCACCGGGCCCGAACGCCCTCCTACATTCCCGAAAAAAAGACCTCTTCCTTCTTATCCAAGGGGGGAGGGGTGGGCAGGGTAAGCTTACATAACTGGCTGGCTTGATTCCTCCGCTGCCCCACACCTCTATGCGCCGAGATCAGCATTACGGCAGCCCCAGCAAAGCGATTTGGTAGGTACCATCGTATGTGAGCCATGACGTTGTGGCCGTGATTCAAAAATAGAAACTGCCCGACCTTGTTTCACATGCGGCAATCCAGAACGCCAGAACGCCTTGCCTGTCCCCCGTTAGGGAACCATTACCGAGCCACGATACGCCGACATGCCGGTAGGGTTTCCGTGAAAGAATAGGGGGCTTCACCAAGCATGATCTATAGAGCGGTCCCAACTCTACAGCTCCAGACTATCCCGGTGAGGAGGGACCCCTGATATCCTGTTGTGCTTGTTATCCTATTTCACCCATGGCATCAGTTATTACAATCCTTCCGCTGCTTCTCGAGGGGATGGAGTCGGTTTGATCGCCCACATCGGCTCAATACTGGGGAGTTCGGGGAGTCCCATGTATGGCAGGCAGATCCGTCCAAGTTATCCGTAATGCTTCTTCATTATGGGTTCCTTTTCCGACACTGGAACTCGACGACTCTATGCCTAGCGACCAGACAAACCCCGAATAAAGGTTCAAAACAGAGAGAGCCACTCTCCCAACCCCATATTATCCATATGCTTGCTACGCTTTCATATTCCAGAGATTCATCCCCCTTCAGCGCCCGGCTCGGCCTGAGACCGGCCACGGAATTGGCTTCCCACATTCGGGCCCGCAGGCCTGCTCCACTTCGCGATATGCTTGGCCTATGCCGACAGAGAGTTTCCCAGCAAGATGGTTGCCGGCCGAGCAAGCGTAGCATCAGTGGCTCCCCGGGTCGCGTTCCGTAGGTCCACTGTCGGAGAACTAGGCCTTTCGCGCAAGCGTAACAGGAAGGGCATTGCTGCGCGACTCATATTTATTGATTATGATAGTGGAACGGCGCTCACGGGTCCCACCAGGGTCGAATTGGAAGCCCGGCACTTTGCTGGTCAGGGTCGACGAAACGGCAGGCAAGGGCCACTTCACTTCCGCCGTCGGCACATGATTCACAGTATGGGGTGTTAGCGGTAGGGGAAGCAATGAACTTCACAGAACGAACATAGACATATTGATGCTTGCATTTTGAGGCCCGATCTTCGGGTTTGGCACGAGGAGCGAGCGTGTGCCAATTAACCTTCTTAGAGGTCTCGGTCACAGCGCCGGTACCATTTCATTGGCTGCGTGGCTAACTTTCGGCCGGCGGGCTTATGTCATCAGAGACATCCGACCCATCCGATGCTCTCAGACTGGCAGTCAGCTAGTGTAGGTAGGTATTCATTCATTCCTGATAGCCGAGCTCACTTGCCATGTGGCTCCGCAAGGTTCGAATTGATGAATCAAATCATGTCCCAGTCCGTGCTCCCTAATGCTCGGTAAATGTTATTTTGCCACAACCTACAAAACGATTGTGGAGAGCAGGAGGGAGGGAGGGCCACATACGATATAATGATTCCAGATCCCCTGAAGATCAAATGTAGCCAAGACGTCCAAAATCAGGTTTCTTCCCTTGGTTGTAGTGTGGCTGCTGACAAGCCACTGGTGAGTCATGGTGATGATTGATCGATTGCACAGCCACCAGCCACCCTCACTGTGTTGGCGCTCGGATCCCTTCCCCTCTATGCGCCACATATCCGTATTCTGTATCCGTATCCGTACTCCGTATGTTTGTGCCACACCTGCCCTCTGCCTCTGGGCATGCCTGCTCGATATGTCGGAAGTACGTATATGCAGAGACGGCTGGGTTGGGGCTTCGCGATACAAGTCCATTCGATCCCCGGGCCCTACCGCACCGATTCCCCCGCCATCCAAACGTCACCTACCCTTGCATTTTCTTTTTGGCATACGGATACTACCGTAAAACTGGGAGTTGCAATAATGTGCTTGATGCCGCGCGAGGTCTGTGCCCAGATACACAAATGCCCAAACCGACCCGACCCGAGCCTCGACACGCCTGAAGCGAGCCGATTAGACTTCCCGAGGCTTTAGTCAGGACGTTATGCCTTGGGTGCCTTCCCCCTCCCCTCCCCAAACATCTCCACTTAGCAATCAGAGAGCTGCGGGGGAATGGCACCGTAGTGGTCTGAGCTGTCCCGCTCCAGCCGGAGATCTCGTAAAAAGGTTCCAGGTCAGCGGGCAGATGCATCTCCCACCCACCCCTCCGTCTGAACTAGGTTATGAGGCAAAGGCTGTTCTGTGTGTCAGGGTCGTCGTCGGACTGGGTGAGAGACGATACAGTTCAGTTGCGTCGTCGCGGGCTCTGGCTGGGTGTCCGCGAAGGCACGATGGAAGGGAGTAAGGGCTGGCGGTGTGGATCGTAGTTGAAAGGCTTCTTCTGCCGATCTTTAGCAGCCCCCGATGGTATGAAGTTGGTTGTGTTGGCACCCAAGGTACCCACCCACATGCAGAATGAAGCTTTGGGGAAATATCGCGGTAACTTGAGCGGAGGAGAGGGAGAGAGGCCGAGATGCTTACGGAGTATACCGGTAGCCTAGGCACGATTCGTCACCCCGCTGTGAGGACAACCCAACGAAACCCAGCGCCTCGAACAGACTTTTGGTGATACATGGTTTTTGAACAGACGGAAATAGAATTATAAAAACGTACCAGAGGCCAAGACCTGAGAGGCGAGAATCGTGCCGATGGCCGCCACTGCCTAGCCATTCAATCCATGAAACCACGCGGCCTCGTTTTAAACCAAACAGTCTCGTCTCTTGCTCTGTTGGGTCTTGGCAGCCGGACAACGCGATCTCATTCACGTCCAGTCCAACCATCAAAGAAGCATCGCGGGGCAGGTAGATGGCGTCTTTGGTTGAGATCAGGACGATGTTTGCATCGATGGCGCTATCTCATGAATGACACCGTCTTCCTCATGATCCGCCTTTAGCCAGATCAAACCCACAATGGCTGTCAGAACGAACCGAACGTAACCTTTCCCTGCAGTATCTTCTCTTGACACTACATAGAGTCGGGATACAGTTATACTAGATCACCAAGCAGTTCATCTCTTTGCATGGTCATAAGATACAGGTAGCATTTCGACTCGTCACTACAATTACATGATTCTTTTCCCGTGATGAACCGCATCGTCTGTTAAGGAGAGCGTAACGTAGTTGTCCTAGGTATCTGCGTCGTTTGGTGAACCTCGTCTGTGGCGCTTCCAACTGATACTAGCCACACAAAAGGTTTTCCTGCTTCACGACACATTCCATAACACACAACAACGCTATGCGTATTTCTGTTTGCTACGTAATTCTGCTAGAACGCAGCCATGCGGGCATGTTTGCGTCAGGTAGTGATCCCCTCCATCGGACGAACACTCACGGCATCGACAACCTTCCTACCTTCCTCTTCCCTAACGACGTCGAAGTTGTCCCAGTTGCTCGTGCCGTCTCGACAGGCTTGGAGGTAAAGGGGGATGCCGCCAAGGTAGTTGAGCTGCTCCCTCTTCTTGCCCGGAATGTTGGCGCCCACGTACCACGATGACTCGCACTTGCTGAAAAGCGTCGGCTCGTGGTTGGCAAGAATGATTTTCTTCCATTGTTCCACTGCCGACGGGTGTGGCTCGACGGATCTTACCCGCTCCTTACGGAGCTTGGTTAGGAAGTCGACAATGACTTCGACCTGCTTCTCTATGAACGGGGGCCCATTCGTAAAAGCCATGGGCGCTGTTTCCGTATTTGGTAAGCCTCCGGGGTAATCTGAATAGAGGGGGTTCTTCAAAATTGTGACTTACCTTGTGGCCCATATACGAAGAAGAGATTGGGACACCCCCGAGCCATGAAGCCGAGATAGGTCCAGACGCCGTCCTTCCACCTCTCTTTCAAGTCAACACCGTCTTTGCCACGTAACCCCATGTTCGTTAACGCGCCAGTCATGCTATCATACCCTGTCGCGAGCAAGATGATATCATGCTCCCTCTCCCTTCCGTCCTCAGTCATGATGCCCCGAGGAGTCCACTCGCGGATGCCCGAGCTCTTCACGTCAACCACCTCCACTTTGTCTTGGTCGAGGCACTTATAGTAGTCTTGCTCCAGGCTGCTCCTCTTAGTCGCAAAAGGGTACGGCGGTTCGTCGGGAACCAGCATGGCCCCTTTTTGCGGGTTCCGGATCCTCCCACGCGTTTTCTTGGCCCAGAACTCATAGGCCAGGCGGTTCGACTCTGCATCGATCAGAAAGTCTGTGTACTGGCCCGCTTGGAAGCTGAAGCCCCCGCGCTGCCATAGCTCTTCCCACAACGCGTCCCTCTCCTCGGCCGTGGTCTCTGATGTCGACTTCGGGTTGGACTCGGACGGGATGCCGTAATTACTCTCTCTTGCCGCTTTGAACAGAATTTCATAGAAGGACTTGGAGGTGCGCTGCTCGGCCTCTGTCATTGACGTTGTTTCATTGGAAGCGCGATGTTGATGTTGCGGACGTACACCGTCAGCTCCATGCCCGGCTGCTTTGCAATCTCCTGGACGCATTGAACGCCCGTCGCCCCGGCCCCGAGGATGGCAACCCGCTTGTTGCGGAAATCAACACCGGACTCGGGCCAGGCCGCCGAGTGCACCACAGTGCCTCGGAAGGACTCCTTGCCGGCGAAGCTGGGTTCGTACCGCTTGTACGAGCTTCCTGTCGCCGAGACCAGGAACCGCGACGTGATCGATCGGCTAGTGTTCGTCTTGACGATCCACCTCGCTGTATCGGTGTCAAAATCCGCACCTACGACGGTAGTGTTGTAGCTCACGTCCTTGGAGATGTCGAGGACCTTGTCAATGTGTCGGAAATACCCCTTGAGCTCCTCGTGCCCGGGGAACCGCTCCGTCCACGTCCAGTCTTTCCAGACTTCTCGAACGGTGAGTTGATAGTAAGGCGCTTCCGAGTCAACTCGTGCGCCTGGATAGCTGTTCCAGTGCCACACGCCTCCGAGGGAGGACCCGGCCTCTACAATGTGCGCCGAGAAGCCCTGCTTGCGGAGGAGGTGAAGCGCGTAGCACCCGCCAAAGCCGCCGCCAATGATAGTCACATCATAGTCCATGTTTTTGCTCTGGGCATCACTGCAAAAACCCTTGCCGTTGAGCCGGCCGTTGTCGAAATAGTCAGTATAGTCGATGGAGCCCATGGTTGTGGAGCTCAGGCGGACCGTGATATCGATACAGTCTGAGTCAGGAAACGTCTAAATGTGAGCAACAGGGGAAATATGTGACTCGTTACGGGAGGTATATCGTTTTAATGTTGTATGACGAGTGACCAAGAGAATCAGACGACGTGTCTGGGTTTCACGACATGGGGATGGTTCCGACGTGCTACACACGTAGCAGTTCCTCTCCTCTCGACACGCTCTAACGGCACCAAGCTCCTATGGGGTGCTTTTAACCACCGGGGAATTGCCTGTTTCTGGCAATCCATAGAGACATATTTGCTGGTCTGGAAGGACGAATGTGCTAGGTATCTCTTGATCGACTGATCCATTAACATATGGGAACGGTGGGTATCTCGGCGTGCAACCCTTCTCATGTCGGTAGCCTTATCTACGTTTCAATTTCTAGGCCTAATGGGGAAATACAATCGCGAGACAGAGTGACGTTGGTGTTTCCAGATCTGTCTTCCTGGTGGACGCCAACACAGATGAAATATATGCTCTGCTGGGAATTAAAGCCTGAGCAGTGGACTGATGACTTCTTTCTACTATGATTCTATAAGATGGCGATTGGGTTAGGCAGGAGAGCAGATCAGGTGTTAAAATCTATTGTGTAGATATCGACGTATGAATGACGAACTAATCCTGTAACCCAGGCGCTGAAGGCTCTGGTCAAGGCACATTTGCACTCGGCAGAGCTGTCGAGACGCAAGCGGGGTTGCCAAGGTGGTATTCAACATATCCACCCGGCCCTGTCGTTTCTTTTCCTTTTAGTAATAGGCCGGACCACTGGCTGGTTCAACCACGCTGAACGAGGGGTTCTTCTGCGAGCAGCCAGCGGTCCATCCGCCGACGGTATCATCGATGACGGCGTCGAACGCGGCTCCGCAGTTGGGGTGGGTTAAGTGTGGGGGTTGGGCGCGACCAGAGAGTTCTCTCGTCATTTTTATGGCAGGGAAAAAAGATGGAGAGGGAGAGCGGAGGAGGGCAAAAGAAGCGGGGTGGGGATGGATGAAAAAGAGTTCACATGTCGATTTTGTGTGCGTTCATGGCTGTGTGTGTATATGTGATTAACGTTGTTTGTTGGCTTGCTTACATGGCGCCTTTCGTGGCGTTCTCAAAAATACGAGTGGATATTATCTGTGAAGCAGTCCTGCGTGTAGACGTTGTCCAGAGCGGCAGCCGTTGCTGGAGTAGCTAGCGGGGGAGGGGAGGTTGTCTGGTTGGCATCTCTGTTCGCTCAGGCCAGGGTGGTTGGCCGGCGATAAAGGAAGAGGATTACAAGGCGGTAGTATAGTCTACAGGATGAGGGATAAGAAGGAAAGAGAAAGAAACAAGCAGCCGAGTTGAGGCAGCGTTGAACGGACAGGACTCACTCCCCGCCTGTGCCGTCGCTGTTGCGGCCGTAGTTGCTGTCGACCACGCCTGTGAACCGGCACGTGCGCCCAGCCTTATTCGTTCTGATCGACGTCGCGGCGGACCAGACGCGAAGGCAGGTCATGGAGTGCTTGTCCAGCGTCGAGGGGTGGTGGTGGGCGGCGAGTCGGCTCTGCGGGGAGTTGTCTAGGTACTCAGCGTGGTCCAAGGTGGTTGGTTGTTGGGGGCCTTTCTCCATTGCTGTATGTTTGTTCCCGTAGTAATGCCTAACATTACAACACACTGATCTAGCCCCTCGAAAACTCGTAAAGTACTAGTAGATTCCCATACCGTATTGCCAAAGCGAGGCAAAGCTCCGTATGGGGGAAGAAAGAAGATACGTGTTGTTGGCTTCGTCTGAAGTGTGGTTTGTCCTAGGTAGTGGGCTGATAGGCTACCTCTAATACACAGCATATGTCATGTGCCTGCATGTAAATAGTCAACCGTTCTTCTTATAGGCTGGTAGACAGATAAGCCCTGGCTCCTTGCACTTATTCCCGCTATACAACGTGTTGTTTTGTTTACAGAACACTTAAAGCAACACATTAGTTGTCTAGTCTTGTTTGCAAATGGATTTCCTCATTTTGCTGCCTCCAAAAAATGTTGATCGTCATTCGTGCCGTCAAGCTCTACCGTCATGAACTCTTGTTTTGTTGAGTCGACAAAGCGAAATTAGTTGCCGAAACTACATGGCATTAGGATCTCCAATGGGAGTGTTCGTCGACGTGGCTTTGGCTTTCTGGTCTTCACTGCCCGAGCCGGAACCGTCCAGCGGCGTTTGAGTCCGGCTGGCTTCGGCTGCCTCAAAGTCATCGACCGTCATCGAGCCATACTTGGCAAGCGAATCTTTATCAATCTGGGATTTTTCATGTCAGTCACCTGTCTGTGGGCGCATAAGCTGTCATAAACGCACCTTGACGACAAGCCCCATGAATCCGAGAACAACAACGGAGCAAACAATCATAGCGATCGCGCCCTTTTTCCAGTACGGTGCCTCATCAGCGGCATATAAGACGATGCCCCAGAATGTATACAGCGTCGTAGAGCCAATGTTCATGGCGTATATCGTTACACTTCGAACGGCCTCGTCACCGCTACGCTGGAGAATGATGCTTGCCCAACCAAAGATCAAGGGGTTCACCATGTATGAGGAGCCCGAAAGGTAGAACGCAAACATCGTGCCGGCGAACGGCAGCGTTGGAACAAGCAGCATAGCGGCACAGACGATCTGGATGATGCACACCAGGACGACCATTGGAATGCGGGTGCCGGTGGCGTCCATGTGCCAGGCTGCTAGGATGTTGGTCACGATGCCTACAGCCTGAACGCCCAGAGGATATGTGTTGATTTGACTTTGGGTAAAGTGCTCGGCGTGGTACTTGAGCCAGAGGATGAAGTTGCCCTGAACTACCCAGGCTTCGAGAGTGGCGCAAATCGGGGACCAGAGCACCAAGACCCAGCTGCGTTTGCGTTAGCCGTCCTGCCTAGAGAGAAAAGAGGGATAACGCAATGAATTACAAGGTAGGCATGAGAGCGAGGCGTTTCAGCAGAGACAAGGGATTGACGTTGTGCGAGTTTTTAATCACTGGAGGCAACCTCCTGACTGCCAGCGTCTTCTCGGAATCGCTAAGATACCGCGCGCTCGTGTTCTTGGGAATATCAGGGAAATAGAAGTAGCCGAAAATGGCAATGGGGAGAGTGATGATGCCATCTGTGAGTCGTCAGCGTTATTTTCCTCCAAAATATACCGAAAACCAGTCTCACGAAAGTTATTAGCTTGCGTTGATCACGTACCAATGATGAAGACCCATTGCCATCCCCCGAGACCAGCTAAGCCGCCCATGCCTTTGTAAATGGCCGCCATCATGACACCGGCGAACATCGTGCCGACTTGGCCCGAAGCGGTGAAGATGGCAGTGCGCTTTGAAATTTCTTGGGGCTTGTACCACGACCCCATGATGTAAATGGCTCCCGAGTAGGTGCTGGCCTCCACCAGGCCGAGCAGGAAGCGGATGGCGCAGAGTTGCGTCGTGGTCTTGACGGCCGCGGTGGCCATGGTCAGAAAAGCCCAAATAAGCACCATACTTGGCAACCATATTCTCGGGCGGACAATCTGGAGACCGATGATCATGCCATGGGGGATTTGACCAACTACCATGCTGTAACGCGCGTCAGGAAGTAAATTCGCAAAATATGTGTTGTTGCACAGCCATCATCTTACCCTGCTGTAGTCACCGACAACACTGTGTTGTAATCATGGCCCTTCATATGCAAAGCTTCTCGGAGGCCAGCAACCTAAGGTAAAGTCTGGTCAGTATTTTTCAATGTTCAAATGAGCGTTCCTGGTGGGTTGGTTTACATAGGCATTGGCAAAAGCAGCACGATCTGGCGTAGTTTGTTAGCCAGCCCCACTGGCTTGTAGAACGCTCTATACAGTACTTACCTAGATAGTTGAAGAAATAACTAAGACAGCAGTAGGTCTGCAGAAGTCAGTTAGATTGAGCCATGTCGATGCTGTAATTGAGTTGTGTACCAAGATGAAGAAGTCTGGATAGAATTGTTAGTCGGAAAGGGCGATTGGACTGAGCACAATTGACGACCTACCTATTTTTTGGACAAGCCGCTTCTCTTCTCTTGAATCTGCCTCATCACCGAGGAAGAATACTTTGGAACCCAACAAAGTCAGTGGACATCTCTCCAGCACCGGAGAAGGCACCGGGTTCAGTAAAACTTACCCTTGACCTTGCTGGCCACTGAACGGGTTTCGGTCGCCATATCGTCGGATAAGCACCGGCCCTTCTTGGTCGTAAGATAGAGGGAATTTCTCGCGCCGTGATTTTTGTAACGAACCCGTGGTCTGTCAACGAGATATCCTTTCTTGATGTTCTCGTCACGGGGTTCTCTTGAACTTTCAGGGAAAAAGTCTTCTCGTTCCCCACCAAGCCGTTCAAGGGTCGCCGCAACGACTCTAGGTATAGAATTAGAATCGTTCCTGGGGGGCCGGTAGGTCGGTAAATTGGCTCTCGTCTATTGGCATACGAAAGAAATATACGGTAGCGTCGCAATGCCAAAACTCAAACCAGGCTCAGCAGAGAAGTCGTGCATGAAAGAGAACCTTGATGTCCTCTTATCCTTGTCATTCTCCTCGGCAGCCCCGTCTCGTCCATCTGTATTGTGGTTCTGTCCTATTAAGCGGGCTCCACCAGGGTGATATGGACTGAACCGTGGTTCGGCGAATGGGGTAGGTATTACTCGGATTGCAGCGAAAAAGTGGCGGGGAAGACTTGGCGCATCTGATAAACCATACTTTGTAAACCACTTGCCCGATAAGATGTCCCTCAAGCGCATGCGCTATCGCTAGTTGCTGTCCTATTTGACGTCCCAACGTATGCATGTGATGACTATTTAGGCGAATGACACATCAACATGGGCTTAGTTACCACTGTGGAAGACAGACCGCGTGTCAAGACTAATACTAGCCGAGACTAATGTTGGCCGGGATATACATGCGTATACTCAGAATCGATATAGACCAAACTTGGTTTGCTGGGCGCGGCCCATAAATACCGCGTTAGACTTTTTAGGAACAAAGACTGGCGCTCAAACGTGAGAAGGATCCTCCCGGTTTAAATTGCAAGTGGACACTTGCGGCTTGAAAGTATCTGCCATTCTATTTATCGACTTGGTCTCCCCAACTGCGGAACGTGAAGACTGTTAAGTATTAGCCTAATTCTCCGCAGCCTTTTGCCTGCAGCTGCAATGGTTTCTTACATCTTCTTCTCTCAACCAAGCCTCACTTTTCCTTCCAAAGCCTCTCTACAAAATTTCTCAATTGAGTTTTTCGTCTAGTCGAGATATGAGTCTTTGCCAACTTGGTAGGCCAGGTAGCGAGGATACTCAGGCGTGTTGTTGCCTTGGAGACCTTACGACTTCTGATATTATACAATTAGCAGCCTATGGATGTTGGTTTTGTTGCCTCCGGCGTCTGCTGGCCGAGCCTTGATTTCCTCTTCTGACAGCTGCGCATTCGTGATGATCAGTTCATCGCTCAATGTCAAATGCTTGATATTTAATGGCTTGAGCTGGACTGTGGCGCCTTACGTACTTTCTCGGAAGTTCCACTCAGCTCAATTACTCGATCAGGTTGTAGATGTTGTTCTGGGACCAAAACTCGGCGTATGCAGAAATTTTGTTGTTCAGGGTGCGGGAATCCGCGATAATGCGCACGACATATTTGCCAGTATCCCTAGAGTCTGTTTACCGGAAAGCACAGTACGGTCGCCTGCGATCCAGTCTTTGAATAACGAGAACGCAACTACGTCAATTTTGCATGACTTTAGACGTGGCAAATTAATTTGATACCACCAGCCGACGTCGGTGATAGTGATGGTAGACACAGGGTCTGAAAATGGTTCAGGACATCATCTTTCTAAACCGAAAATGTCATCAAAGGTTCAGCTGGGTGTTGGGTATGCTGTCCGGGCCTTACTTGGTCGCGGAATCATAACGTCCTTCTGCTCGGCATCACAGTCCCAAAGAAACACGGCACGATCTGCTTCACATCCGCTTTCTTGGAGCCATTGGCTAGTGAAATTTGATCCAGCGGTTTGTTCGCGACAATGGCCGATCTAACGATTTCGTGACCTGCGAGATGCTTCGTGGTCTCTTCCTCAGGGCTGCCGAGGTCGATTGCGGTCATCTTGACGCCTCGCTTTTCCAAAGCCCGGACCTTCTGGCTCCCGTAGAGAGCTCGGTCGGACGAGGGCCGTGGAGTCCAATCCGGTGTTTGTCAGCGCAGATCAAAAGACCGTTGAAGACTCCAGTAGGGCAGTAGCATTGTTGCTCTAATATGTTTCGGAGCTGTCGAGGCGAGCAACCCCCTCATGATGGATGTCCGGTCTCTCCGGTAGCGTCGACAATTGCGACCTTCATGGTCACCTTGCTGCAGTGTTCTTGGAAGCACAAATCTAGAAATTTCCAGCAATACTGAATCACCCAAGATCTGTTGAACTGGCTCTGGAATTAGCATAGTCAAAGTAAGGTTGGCCGTCTGATTTATTTATGCTTTCACGCTCTGCAGCCCGTCTGTCCGAGGTATGGGTCGTCAACCTCCATCCTGTGCGGCCATTCGTCACTTTAGGTAGCTGGACCTACAAAGGCCACAAAAGCCCGGGAGATCACCCGCATCGCTTTCATGGGACCCTTCTCCAATCCTCTCGGTTCCGGCATCCGAGGCAAAGCCAAACACCAAGCTTAAAGCTCCCGGGATGTGGACAATGACCGGCCGTCAACAGCAGACGTTCACATGTCAGCGGAAAATAGAACTAAATAGACAGTATAGACACGAGGCATTACTGCTGCCTGATATCTGGTCAGCCCCTCCTAACTTCCTGGCGTATTCTTAGACACCACCAGGGCCGTTCTTCCATCACTGAGTTCATTCATTTCAACTACTTTATGACTGCTTAGCTAGTATGAGTTTTGTTATCTGTGCGTATAGCAGGTCACTACCGAAACTTCATCTCCCAAATATTTTAAGCAACCGTGGTGGTGTACCAAAGACCTCCACATGAAAAAGCCTCGAGGACATTGTTTGATGCTCATAGATCAGAGCTCTGACATATGACAATAACGATATTCGGACCTCGGGTAGTAATCATTGAAAGAATGAACCGAACTGAATCAACCACATATGACTGAGTACATAACTATCGTACGTCAGCTATAACTGGTGATTAGAAAGGACAGTCACAGAATAATATTTTGGTTTACCTCTACATTCTGAGTACATGCATGTGCAGAGCGTATCGAACATGAGATAACATATCATGAAGGTGGCGTGCTGTGTAGCAGCTGTTGACATACGATGAGCGGCGTGAGACAACGGTAAGGATGAGAGGTTCAGACTTGGAGAAACATTTCTATGTATGTCACAGGCAAGATGAGCCACAATTGCAGTACAGCAATTGCGAACCCACTTTTATAACACTACCAGCCACACTTTATCAATAGAAAGATACTGTTAGGGTGTGGCATGGTTATTATCATGGACCGAAGCTCTATTTTAGTCTTGTGCGGGAGTTGTTTTCTATTGTATAAAGCTTTGAAGGCAAGTGGCTAGGTAGCTCCTCCAACAAGCCTTATACCCGCGCTTACGGATACTCGGTAACCAATGCCCAAAGTAGTTTAGCTTCCTTACGGTTGTGGGCTGATTCGACGTGCTACAAAAGCATTTATCGAACGATGCAAAGACACAAGAGCCTGGCAACCCCCCGAAACCGATGCCACTCGACAGGTTGAAATGTTTTGCCAATCATGGAGGATGGATTCGTCAGGGAGCAGTGACCAGAGCTTCCACTACTTCTCATTGGCCAAAGGCCAGCCCGGTGCGCTCCCAGCAACTAAATAATTAGCCAGTCACGGACTGAAGACTAGTCCACACCATGTCCCTTTCGGGAGTCACCCCGCATGCTCTTGAGGGGGGGCTCCCCCCGCATTTCGGCTCTCAAGCGTGGGAATTATACTTACCCATATCATCATCGCCCACCTTGTCCCGGGTCTATGTTTCTCCCGTGGGTGGGCGAAGCGCGCAAAGGGGTATGGCGGGGGAGGGGACCGCGGGGCAGTATGTGCGAGATGGCCACGCTCAAGTCAAATTGCCGAACACGGATGCCGCACTCGATGCCGTACACTGTTGCCGCATCCACGGTGATCATACGACTCATGCCCACAATTCTTGGCTCGTGGTCCCTTCATCCACAGCTCTGAATTTGTACTTAACATCAGGGTCCTCCTCTACATCCGCACTTGGCGCCTTCATTTCATCGTTCTCAATCCCTCAGTGCTCTCTTTGCTCTTCATCCTAATTGCGACGTGTTTGCCCCTCGCGTCTTCCCCACAAAACATAAACCACATTTACACATTCCCCGCGACATATCTTCACAATGGCCAGCAACGGCACCAACGGAGCCGACGCCAAGAAGAGCAAGTTCGACCCCGACTTCACACAGCATGTCATCGATCTCATGAGCCCGGAGACGAAGCCCAGACATCGAGAGGTCCTCGGCTCTTTAATCAAGCACCTCCACGACTTCTGCAGAGACGTCGAGCTCACACAAGAAGAATGGGTGCTCGGTGTCAACTACATCAACGCCATTGGCCAGGCGTACAAGAAGAACCGCAACGAGGCATGGAGAGTGTGTGACATCTTGGGTATTGAATCGTGAGTTATCCCTGAAAGTCACCGCTACCGAATCCGCAGTTATTACCCCGCGCCACTCTACTGGTGTCAGCACATTCATCGTGACCACTCGACCATTGGCTAATAATTTATCCCCCGCACCCAGTCTCGTTGATGAGATCAACCACACCGTCGTAACCGACACGGGCAATGCCCCTACGTCCTCAGCAATCCTCGGCCCCTTCTGGTCCCCCGAAACTCCCTTCCGCGATCTCGGCTCCTCCGTTGTCCAAGACATGCCCAAGGATGGCCAGCTCACCTTCTTCCACGGTGTCATCCTGGATGCCGACACGGGCAAAGGCATTCCTGACGCTGTGTTTGACATGTGGCAGGCCAGCACCAACGGCAAATACGACACTTTCGACCCTGAAAACCAGTCGCGCCACAACCTCCGCGGCAAGTTCAAGACGAACGAGGAGGGCAAGTTTTGGTTCTACTGCCTCAAGCCTACCGAGTACGCCATTGACACTTCCGGCCCCTCGGCCGACCTGCTCCGTCTCATGGGCCGCCATCCCTACCGCCCCGCACACATCCACATAATGGTCACCCACCCGGACTTCATCGGCGTCACGGCTCAGCTCTACCCCAGCGACGACAAGTACCTCGAGACCGACACCGCCTGCGCCGTCAAGCCCGACCTGCTGCTCGACTTCAAGCCTGTCAAGGACGAGCCCAAGGGCGCCGTCCTGGACGTCGAGTACAACGTCCGCCTGGTGTCCAAGAAGTACAAGCCGGATTCCAAGATGCTCATGCAGAATGCAAATCAGGACAAGTTTTAGATGAGTTTCGGCATACCCAAACCGTTTGATTTCCCTTTTCCAGTCACGAGGAGAACTGTGTACATAGCAGTCGGGGCCAATGTTTTGACGGCGCATCTCACCCCTCAACCGGGAGTTTCTGTTTTCCGCGCACCCCACGCATTGCAGACAAAGCGTCGCATAGCAAAAATGGCGTCAGCCAGTGCAGAAACGTGGCCCGTAGAAGGCCCAGTTTTCTCCGCACGAATTAGAAATTGATATCCATCCAACTTGATTCGGTAGAAAACCACGGTACTGTGGTCATTGGCTGAATTTCGTCGTCTTCTGTGCCTTTCCTGTCTTTATTCCGATTTCGCAGTCTTCACATTTGCTAGCTAGATTTCTTAGGCGCAGATCGGCGACTGCTTGAGTCTGCTCTATGTCAATATGACTTCTGCCATTTCGAACGACTTCAATTTCTAGTCTGAGGGAATTATGTGTCTTTCAACGAGTATGATGAGCTACCTGTTGTGCTGCAATCTTCTGGTGCTTCCCCCCTTCCCCCACATGACGGGTATGATCGGAAACTCTCGGCTGAGAGAGCTTCTCACTTTTGGAGGGACGATCATTTTCCCGACTTGAAATGCCGTTAAGGACAGGGGAGGTCGCGTTCACGACCGGAACTTTTTTAATGTGAAGAGGGTCCTCCCAACTGAATCTTTATTTACCGTGACGGAAATCAGGCAGAGAACCACGCCTTTTGTTTTCTTACATTCTGAGTTTTTGCCAGAAATATTCCATGGATCAAATAAGTCAATCCAGACAGTCTAGGTAACACAACGTTTGGCGATATTACTACTCCTGCAGTGCTGTTAAGTAGCGAGTAGGCACTCGTGAGATGAGCTGTCATTCAATCATGTTTGTTCGCATCCATAAACTCTGGTAAGAAAGGATCATATCGTATGCTTTAGTTGCTCTAAAAGAGCCTAGCTACCAGTTCAAAGGCGAAGAATGGCGGACTCGAGCTACCTATTTCAATGGGGCGTTTTCGCTGTGTCTCCCCCATCCCAGCGGGGTTTAGTTATGCTGTTTTTGATTATTAAGTAGTGACGTAGGCGACAACTGAAAGTACGAACGCCAACGCATGATGTCTTCAATGAGCGATCTTCTCTTATCGCACACTACTCTCAGACAGTACAAGGCATCATTTGACTCACATCACCATTGATCCAAAGAGTGGCAATCAGTCGCTCTGCCTTCCGGAGTTGATCAAGACGATAGGACTGATCTCACGAGCTGTCCTGGCGTAATACGAGTTTCGTCTCAGCCTCAGCAACGAAAATGGGCCTAGAAGCGAAGACTGTCCTGCTTGTCTGTAGTGATTCTCATTGTCCAATGATCAATCATATTTTAGCTACTTGTACTGACTTTTCTCCAGACTGGTGCCGTCATGGGCATTGGGAAAGCCATCGCCAATGCTCTGGCTGACAAAGGCGCAAGTCTCGTTCTACTATCACGGTCGGAAGTAGGTCAGCCCCAACTTTTAAGTCGTAAATATGGGAGCCAACAGCCTATGATGGTGTCCCGGCTGAAATTATAAGCTATAGGACAAGTTAGACACGGTGGCTAAAAGATTATCAGCTGCATACATACCCTGGCACTAAGATTATCTACCGCGCCGCTGGTGTTGAAGCTTCGAGGACGTAGACCGTGCCATTGCGTCCGCCGTTGAGTAAATCGGAATCATCGATATTCTGATCAATAACGTAAGGGAAGCTCCTTTGCTCTCATTTACGACACGCTTCCTGGTGCTGCTAAAGCCGTCGGATACATGACTATCAACGACCCCCAGGCTGGACTCGCCCTTGGAGCACCCGCCAGGTTCCAGGAGATGAAGATTCAGGATATTATTACAATGTCCAACACGAACATAAATGGTACGATGTTTGTTACTCACTCGGTTCTCAACAGGTCGATGATGAAGCAAAAGCCAGGCAAGGGCACGATTCTAATGCCACCTCCACCACTACACTCGAAGCACCACCGTTTCCGGGCGAAGCTGTGTATCACGCGAGCAAAACATTACAGGAAGGCTTCACCAATTCTCTCCGTAATGAACTGGTCGAGACCGACATCAAGGGCCTGGCTCTAAGGCCAGGTGTTGTCGCCACTCACTTTCACACAGAGCGCGTTGGGTTCGACAAGAACAAGGAGCAATACAACTCGTTCATTGAAGGCTAGATTAAGGAACGCCATGTATTTTACGGAGTCGACAAATGTATTCTATACTGATCATCTAAAGCCCGCTTATTGCCGAAGATGTCGCTCATGCCGCTGTGTACATGCTGGATCAATCCGAGCGGATTTCCATCAAGGCTCCGGACGTTGTTCCGACGGGTTAGTAAGCCTCTGAACTTGGGTCTTTCTGTCACTAATGTGATTAACTATTAGCTCAACGGTCACTGAATGTCTTCGATCGGACGTGGAGTGACCGCAGTCACTGATCGGCTTCTGTCGTGCGAGGCATGTTCTCATGGGCACTGGACGGAAGCAGAGATCCAGACACAGTTTTGTTGAGGTCAAAGGACTCAAGATTGAAGCCTTAAAGACCGGTTTCTCGTATTTGGAATCAATGAAGCATGTAGTAAGGTGAGATGAGGGATCGGTACGGTGAACTTGGTCGCTAGCATTGCTAGACGATAAGGCCGGCTCCTGAGCACCGCATAATATGAACTATTATTGAGGAGCACACGGTGTGACATGGGCTGGTAACAGTGGACGAAAGCAGTGTTGAACTCCTTTTACAACCGTCATCAGCGTGTCAAAACGTACTATAGAGACTACTGCTAAATAGCTTAGAGAGACACAGATTTAACCCGACTAAACAGTGGCTCTTTGAACAGTAGGCCAGCCAATGATCGTTCAAGCCCTGTTTACGGTGTATATTGTTGAGCGTCACAGCTCCGCAGGGTGGTCCCGCTTACAATGCGAGTGAACTCACCCATCACTGTGCTCATTGGATACTGCAGAGTATTCGGGACACCAGCACCCCTTATCCCAAGCACTCTTACCACGTCTACTGCGGGAGCCGGGCTTCGCTTCCTTCGCTATTGGGAGCCTAAGCTATGTTGCGTCTCATTGGTAATCGAGTCTTGGCAGACTTCAACCTCGAGCAATAGCAAGCTCACGTTACTATCAACAGAACATGTGGCACAGATTTGGTGTCAGGACTAGTATTGTGATTGGACAATCGGTGCTATGACACGTATATTATCATTGCGATTGGACCTCAAGAGATATCATCTGCGTGATATTCTAGCGGACTTAACCGGTGATTGCTAACTCCGCATTGAAACAAGTTGTGCCGACGTCGGGATTTGCAGTTGACCGAAGTCCATCTACGATTATATCTTCTTAAAAGCCCAGCGAGAGGGCCGCAACGCCTAGTTCAACGACAATGCTTTCATCTCGAAGTTTTCCAACAAGGGCCATTGATCTATAATTTCTATATCCCCACTTAGAAATGGAGGTGGCCTCTTGTTGCTTAAAGGCCTTCGAGTGGAACGGCACACCTGAAGGCCGAATCGATAAGTTCGAAAACCACGACGTCTACATCGCCGGCCACAATCCTGACGTGGCCATCCTTTTCATTCACGACTTGCTAGGTTGGACCTTTCCCAACGCACGTCTTCTTGCAGATCACTATGCCCGCGAAGCCAACGCTACAGTTTACTTGCCGGACTTCTTCGGTGGCTGGGTCGTGGATTTTGAGCCAATTCTTGCCGGTCGATTCCATGAGATCGATTTGGAGACTTTCCACAAAAACAACGCTCGTAATGTCCGAGAGCCCGAGATCTTCAATTTTGCGAAGGCACTGCGAGGGAAGCATAGCCATCTTGGAGCAATAGGGTTCTGCTTTGGAGGCTGGGCTGTGTTTCGTCTTGGATCGAAGGAGCATAACCCCCCATTGGTTGATTGCATCTCGGCCGGACACCCGACCTGGTTGACTAAGAAGGATATGGACGAGGTTGCGGTTCCTGTACAGATGTTGGCTCCAGAGATTGACCCGGTCTTCACAGCTGAGCTGAAGTCATATTGTTTCGAAACAGTGACGAGGAGAGGTGTACCCTTTGAGTATCATCACTTCCCCGGAGTTGAGCATTCTTGCTTCGTTAGGGGTGATCCAGGAAAGTCCGGAGAGCGGGAAGCTATGGCACGGGCTAAAACAGCGGCAGTGAGCTGGCTGAACGCGTTTCTCCATTGACTGGATCATCTTTCCCATAGATGTTGCCTCAGCAACAGGTTAACAGTGAGCAATCTTGAAATATGATTGGTCCCGATTTACCGTATAAAACTCAATCATTGTGATGTTCAAACACCTCATAGAGCGTTGCCTTTTGTGATCTTCTGGGAAGTTAAATTAAGATAGAATGTGCGATTGTTGCAGATTATGTGACAGACCCCAGAAATCCCAAGGAGAAGCTAGCCAAAGTTTTACAACTTTTACTCATGATTATACGGTCGAAGCATCAGGTCGAATCGTCGTGGCTTGGACTCTGTGCGCCCACTCCCGGTTAATATGTACGTTAGAGGACTGCGGGATCGGTATCAGCCGACAGCTATTAGAATACGCGTATCTATCTCTCCTACCAAGTTGCCAAGACACCAGACCAAGAATACCAAGCATACCAAGCAACCACTAGCCTAGTGCCTTCAATATATGGCTACCAAGCCGATCACGTCTTTTCCTTGGTGCATCGCATCATCAACTCCGACTCTTGTGTAGTGTGCATTCCTTGCCCTTTTGACCATGTCCGTGGCGGCCAACTGGCTGGTCAGTAGAAAGCAAAGACAGGGCATTGCCACGGCCAAGGACATACCAAGAATTGGACTTGAGATAACGAATTATTTTATTGGCCCGGGCTGGTCTCCTACGACGGTGTTGCCTCGGTGGTTGGGTCGGCTTCAAAGAATGAAGTAACAAGCCGTCAGATTGCCGAAGGCTTGGCTGCTGCTTTCCCTAGCACTTGTGAGCTATCACCATCAACTTCTCGGTGCAAAGGATAGTGGCTCGCACGGAAACCAAACCAGCCGAAGTCGCAGGCTGGGCATGCATCCATCCTAGGAGATCACGTCAGGCTGGGAGAGAATGGAAAGTGTGCCTTTTTCTTTTTAATCCACAATATGAGGCTTTGCTGTGTGAAAATTGGTCCTTTAAATCTGCTGTAACCTCGAGGATTCTACGGATGTCAAGTTGGAATCGACACCCTAGAACTTGTTAAGAACTCTACAGCAATGTCAGAGAAGCAGGAAGTCAAGCAGCCGACCTCACTGGGGTCGGAATCAAATGGCAAGCAAGACGCGAGTGATATCACGAAGATCAAACCAACCGAAGAGGAGCTCGGGAAGACGAAAAATCGGATCCTCCAAGAGCAAGCTGGACTTCGCCAACAGGATGCCCCCATAATCCCGATCCTCTCATTCTTCAAAAAGAAAAGCGACTACGACCCGAACGTCATAGCGACACAACCATCCGTATACGACAACCCATCAACTGCAAAGTTCTTCCAACCACATCCACGTTATGAGAACTTACATCGCTTCGACCCAACTTTTCGTTGGACTTGGGGCGAAGAGCTTCCTTTGATATCTAAGATGGACTTCCGGATAACTCTCTGGGCTTGCATTGGTTTGTGATTATTACGCCGGTTTTCCTCTTCTCGCTAACTGAAATCTTGGCAGCATTCTTCGCTCTTGACCTCCCTCGAGGCAATCTTAGCCAAGCTAATTCGGCCTTGTTTCTCCAGAGTTTGGGCATGGATACGAACGATTACAATTTGGGAAACACCGTCTTCCAAATATCGTTCTTGTGTGCCGAGCTGCCTTCGCAAATGATTAGCAAAAAGCTCGGCCCCGACCGCTGGATCCCGTTCATCATGTGCTCTTGGAGCATTGTGTCTGGGTGTCAGTTTTGGTTGAGCGGGAGGACATCGTTCTTAATCTGCCGTGCTCTCCTTGGTATACTTCAGGGAGGTTTCATCCCGGACATCGTACTTTATCTTACCTACTTCTTCAAGTCAACTGAGCTACCTTTCCGACTAGCCATGTTCTGGACCGTCCGCCGGATTACTGATATCGTCGCGCCGCTTCTAGCTCTTGGTGTCCTTCGAATGGATGGAATCAGCGGCTACGAAGGCTGGAGATGGCTGTTTCTGGTTGAGGGAATTATCACGCTATCTATCAGCATATGGTCCTGGTTCGCAATGGCTGCCTCACCAACGCAGACCAAGGCATGGTGGCGGCCTCAGGGATGGTTCAACGAACAAGAAGAAAAGATTCTTGTCAATCGCATTCTCCGTGACGACCCTTCCAAATCCGACATGCATAATCGGCAGGCGATCACACCGAAACTTCTGCTCAAGTCTCTGGCCGACTATGAGTTGTGGCCAATCTACATCTTTGGTCTGCTTTGGGAAATTCCAGCTGGACCACCTGACCAGTACCTTACACTAACGTTGAGAGAGCTGGGGTTCAACACAAATGACACCAATTTACTGAGCATTCCTCCTCAGTTCCTTGGTGCAATTTTCATGTTGATCATGACCTATCTTTCCGAGATTTGGGATACGAGAGCGCTTTTTGGAGTCTTTACACAGGTGTGGTATCTGCCAAATCTGGTTGCCATGGCCGTTTTGCCATCAAATTCCAGTCCGTGGGCGCAATATGCGGTTGTCACAGTCCTTTTATCTTACCCTTCACGTAAGTCCCACTCGATGAAGACGCTATGTTTCCGTGCCTTGCTCTAACCTATAATATTAGCACATGCGATGCATGTTTCGTGGGCTTCTCGAAACTCCCATTCGGTTCGCACTAGAGCAGTGTCGGCAGCTTTGTACAAGTATGGAACGCTCTATATTTTTACCACTCAGCTTTGGGCAGGTTACTGATGTCAATCTAGCATGATGGTCCAACTTGCTCGTGTTATATACTCGAACATCTATCGGGAAGATGACCGGCCTGACTGTGAGTCTTATTCTTCTGTTTGTTAAAGTATTACAAGTAGGCTGACGTAGTTGAAACTGCTAGACCGTCGTGGCAACAGGGTTCTCATCGGTATCTGCTGCATGAATATTTGCGTTTATCTTATTGCAAAGCTATTCTATATGCGGTGCAACAAGAAAAGAGAGAAGGAATGGAATGCCATGACGGAAGAGGTAAACTGCCTTTTTCACTCATCGCGTCAAAGTTGTCCATAGAGCTGACAACAAAATCAGGCCAGGGTTCACTATATGGAAACCACGAAAGACGAAGGAAGCAACCGTAAAGATATCCGTTTCAAGCACTAGCTTGAAAACGAATCATCTTATCTCCAGTTTATGGTCTTTCCGTGGATATATATGTGCGTCTTGTTCGAGAGCTGCGACAAGTGCAAATGAGACTATTAAGGACTCGGTAAACATCTAATCTTAATCCACAGTTTAGTTGTGGCAGTTGAAATACTGTTATGTTCAATGTGACCCATTACCTGACCAGAAGGCGATTTCTCGGTTTGTCAAATTTCATACTCTAGTCGCATCTCTATCACAACAGCCTCGACTCCACACACTTAAAGAAGGTCTTGAAACGGCTTTATGAATTTTTGTAAGGGATGCAGCTGCTATGATGAAAATAAGGCATTCAAGTGACGCAGGGGAGGTTCCTGTCCCGGATTTCATGACGGCTTCAATACTTCGCACCACAACTTGCACGTATAGCCAATTACGACGCTGGCTAGACAGCCTGATACTACGAGAAATTTACTGTCATGGACTTATAGAAGGATTCGGTTTGGTAATAATTTATTGATAAGCTCGGATAAGTACCATGTATTCGGGATAGCTAGCTTGTCTTCAAATGGCCTCAAATACGATCCTCTTTCTGATATCACATCCTCTTTGTAACTCATCAAGTGGAAAACAAGAATACTTGGTGATGTGCAGTCTGAGTTGGAGAATTGAGTTTGAAGATCGTAGTGAGAAATTTAGGAAACAGAATGAACAATGGAAAGTGTACGTGGAGATCATAAATCCAACAGTGTGTCTCAGTTGATTGTAAAGTAATTTCTGGGTTGCTTGAAATCTACAGACATACCAAGTAAAATCTATCCAGCTGGCTTGTTCCTGTTGGATATCATCCTTTCCTGATCAGAATCTTCTGATGAACCTCCTTCCAATTCTTCTCCAACTCTCCCTTCACTAGAGGAGCCAAGAAACGATAACAATGGGCGTTGACTTTCTCTTCCAGTTCAAGACCACCACCACTCGCGTTCCGAATCCTCCAGCGCGTCTCCATAAGAACGTTGAGTGGGCAATGTATGCGAACAAAACTGCCATCTGTTGTGAAAGTGAACTCGTATTCGCTGACACTCTTCTTCTCCAGCATGCCCTTGGGTAACGCCTTTGGAAGGTGGGTCGGGACAGTGTCAATAACTGTATATGACTCAGTCGTAGCAATGGCATCAACATCTTCAGGTACTGTAGGAGGGACTTGAGGTGTTCGAGGGTTCCAGTGTGTCAAGTTTGGGTCGCTTTTGATATGATTTTCTGCGTCATGCAGGCGCGACAAGGCGTCTTCTCGGGACATATATCCGGGGACTGGAGTAACGTGCGTCAATTTTATCGTCGTGTTGAGCATTGTGTATTTTATTCCACAACAAGGTCTACAGCAACTCAATTCTCTGTGGTGTGCTAATTGTTACTGAAATAAACGCAAGAGCAGAGGATGCAGAGATGTAAAGACGAAGGAAATTTATGAAATATCAATAGATGTGCGGATCTGCGTCAGACAACAATGTTGGTCGCGGCATGGGAAATAGGCTTTTGAGGGCTTGTCAGGCGAATGTGAATCCCCATCGGGTTTCAATGACATCAACAAAGGTTTGCCCAAAGCCAATTGCATAGTGAGACGTTTAATGTTCCGAGACTCCCGAGAGACTATTTGAAGCCAGAGTCCGTTGAATCCATGCATTTAACCTTGAGCTTCTCATTGCACTTTTCACAATGCAATAGTGAGAGCAAATATCAATTCTTGCATGTTCATCAAGAGTGGATGTGACGCACTTGCAGTACGGCGATGATGATAGATTTCATGATTGGCCAGATTGGCATTCCAGAATTGATTGCTTATCTAATCACGATGTAATTTATTTAGTTTTCGAGGTATTAGGACTACGTCTACGTGGACAAGACGCTACGCAGAACCAGGCTCCTGATTGCAAACAACCTCTAGCTACGGTTCAATGTCTGCTTCTAAGTACGCCTTCCATCAAACTCTTCAGGGTCTGGAAGTTTGGTAGAAAACAAGGGATACTAGTAAATAATTATTACCAAGCAGCGGCGCCATGAAATCTAAACCTCATGCTTTGCGATGTAGATAAGTTGCTTCATCCAAGATTCATTCTGTTATTATTCAACCCAATCGAAAAGCTGGAAGACCGTAGAGGCTCTGGATAAAAAACCAAATTCAAATGAATTCGCTAACTTATTATTGCAGGTTATTCTAACTTTCATCGCTTAGCAGCATTGCCCAAGCTTGAAAGCGCCGCTGAAGCAACCGCAGACTAGCGGTATCATTGATGTTGAGGACTAAGCCCAAACGACACTTCAAAAGGCGGAGCCATGAATCTAATCTCAAGTCGAGAGGGGAAATTTTACATCAAACCGCACTGACTACTATTGTGGACAATGCTAGTTGATAAGCTATTGTATGAGAGGTCTGCTGTCGGTTCGTGACATATTGTTCATCGATGATGTAGAGTTTCTGGCTTGCGGTATATATCATTGTTGGCCTAGAGACAATGCGGAATCGGCATTGAGGCTCTAGTTAGTGTAGAGTGGTTTCGCAATGCATAGCTATATGACCAACATGCGCATGCCAGCAAGCACGCTTGACTACTGGGCCATGACATGGAGGAGTCGTGCTTGATAGATCAACAGATAAGGAAGGCCCAGATTCTAGAACGTTTTCTAAGCTGCACAAGAATGCATCTAACCCAAGATCTAGGACTATCACAACATCAACCAAGTACCTAGCTTAGAATGATAAAAAAAAAAAAATACAAAATGGCAAAGTTCCAGCAATGTATGTAATGCTCCAATCCCTCGTGCTGATTAATCGCACATCGTCGACTCACTTGAATGCACCTTATCAGGTTCTTTCAATTCCCTGCTGCCAGAAAAGGCACCTGACAGCGATAACGCTCCGCTTTGGTCCGTCATCTCATAGCCGAAATGGGTATGCATTCGCCAAAGCTCCATTCACTTATCAACTCGGTGGCCTAGTTGGAGCAATGGAATGGTTGTCGCCTATCAGTACATAACCAATACCGAGTCCGTCATATTACCATCGGTCTTCTTATCTACGATCTGTCAATAATGCCGGTCAACATTGATGCAACTGGAAGAAAAATGCGCTTGGCCCCCACAAATCACTTTACCCAGACCTCTAGAACTAATCGCCCCAGATTGTTTCTTGTGCTCATAGTGATCGGTTTGACAATGAAAGCACATATCGCCTCATGCCTGGCATCAACTGTATTCTTTCCATGTGTATCCCACCAACTCACCAACATCTTTTGTCGCTTATGGGGGTCAGATATAAAGGGTCCAATGGTCGATCTATCTGGTCTAGAAAGGTTATAGGGCGAAGTCGGGGCAAACATATACCCGTATATGCGACCCATGGTCTCACATGTGGGATACCTACGTGATATTTTCCTTGACACGTTGCATAAAATTGAACCATCACTTTTGTAACCTATCCCAAGCGTGTAGCGATAATATGAACCGGGTAACTTCGGTTCTTCAGAAAACGAGCTATCGGTAAGACGAAAAACCACGATCGTACGATATCTAGGGCTCGTTTCACTTTTCAGATAAATGAAAGCCCGGTGCGCGTTTTTCATGCCTTTTTCTCAAACAGGAAATCTTCCCAGTCCTTGGACGTCTTAGTAAGTTGTCTCTTGCCTATTATGTGGAACCTTCCTTCAAAATCCTGTCCAGAAGCTTGGCTGCTTGGAGCACCCCTTCATCATGGAAATGCTTTCCAACCAACTGCAGACAGATCGGCATGCCATCGAAAAGATCTGCATCATCTGTCCCAAATATAATATTAGCAACATTTACCTCTCTTTGAATGAGTCACTGCCGGAATGTGTGACTTACAAGCTTCCCATTCGTTCTTATCCTGTTCATCTCTGGGTTTGTATGTTTCCTCCCGCAGGTCGATATTCTTGTCGACTTTAAGCCCACTGGGAATAATTGCCGCTGGCTGGTCCAGGATGTTCCAGATACTAGTGTACCCCCAGTATTTGGCACCACCTTGTAATACGCCAGCGCCTACATAGGCTGGACAAAGGATGAAGTCTACGCTTTTCTTCTTCATCAGATCATGGTACTGCCTTCTGTATGCTTCTCTTTTGTAATTCAGCTCCCAATTCTCGGCCACAGTGAGTGGTTGGGCCCTTGAGAACCCGAAGGCATGGAGTGTCAATGGAAGTGTTGGTTCTCCACTCTCAGCGAACGTGTCGAGATATGGCTTCGGTCCTTGCGGGAAATACAAAGCTGACTTAGGAATGGGTCAGTCGCATTATCAGATTGCCGCTGAAACATCTCAAGTTATCCGGAGTATACTCACAACAATATCCCATCCGTGGCTATGGTCGTACGGTTCCCAGTCCACCACGTTAATGCCTGATCTTTTCAACTTCTCTGCCGCCATTCGGAGTGCACGAAGGACCGGGGGATGAGGTTTCACACAGCTGACTAAGTTAGTAGCCCGAGCATTTCAAAATAATGACGGTGTACATACCCATCGTCAAGCATCAGTCCGATTGTGATGTTTTTATCGAGAGTGGTCTTTCTCCATGGCACAGGAACCAATGTTGTTTCAGTGTCCCATGGCTCAGCTGCAAGCAAAGCCTCCATGAACAAGTCAAGATCCTCAACGCTTTGACCTAAAGGACCAACAACACCGCGAATACTTTCCTGGCCAGCGGTGATTCCAAAGTTGCCTAAGTTTGGGATACGTAAAGCAGTGGGTCGCAACCCATAGCAGCCATTGAATGCAGCTGGTATGCGTATGCTGCCGCCAATATCCGTACCAACACCAATGACAGAGCACTTCGCTCCAACAGAAACACCTTCGCCTCCCGATGACCCACCGGGAGAGCATAGGAGGTTATGTGGGTTCAATGTCTTGCCGGTAATGTTGTTATTGCAGTCCAAGTGCTGAGTAGGTCAGCGCATAGGTTCCCAGTTAAAATCAACACCACTGATATAATCGAATGAGAATGAGTTCAAACATACCATTAAAGACTGAGGCTGGTTTGTTCGCACATGTATGACAGCTCCTGCCTTTTTCAGAATCTGAATTGAAAGCGCATCGTCGTTTGGGACGTTCGTGATCTTTGATACAAATCCTGCATGCGTTATGTGACCACCCATGCTAATGTGTTCCTAAGATCCATAAACATCATTTAATCATGATAAAAGTTGAAATCGTAGATAAACTGACTTTGACTGAGACGGGGATGCCGTGGAGGGGGCCCATAAGCCGCCCGGCGTTTTGAAAGTGGGCGTCAAGTTTATCGGCTTTCTCCAGGGCATCTTCCGCTAGTATTTCAGTAACAAAATTTGTCTGGAAACAAGAAAAGAGTGAGAATCGATATCTTGCTTATTCGTGGATGGTATATGACTTACCAACTGCTGTATAATAGTTGCTCGTTTCAAAAACGCAGTTACAACTTGTCTGACAGTCCATTCGCCACTTATATATCTCTTCCGCAGGCCAGCTGAGTCCTGTTCTGTCATTCGCAGTTCCTCATCTGTCAAAATTCCCGACTCATAGGGTACGTTTTGGACATTCAAACGGTCGTGTGGAGGGAGCTTGTCTTCGGAAAGCTGGTAGTCCTTGGGTATGGACTCCTGCTGAATTTCGATACATCTTTTTGAGAGCTCCTCCCAAGGATTTGGCATAGTGACGGTAACCATCTTAGAATGTGGAAGGATTTGGACGAGCGAGTGACCGTGAAGAGTTGACACAAGGGTAGAGTAGTGTGTCTACACCAGCGTTCCAGGGAGCCTCTCACAAGTCCTATGTAGTTGTCACTTCCAACTGATAACGGCCAGCCCTCTCTGATAGCTCCGATAGCGGTAGGTTGATGCCCCTCTGCCTATCGGTATCAACTGCCAAGTTGGTCAAGGGTGGCCCCACTCCTTGTGGATGCCGGAGCAGACTCAGGAGAGCATATCAGTAATCTACTTCCGGAAGCAGTGTGTTCATTTTCTTATCTATATCCGGGATATCATAGATGTGGCCATCAATGCCAGTGCTCTCCAATTGCCCCTTCTTTATCGCAACAACACTGCAGACGATGTCCAATCGGAAGTTAATGTTGGGAACCGGGAAATCTTATCACTGAGGTCCACAATCTGGACTCTCCACTACCAATATCTACTAGCCTACGGTAGTATTCGTGCCCCAACCCATGCAGAGACAGACATATTTAGCCTAGACCAACTCTTTGTAGGGAGTGAAGAACCCGAGGAAAGCATGTCACCTATTCAGTTAATTCTCTACAGGATATTCATAAGTAGCCGCATCTGTGCACACACAAGAAAACTTTCTTGACGTCTGCCCACCCATTTCGAAACTGGTAGGCTAGCCAGCTGCATACTTTGTAATTTTATTATTAGAAGCAAAGATCTTTGGAAACGAAAAGTCAGTTTCTAGTTCACATGGCTTCGGCCATACACGCAGTTCCCGCCATGGAAAAGTCCAGCCCTTTTCCTCCAGGCACTACGAGGCTCATTGATGTAGATGGGTCTGTCGTCACCAAACATGCTTCGGGCTCAAACGAGCAGGATATTGTTCTCATCCCTCGTCCGTCTGATGACCCAGAAGACCCTCTTAACTGGACAAAGAAAAGAAAACTGCTGGCAACATCTTGCGTCTTTGTTTACACTGTAATGATTGCTATCCCTAGCAGTGCAGTCTACTCTGTTGTAACGCCTATCAGAGTGGCAACAGGCTTATCCTTGAGTGATATTAACAACGGAACCGGTATTATGGTAAGTAAAAGCGTATGTCTTATGATGTATGGATTCTAACTACATCGTGACAGTTCTTGTTTTATGGATGGGGGTGTCTAATTTGGCAGCCACTCGCACTCCAATACGGCAAACGACCAGCTTATCTTGCGTCACTTGCAGCCAGCATTGTATGTATTCTGAATTACCTGCTCAACGGACTGCCACTTACAGATACTCTTATAGGTAATCCTGGCCACAGCGTCAATGTGTACAACCAAGCATACGTATTTAGCAAATCGGATTTTGCTCGGGCTTTTCGGGGCACCAGTCGAGTCTCTTTGTGAAATTTCTATCACAGATATCGTCAGTCATTCCTGAGCACAAAGACTTAGTGAATAGTCAATCTCTGTACAGCTAACTGACTGCCAAATAATAGTGGTTTGCTCACCAACGACCTAAATACCTTGCTTGGTATGGCTGGGGTCTTGCAATGTCAGGTAAACTGGCACCTATGCTCTCAGGTTTCATCAATTTCGGCATGGGCTGGAAGTGGACTTTGGTAAGCCATAATCACTGTATTCAACATAAATGCCAAAGTCTAATATCAGTTCCATCACAGTGGTGGTGTTCTATCTTCAACGGCATAGCTCTCATTTACTGTTTTCTTTTCATGGAAGAGACAAACTACGACCGACCAGCCTCGCCAAGTACAGACAGTGCTGCCGTGCTCTCTGAGACAAAACCAGAAGACCAGACAACTGCTAGTAAACTGGATGACCAAGACCAAGACAAGACTGCGAACCAGAACTCATCAAGTGCCCACTCTGTTGACACTGAGACGGGTCAGGTACTGTACCAACGCAAGACATTTATCCAGAAGCTTGGTATCAAGGACAAACCAAGACCTAACCGCATGTTTGATATTGCGGTTAGTGGACTGACTGGCTTCACGTACCCCTCGGTGGTTTATGCTGGGTATGGGCTTTCTTTCAGTTTCTTTCAGTTTCTCCTGCGACTTGTTACTGACTGTCTCTTAGTTTGATGTATGGTGCCAATAGCCTGGTCTGGTCAGGTGTTCAAAATGCGACTGCCGGGACTGTCTACACCACAATGTACGGTTTCTCTACTGCTGGTGTCGCTGCTGCATATGCTGGCGGTCTCCTAGGAACTATGGTCGGGTAAGCACTGCAATATTTCCCTGAAAACTTGAGGAGCAACCCACTAACTTGCATATCTAGAGGTTACTACTGTGGCAAGGTCGGCCGTATCCTTACACTTCGACTTGCGCGCCGCAACAACGGCATTTCCGAGTCCGAACATTCGCTGTGGCTCTTCGCTGCTTCAATGTTTATTGTCCCGTTCAGCATGCTTCTGTATGGCCTTGGAGTGACATACCACATCCACTGGATCGGCCTCGTCATCTCTCAGTTCACGCTTGCAATCAACAACGCTCTCTCTGTGGCAGGCTCACTTGGCTATGCCATTTCATCCTACCCTGAACTCAGTGGCGGCATGGTCACGACTTGCGTCATAATTCGCAACACAATGAGTTTTGCAATCAATTACGGCATTACTCCTTGGTTAAATCACATGGGTTATCGCGACACATACATTATTGTTGCAGCGATTGGATTTGTCTGGAATGCTAGCATTTTCGCTGTTACCAAGTACGGCAGGCGAGCCAGGGAGAAGAGTGCAGAGAGATACTGGCTTGATGTCGCAAAAGCACATGCCAAGGGGTTGAGTCATTGACTTGACTTGACTAATGGTGTATCAAAGGGTATTGCTTCGAAGGGAGTATCATGATTTATAACCCCCTCTCTGAAGTATACTCCTGTGTAGAAAGAGTATGATCGGCAACGATGCACTATATTGCCAGAGTGGCTGGAGATATTCTTTGACGCTCACTTCTATTACCAAGGCTGCAACTACAATCAACACTTAGCCAAGACATTGATTGTACAGCCATATCTCAACAACTGGAACGAATCCCTACCAATTGATGATTTGTAACTAGACATCATATTGTGTTACACACATACACACACACCAGATTTCGTCTGTGACCCATTCCAGGTGCCTTGTATACATCTTGCGTTCTGCGGTAATAATGATGGGTTGTATTACTTGGTGGCCTCAAGGCATGTGAACTAATTCTCCCAAGGCATCGTTTGGTTACTATAGCACGAAAAGATTACAACATCCAAACCCATTCGAGAAATTCACAGTGGTAAGGAATCAAATAAGACATGAAAAACGGCAAACTCGAGCCGACAAGTGAGTCGAGGTTCACTCAGAGATCTTGCTGTTTGAATTATGTGGTTTCAGCTTTTGTGTATTAAAGGACAAGAGCTCTTTCCATATTTACAAGCATGAAAATCCCACGGCGCCTGATCAACCTTTCCATACCTACATTGTCTTTGATATCCCAAGGATTGGGATAACACATCATTCGAGTAAGGATTCTTCTTCGTTCTCTTTTTGGAAAAGAAAACAGGAGCCATCACCTTCGTTTTTGGTGTTTAGATAATTGGAATCATGTCCTTGCACTACTGGTGAACCAACTCAACTTCTGTTCAAAGCTATACCGTTCTGTAGATAGCTTGGTTATGGTTCTGGTTTCTCCGGGAAAAACAGTGAGCAAAGGACAAGGTCTCCATTTCACTTTTCCTGGGCCTAAATACTGTACCCAAGGTGAGACTTTTGGATCCCCTTTGCTCCACAACACGATGGCCTGAGCTACAAACTCAGCAAAAGATTCCTAAGAATTGGCGTGTTCTGAGATATTTTCTGAACAGTTCAGTAATGTAACAACCAATCTATTTGGCCGCCGCTTTTGTGACGTTACCGAAATAATCCCGCATGGCTGGAAAAACTCAAAGGTCCCCCTGCATGAAGGTTGTCTTTGATGGGTAAGACATTCCTTAGTTCCCGAGGCTTTTCCGATATCCGGCCTACACTCATACGTCATTGTAGATCCGACTGCCGACCACCATCCTGCGACCCCTTATCTCCTTTTTTTGACACCGCGCTTGACGTGCGCATCTGACCTGGCTAGTGGTCCCTCATAGCTCTTACTTACATTTGTCGTTACCTGCCCCAACATGGTTCGTCGGGGAGTAAATTCTGCGGCCAACAATACGACGGAGACGGGGCGGCTATTGGGTTCGGCTTCTGACGAAGAGGATTACGAAGACGATTCATCTAGCCTTGTCCCTGGCTTAAATGACATATACGAATATCAGCAGGATAGGATAGGCGTGAAAGTAGCCGCGACTGCCTGGTCGTTCATTGTGCTGGGACTATTCGTATCCACAATCGGCGTCATAATCCCTCATCTCCAGCAAGATTATCAGCTCGATGACATACACGTGTCTTCGATATTCCTTGTTGGCCCGCTTGGCTACTGTTTTGCTTCATCGCTGAGCAACCGAATTCACCGTAGGCTCGGGCAGAGGGGTATAGCCATCATTGGCCCGGCATGCCATTTCTTTTATGCGGCCACTGGCGCACTTCATCCCCCATTTTCAATGTTCCTTGTTAGTGTCGGAATCGGCTCGTTTGGTATGGGACTCTTGGACGGCTCTTGGTGCGCCTGGGTCGCCGGACTAAAGAATGCAAACACACTGTCGGGCATTTTGCATGGCTCGTTTTCAATTGGTGCTGCTATCTGCCCATACATTGCCGGCATACTGTTTTCGGAAAACAATGGCCTATGGTACCAGTGGTTCTATGTACTGGTACGTGATTTATGAGCACCATTCACCAAAATCCACCCGTGGTTTACTAACCATGCGTCTCGGTCATTTGCATCTGCGTTGGAAGTCCTGGTTCTGTGCCTAGCATTCAGGCACGAAGACGCGGAGAGATACCGCAACATTCAATCCGATCCCAACCAGCAACTTCTCGTCAATCTAGATGAGAGGGAGATTTTGAATTACAGTGCCACCTGGGTTTACTCAGCATATCTCCTCGCAGACGTGGGTACTGAAAGTACAGTATCCGGCTGGGTCGTGGCATTCATGTTACGCGTTCGGCACACTAGCATATATATATCGAGTGTCTGCTCTTCCGGCTTCTGGGTAGGCATGGCAGTTGGCCGTCTGGCCTTGGGGCTCGTGACAGACAAGCTAGGCGCTCGCCGGGCAGTAATCATGTATCTTCTCCTTACGCCCGTCTTCATCGTTATTTTTACACTTGTCCGAGTTCTGTGGGTATCTGTACTTACCATGTCGGTTGTTGGATTTTTTATGGGACCGTTGTTTCCATCTTGTATTGTTCAATTGCTCAACCTTTTACCTAGAGGACTCCATGTTGGGGCTGTTTCTTTTGTGGCCTCGGTTGGCCAGATTGGCGGGGCGATACTTCCATATCTTCTGGGAGTTATTACGCAGGCTATAGGGCTGTGTGTATTCCCTTACATGCTCCTAGCGCAATTCATGGTTATGCTCCTCATCTGGACGTTGTCGTTGACGCTTTCTAGAAAGGAGGTTGAAGTTGAGGAAGAGAGGCAGGTTGACCAAGCTCAATGAGACTGCCCCGCCCTTCCATACCGTTTCCTATGAAGGTATGGCAGAGAAATTATATACTCAGGTTTCATCTCAAACTTTGGATTGGATATAGGATAGTGACCTGCGAGCCGCTGTTTGTTGCATGTTAAGGAAGATTGTGTGGTATTCCATAGAGAAATTTAGAGCCGAGACTAGGGGCTCAGATATTATATGCCGACACTGTCTGAATGAAATACTGAATAAGTGTAAACGATTGTTTGAATGAAGTAAGAGGAGTTAATCAGACCTCGTTTTCTATCTATTGCACCCTAACATCGTGTCTCTTACTCTCTGAGGCATTGTCCCGATTTTATTCGTCCTCGGAGTTAAACTACTTCGATCTGGACCGATCTTTCCTTACTAAAAATCCAGTAACCAGTGTCCTTGCCGTGTGCGTACCCTAGTTAATAGCATTAAGTTGCGGAGACTCTAGGAGCGTACTATGGGGAATACGAAAGAGTACTCAGATGACGCTCTGCTTTATCGTGGAGATGCCTATTTTGCTCTAGTCCCAAGACAATAGATTATCATGACGCACATAGTCAATGTCTTCAAACTCAAAGGATCAAGACCTGCCTTCCATGCATTGGGTATGTCCTACATGTACTAGGTCAGCTTCCTCCAAACGTGGCAATAAATATTGCCACCGAGATGTGTACCAAATAGCAGGACCAAATCTGTTGTGAGGGAGTCCATATCGGAACTGGCGAACCGGTTGAAGGCGTAGGCTATATTGTAGACCAGATACATGAGGCAAGATAGTATTCCGACAGCTGTAACCTAGAGCTCGACGTGGCAGTTCAGTTTAACACTGGTAGAGGACATGATCTTTTGGGAAGTAAGTCATACCCAGCTACAGAAGAAAAGCATGAAGACAAGTTGCATACCGTTGCTAATATTATTGAGGTCCTCATTCATAATGCCGCCACTGGAACGACTGAGGACGCTTTCAAGAAAGTCCATGCCAATGGACCAGAAGGAGGGAAATGACACATTGCAGGCAAAGCCTTTGCCAGTTCTCCTTCATCATTGATCGTGGAGTTAAGCGCATCACTGTATATCTTCATATGAGCTGACAGGTTTCAATTTAGGGCTTCGACCTCTCATGACATCATTTCTTTCCCTTTCTCTCTGTATTTTTGGCATCAGCACTCCACCCGCGCATGATAACAAACAACCAAATATGTGGAGGCTGCAATATCACCTCGAACAACCACAGTCGGCGGGTGATTTGCATTTCCCCAATCTAGTATTTTATCCACAAACTTTTCTCACGAGGTGTGGATCGGCACCCGGATAGAAGTCGTCGTCATCATCGAAGGTATGCGCAGCAGGCGTCGGGCTCATTTTCCGAGTCTTGATACGACGGTTCGGCGGTGTCTTGGGTGCATCAAGGCCGGCCGAAAGACCGGCCGAGTGGACGGACTGGGGCCAATCAAAGGACTTTTGAGTAGCATGCTCAGTCTGTCTGACATGTTCGGTATGGATTTTCTGGTAGGCTTGCTCGGACGTGCGCTCGCGATCGAAACGGCAACCTAAATGAGGGAGAACTAGACCATGGTTAGAATTCCAAGATAAGAAGGAGGGACCTCGGATATGTATCACGCATAATAACGGGCTGTAAGAGGAAGGACGGTCGCTTGATGATGTAAGAGTGAATGCTGGGGTTGGTTGGGTCGGAGGTTTGAACCAGGCAAAACGTACCTTTGGCGACCAGAATATTAGCGGCCTCGACAGCCTTGATTTGGTGATAAGCCAAATCTCCTGCGACATAAGGTTAGCGTCATGTCGCAACTAAGCTTGCAGAATTGCATGATGCGAAGATCTGCCGATCGGTAATCGACGTGGCGGACGCCGCAGACGCGCGGATGCCGGGACCGGCATGTGAATCAGCGGGGAAACGAAACCTCTCGAAAGGTCAATTTTGATAATGGAGATACATGTACATACTGAAACCTGGTGTAGTCGCAGGGGAACGGGCCGATTCCGTGGGGGTGAAGGGCCTCGCTGATGGGTTCAAATTGGGGATCTGAGATTGGTGCTGAGAAGTAAAAGCGTTGCCGCTTCCGGATTCGCAACCAAGGGAAGGCATTTTCATATCTTTCGGTGCTCTTCTGCAGTCGCTGCGAGCAATTGACGATGACTTGCTTGGTTGTTTGTTGCAGATTGTGGGGATGTTTCGGGAATTCGGCCTCGCAACATCTCATATCTCAGAGAGAAGTTTGGTGATTGAGGCGAGTGCTACGTTGCGTTGCAATGTGGTTGGGTTGATGAAAGAAGAAGGAGCGAAACTCATTGCTGAGGTCAGTATTTCTTCATTTGCATTTTGCTTTGTAATCCAACTCCGTTACAATGATGAAAATACAATTGCTACTTGTTGCATCATCATGGGAGCAAATCATAGTGGGGTTTACTTCTGATCTTGTGTGTGGGAGCAAACGGGTGATGAGAGTACACAAAGTTCGCCGACGCGTTCACAGAGAAGATTTCTCACCTCCAATATCTTTGGTACCTTTGGATTGTACTTGACTGTTACTCTTATTCCTGGCCGCTGTATTGATCAAATTCGAGAACAGGCGTCTCAGCGCACCACTCTACTCTCAGTTACAATGAGTCGATCATGTTCCTTGTCAGCTGATCTATGTACTGGCATTGACAGCAGACATGGATGTACATCTCGGAGCCAAAGCTATACACAAGAAACACCAGAAGGGCAGCCTTTCTGTTCATCGACTTTCTCCTGTGCGCGATTAGCGTACAATGCTTCTTTTGTTGGTCCATCCTATACGTTGATAGCTGAGGCCTTAATTTCAGCATTCTTTCTCTTGGCAATTAGAGTGCTGTCTTCCCTTTCCACCTAAGTTCAAATCCTTTTCTGGGATTTGCTTCAATTGCATTGAGACTTCGAAACTTGCCTGTCCCAAATAACAGACTGGGCCATTGAGGGCCAAAAGCAAGGTTGCCAAACGATATGACCACCGATATCTCAGCTTCGTGTGCAAACTTGATATGAGCTGCTAGATTCAAGTCGAGGTGAGGTCAGCTCTGGACCTTAGGGGTTGTTTCCCCACTATCGGTAATTGAGAACCTTCGAATCAATGCAGATGGAGCTAGCTCCGAAGTCAGCCATGCTCAGCACTTTGAAAGTTTTCGGGCCATGGAATTTGACTTCCTGAAAATATTGAAGAGACGATCCTAGCGATCCTAGCGACCCTAAACTCCTCATCATCCGACCAACTTAAGCCCGGACACAAGATTCCCCCGTTCGAAAAGAGCTCGGAGAAAGCTGTACATCTCCGAGAATCAGAACATAAGCTTGCTTCATTGTAAGCTTGACGGCGACACTGGCCATGCACAAAAAACATGCACAAAAAACAGACGGAGAAGCTTGCAGGCCAACGCCGAGGCCGTTGATGTCTTGCGTATCCGCTGGTACACACCATCAATGTCCACCCCGGTACACCCAAAATCCAATTATGATCGATTTCGTCAGTTCCGGAACCCGCCTCGGGCGGTGCTCCGATGTGGACGGCGGCAGCGGCCCGGAAAACATGATTCGTTGCGATAATTGCAAATCAGTCACCGGCTCGACTTCCTCTTTCGTCCAGTTGATGCCACCTTTTCGAGATGGTGGAAAGCCGGAGCGCCTACCAGCTCGCGGGGATTCGGTTGGACAGCTGGGAGAATAGGGAGCTGTGTGGTTTTACATCAGCATCTGTCATCCTAGTAAATGAGGCGCGTTTGCGCCAAGCCGTGACAGCAATATTCCCTCTACATGTGACCGCTGAATTTAGGCATAAAGAGCTCCCCACCTCATGATGGCTGTATGATGTGCTTTCCGTCTTGGGCGCCTCGTGAGTCTGGGTACAGCCTGCCGCTTGCTTTTGACTCGTGACGTGGGGTTGCAGCGTTCGAGACCTGATTCTGGATAAGGGTTAGCTCTATGTCGTAATGCGAGCGGAATCGAGCTGTCCGCATCTCCGTCGTTTCCCCCAAGGCCATCCAGGCCCATGGCACATTCAACTAGGGGCCGGCATAGTGTACTTACAAGTCAAGCACGCCCAGCATTACCCACATGTCGCGGGGGCCGAAAATTACACCACTCAAGCCCGCTTCTCGAGGTTAACCATATTGCGTTGCAGCCATTTCGGAATCAACTAGACCTTCCCATCTGGGTATGTGGTGGCTACGACTGAGCCTTGGCACATAATCCTAGCCCGCTCGGAGGTAGAAACCACATCCCACGCGCAACTTGCTGTTCGGAAGACATCGGTTGAGACGATACGTGGTTGCGTTAGTGTTGTCTTTCCAAGGATCCACCCCCGAAGCTTGAAGAAGCAACCCTCCAAGGCGCTTCTGTTCTCCCCGCCAGGGTAAGGAAAGTGAGGCCTCATGGCCACGATTGTCTTGCCGATCAGTGATACATGCCGGCAGCCGGCAGTCGATGTAACGGTGCGCCACAACGTTCTCAGGCTTAGTCGTGATAGCAGCCCTCTGTCCTAGCCGGGGAGTCGAGCCCCACTCCGCTGGCCGGGCCGTCGTGAGCGTTTGCTCGATTTCATTTGTGGACTTCGAGCGAAGAGACGGCAACAAACAGCCCAAACGACGTGATTGCATCAAGCCCAACAGGATCAAACGGGCTCGATGATGGAATATGCAGCGTGTTGCAGGATTCTGCCCGGTTTATTGGCGTACTCGGTGAGGGCGTTGTCCACTTCGTTGCGCAGGATTATCCAGCGATTTCCTGTTCAAGAAGTTCGCGGTCAACTCACCCGCGACCCAACAAAGACATAGCATCTAGAGAAGTGAACAGATTTGATTAATACCTTCTCAATTCGGAATAAGCATGTCCATGTCTCAGTCTCTGATAGTTGTGGTACTGTAGATGTGTGGAGCTTGACGTCTGCTGGCTGCGGAAGGACTCACTCTGCACCCAGCATCCTTGCGGATAAACTTGCTTTTTGATGCAACTCAAGGCGGGCATATGTGATTTTGAGGTTTTTTCATTCCTGCATCCGATCAAGGGAGGAGGTCGAACAGAGATTCGAGTGTGGTGAAGGGGACGTTGAGCGCCACGGCCCAAGGGAGGTCGGCCGGATATTTAAAGACTCGATAACTCGCAAGTTAATTAATGACTATGTCTGAAGATCTCAGGAGCATTCACTCCTCCATTATAGGAGGATTTGGAATAGCCTGCCCTTTACCTGGCACCCTTCTCGGAACTTATCCCTGCCGTAATCTTTTCTGTTCTATTTTTGTCTCACCAATATGCAGAACCAAACATCTCAGAATCCGGCCTTGCCTCCGGTTGGACAAGTTCCTCGCTCGTTCACCCAAGGCGCACAAATCAGATCCAGGTTTCCCACTGTTACGGCCGCTTTTTATCACCATGCAGAGAGTCATCGAGACGTCACTGCGGCTCGTGACCTCTCGGCACCGCAGGTTCGAGACATCACATATGGCGATCTTGCCCGCCGGGCCAACCAGTTGTCCAGAAAGCTTACCAGTCTCGGGGTTCAACCTGGTGACCGAATTCCGCTTGTCGTCAAGCGAGGTATTGACATGCTTGTTGGTATCATTGCGATCCTCTCTTGCGGAGCTCAATACGTGCCACTCGACGGCGGTGTAGTACCTGACTCAACACTGCGATTCGTACTCAAACAAGCCGGTGGAACACACGTTTTGTGTCTAAAGTCAACAAAGTATCGGTTCGAGACACTCGGTTCCCCCTGCGATGCACTTGTCATTGACGAAGACTTGGGAGAAAACGAAGATAATTTGGAAGCCCTTCCATTCCGTGACCTGGCCAAGCCGGAGCACGGGTGCTATGTCATCTACACATCTGGTATGAACCGGACATCAATGAGAAACATTATTGGCCCAAAAGCCCAGCTGACCGTGCCCCCAGGAACTACTGGCACTCCGAAAGGAGTTGATGTAACCCATCAAAATGTAACTAACCTTGTCTGCCTTTCGCCTGGCGATCTGAGCATCTCCACCGGGACACGTGTGGGTCAGGTCTTGAACATCAGCTTCGACATGGGTAAGGCAATGAACTTGCTTCATCTAATTATCGTTGCTGATTACTCTGTAGCCGCGTGGGAGATGCTGGGATGTCTTTGCAATGGAGGAACTCTCGTTCTCAGAGGCTCCAACTGGGAACCATGTCTGCGAGAGGCAAGGATTAAATCCTATGAAACTCGAGAGACATGTACTAATAACTTATTAGGCCCAAGTTTTGATCTGTACACCAAGCATTCTGGCAAAGTACGATCCTCGAGAATACTCCAACATCAGAGTTGCTGCGACTGCCGGTGAACCCAGTTCTCAGAGGTAGGCTTGAAAGTAGACCAGCAAAGTTGAGCTTGGGCTAATTCTTCCATTCAGACTCGCAGATTTGTGGGCCACACATGCAACCTACTATAACTGCTGCGGACCAACAGAGACCACCATTGTCAACACCATGCATCTTCACCAACCAGGAGAAGCTTTGACAATTGGCAAGCCAACTCCTAACAATACAGTCTATATTCTCGATTCCGATGGAAAGCCTCTGGGGATTGGTGAGACCGGGGTGATGTGGGCTGGTGGTCATGGCATCTCTCGTGGTTATGTGTCTCTGCCGGAGAAGACTGCTGAGCGATACAGGCTAGACCCTTTTGCCAACGATGGGTAAGTCTACAAAACGGTATTATCGAGGTCTGTAGTAAGTAACCATTTTCGGTAGCTCCATGATGTACAACACCGGGGACCTTGGTCGCTGGAGACATGACGGCTGCATTGACATCCTCGGGCGAGTCGATGATCAGATCAAGATCAAAGTCAGTAAAAGCTCACCTTTGTTGTGCTTTCTGATTCATTTTCTTACAAAGCAGCTCAGGGCTTCCGAGTCGAACTTGACGGTGTTACTTCATCGATCAACAGTTGTTCTGTCGTCTCAAAAGCCGCAGTACTGTTCATCCACAACGAGATCCATGGGTTTGTTACGCCACGTAACTGCGATCTTGACATCATTCAGGCCCACATCAGAGCTCGACAGCCTTACTACGCCATCCCTACCAAGTTTCATTTCCTCGACACTCTGCCCCTGACTTTGAATGGCAAGGTGGATAAGCGAGCTTTGCAAGACTTGGTCACTGATGCCGACAAGGAGGTGACGAGCATCGCCATCAAAGAGATTGGCTCCCAGCATTCTCTCTCTACGAGGAGCAACTCCTCTACCAGTGAACTCAAAACCGAGTCCTCTGCTTCTAGCTTCACAGATGTGGACGAGAAACTTGATCTTAGCCAAGACATCCCTGTCAAGCGCTTGGCTCAACCATACCGCGGTTTCACGCACCGCATCGCCATCGTCTACCGCTGCTTGTTCACCATAGTCGGCCTGATAAACATCGCTGCAATCGTCGTACTATTTTTCACCGGACTCCAGAGGAATTGGCTCAGCAACATCACGGCTATCAATCTTCTTGTTGCCGTTCTCGCGCGTCAGGAATTCGTGATCAATGTCTTGTACACAATCACCTGCAACGTACCCAAATACTGGGCCCTTGCCGTTCGAAAGCGCTGCGCGAGGATCTTCCACCTCGGCGGGGTTCACTCAGGTGCCGCTGTTTGTGCGGGCGCTTGGCTTCTGGCTACCAACGTCAGTGACGAGGTTTGTCAGCTCACCGAGTGCTCTACTTGGGGCTACCAGTCCATGGCCTCAAAGGTCGTATCTTGGATGCTCACCGGTCTCTTCACTATCACGATTGGACTTGCCTGGCCTTCATTTCGGAAAACGCATCACGACCTCTTCGAGAAGACGCATCGTTTCGTTGGCTGGACGATGCTTGGTCTCTTTTGGGTGCAGGTTGTACTTGGTGCCAATGACGGAAGACCGGCGAACGTCTCACTTGGTACAGCTTGCGTTCGTACCCCCGGAATCTGGTTGCTTGCCGTGGCAACCATGAGCATCGCCTCTTCTTGGATGTTCCTCAGAAAAGTTCCTGTTGAGGCTGAAGTTCTCTCCAACCACGCTGTGAGGCTGCACTTTGGCTACACAGTCCCCGTCAATGGCAGCTTTGTAAGACTTTCGAGGCGACCGCTTCTTGAGTGGCACTCCTTTGCCACCATCCCGGCTCCAGAGAAAGTGGGAAACCATCCCAAGGGATTCTCGTTGGTGGTCTCGAATGCTGGCGACTGGACAAAGAACTGCATTGAGAAGCCACCCACTCACATCTGGGTGCGCGGCGTTCCAACTTGTGGTGTGATGCGGATTGCCACTTGCTTCAATAGGATTGTTGTTATTGCTACCGGTTCGGGCATTGGTCCTCTACTTGGGCATATCCAGGATCAGAGTTGCGCAACCCAGTTGATCTGGTCTACCCCAAGACCCGAACAGACCTTTGGCAAACAGTTACTTGACAGTATCAAGTCCAAGATACCCAGCGCGGTGATACATGACACCAAGACCATGGGTCGCCCGGACTTGGTCAAAATGGGTTACAACATGGTGAAGAGCTTCCAGGCTGAAGCCGTTATTATTATCGCCAATGAAAAGATCACGAAAAAGGTGGTTTACGGACTTGAGACTCGCGGCGTCCCAGCCTACGGTGCCATTTGGGACTCCTGAGAATTGGGACACTATGGGATTTGAGCAGTTGATACTGTTGTGGTCAATTCGTTAGTTTCTTACTTTTTTGGTGTCGGGGTGCCGGCGTGGCTTGATAGCAATTTCCCTTTGTCCTGTCTATATCACAATCCTCATCTTGGGTGAGATTTGTCTGTCATTTATGATTCATGGTATGACTTAGCTAGCGTTTGGGAATTCAAGTTCAATTTTTAACAACCCGCGGTTAGGTGACGTTTCGGCCCACCTCGTTTTCGCCATCTTGTACACAGAAAGGTCCTAATAACTGAAACCCCGACGCGTTATTTGCCCATTTCATTGCATCTTCCGGCAATGGACAACTGAATTACTTGGCTGCCTTGGTCCTCCCAAAATCAAGCTTCTCCCACTTCATAAAGCAGCCGCTCAAAAATGCCAAAGCCCCTGCGGCCACAATGATGTACTGTATGTTTGCAATAACGCTTGCAACGTCTGACACCGCCAGCGCAGCTACTCTCCGGTCTGCGGCGGCCCAGATCTTGGAATCTTGGCCAGCCAAAGCTTCACGGATGTCGTCTTCACTATAGCCCAGTCCAGAAAGTGAAGCGTTGAGACGGTTGAATCCAACATTATGGAAGAGGCAACCTGCCAAAGCAATTGTGGTCGAAATGCCGCCAAGCTGCACCAGGATGAAGAGGGCAGTAGCATCGAGGCGTCGGTTCGCAGGCACACTTTGCGTCAAGATGGCAACACCATTCTGCCACATGCATCTAGTTCCAGCACCTATAAGAATGCTGACCCCCATGATCCGGCCCTCTGAGCTCTGGGCAGTGAGCTGTGACTGGAGTCCTCCTCCAATCATGGCCAAAGCACCACCAACGACGTAAAACGGGGCGTATCTGCCAATGACAGGTATAAGACCAGCCATGAAGATGGTGAATACGATGAAAGTAAAAATGAAGGGCAAGAGTCGTACGGCAGCTTGTACTGGCTCCAACCCCTTTGTGAAGGCAAAGAATAGGGGAGTGTAATACAAGGCGATACCGTAGCAACTTCCAGCTGCAAAGGTCCCCAAGCAGATCAATGAGATTGTCCTGCTCTTTAAAAGGTCCGCAGGGATATTCCGGTTTTCTTTACTGGTGAAAAGGCAGAAATATTGTTGCAGGAAGTAAGAGGCATAAATGACACCGACAAACACCCAGGCCACAATTGCGGAGTGTGAAGACCAGTCCCATGCGGAACCACTGAAGATGAGGGCAAAGCATAAGAGGATGAAGCCAGCCATATGTAGAACCACGCCAGTCCAGTCGATAGCGAGGAGGCTAGCAAGAGCTGAAATATTTGGTGCGACATGGATGGGAGGCAGCGCCACAAAGATGAGCAGGACAATGCTAGCAAGAATCGGCAGGTTCAAGTACATAGCCTGGCTTTGAGTTAGCCAACACTACAAACACCAATAGTGAGTATACGAGGTACCACATACCCATCTCCAGGTAGCGTTCTGGTTTTCGGCAAAAGCCCCTCCGATAACTGGACCTAACGTAAGCCCAATAGCCCACGATACCGCCATCATACCTTGGAAGCGAGGCACCTCAGCGGGTGTAGAAAGAAGCACATTAACGAGAAGGGTGCTGTTGACGAGATGTCAGTCAAGCATCTCAAGACGTGAACGAGAGGGTGGCTTGTGCTTGTGTACTCACAGCTGGTAACTGCCAGCCCCTCCGATGCCCGCAACAGCACGACCGATAATGATCGAGTCCACGCTCGTGGCCGATCCCGAAACAGCGGCTCCAATGAGGAAAATCGTATTGTAGACGACCAGCTGCAACTTAACGTTGCCAAGAAATGCTAGCTTGCGGACGAGCGGAACCAAGCAAACTTGGCTGGCGGTGTAACCCGTGGCGACCCAGGGTAGGAGATGGACATGTCCAAATGCTTCGTATATGGGAGCCTGGATATTTGCGATGTTACTGACGTCGTAGCCTAAGAGTCAAAGTCGGTATGTCAGTCTGCTGGAGGGAGATTATTTGGACTGGAACGGCCTCCGACTCGTTGCCTACCTACCAAGAAGCATGCCTCCTAGGATGAAAGCTGTTTGAACACAGGGCCATCTCCATGACGCCCAACCTTCTCTCGGGTGGCTTTTCTGTTCCACAGTGGTGCTGGCCTCCTTTGTCTCCGGAGAAATGCTGCCGGCGACAGTGCTACCGCGCTCGACGTCACTGCCAGATGTTGCTTTCGTATCGGTCTGCATTATCGAGTAGAGGTCTCAGCTTCCAATGGAATATAGAAGACAGATAATCCACCGTGGGGCAGGAGTATGAAAGACGAGAAAGCTTGCAGAAAAGTGGCGAGCGTTTTCGGGCATTAAAGATCACTTGAGACCACCCTCCTTCCGAAGATTGTTCGCTTGAGAAGCCTTATTAAATCCTGTGGAATTTGATGTTTCCTCGTTTTTTGGCCTCGGCTGTTATCTACTTTAATCGCCCCCAGTAAGTCTCATTCGGCGCTTAGAACCAACTGCCTGGACCAAACACTGCAGCGTGATATTGCCCGGTCTCAGTAGTCCTGGCCCCCACCAGTCAAAGATGATTACGAGGATGTGATCCAGATCTGGAAGGGAAGCCGACGCACAAATGTGAACCCACGCGATAAGGCGGACGATGCCTGGTCTGAATTGGTGCTGCGGCACAGCTCGTTGTGTGCAGTAGGGACACGTCTAATCGTTTTACTCGACAATGGCCCGGCGTACCAGAAAAGATCTTCGTCGCCTGATCTGATCCTGCCAAAAGGCATCTGTATTCCTGTCGATGGCGTTCCAATCAGGCTGGGGTTTGAGATGGAGTTGAGTGTCCCACGTCAGCCGGTGAGAGCTAAGCACCTCCCATATCTTAAGCCTGTGCCGTGCAAAGTGTTGATTAGCTCTCGAGGGTGACATTTCTATGCTTTTGGTATCCGCCTCTAGTAACATCGCTTCCGTAACGGCTGCATCCTTCTCCGTCTCACTGTGTGCGTCTTGCATGCAAGTACCAGCCCTGCGGGACTCTCGGGCCGACTGGGATTCGTGCAATCAGATGCGGCAGGTCCGTCGGACTTTAACCTAGCACTTTAAACGAGGACTGCAGTGAACGGGCGACTCAGAAGAACATTGTTTGCTTTACGCTGATCATGCCCCTGTTGGTGTCTAACCAGGCTTGGCAGAAGCAGGCTCCCCTGCACGTTCATCACTCCCAAGAGTTGATCGGCGACGTGGCACAGAATCATTCCGCCCGACGATTGACGAGCCCTGATGAGTGAGTGTCTTCAGTGGCAGCATACATTAAGATCTAATAATAAAATTCGGTCAACGGCATAGCGTCATGACGCCTGGGTGCATGGAAGGCGTGCGTTCGTTGTAAGTTATTGCAACTCAGTAGCTGGACGGTGGTGGGTGTGTGTTAAATTCAAAACGCAGATCGCCAGTCATATATCCGTATCCGTATATGTATTGTAAACAACAGCTAACAAACATTACTGCTTTGGGAGACTTTGGCAATATTATTAAAGTCGGCTGATAAAAGGGGACCCCAAATCATGCGCCACTGCTCGTCCCATCACCCATTTCGATTCCGACAACCCACTCTGTTGCCAGGAACACATAGATAGCACTTTGTTCCGGCGGCTCATCCGAAAGAACACAGATAGATGGATCTTTCCACCATCAACAGAATAGACAAAAAAAGATTCAGCAAAAAAATGGACTGTGCCCAGAGGCGGATTCGAACCGCCGTCAACACGGATCGCTGTATAGAAGAACCACAACGTATCATCCTAACCAACTAGACGATCTGGGCGGGTAGGCTGGTAACCCTCAATTGACCGGGGTGGTTAGAAAAGCCAGTAAGAAGGCGGCTGGCTCACTCTGCGCTCAGTTTCTTTCTCCACATCTATTTTAGAGTTCTAAGTTAAAGCAACACCACATTATTTATCACCTGTAAGTTCAATCGGGACGTCGATGCTTAACTTCGTGAAACCATCCGCCATAAAGAATACTAGGAAGGGGTATTAAACGTCACTGGCGGCGCTGCACAATCCCCCCCGGTGAAAATAACCCCATTGTCTTGTTGAATAGGTTTGAAAGGAAGCTTAGTACCAGCGGTCGACGATGCTTTCTTCGGGTCCAACACTTTTGTCAGCGACAATCAGCTCACATGAACAATGAACGCTGCGCATTGTCTGCATTTTCAACGCGATGAACAACCATCGACTGGAAGCTCGATTTTTGAAGCTATATATAAGAAGATGGTTCAGGAGGCGGCTCTCAACCAACCTTCTTGCAGCAACCAATTCAAGAATCATAATTACCAGCCTACCCACATTCCAAATCTTCTCACATCTCGTAGCTCGAATCCTGGGATAAGTATCACCGAGCTCACTACTAATATCCTTGCATCCACACTCCTGAAAGATAGAATCAGGAGACACCATGACTGACTTTGAAGAAACAGGCAAGAGGTCGGGCGATGATATTGGTGGACGCAACAAAAGACGGCGACTTGAGCCGCCTCAAAGCCACACTAACATGCGAACCCTTCTGCGAGCCGCGGGACTTGGCGGTGAGACTCCAATATCAAACAGCACCGAGCAGCAAGAACTCGGTCATGCCAATCGCACCAAACCGCCACCGGCGGTATCTGACCCGGTTGCCCTCTACCGACGAGGTCGATACATACCCACAGGCGCCGGCAATCACCAAATTCGGGTCCCAGCATTCCTCCGCGTAGTGTCGCCGGACGGAGAAGCTCCCCACACGCAGGAAGCTGAGGCCCCCAAAAGCCCGAGGTTGTCTCCATCGCGTGAAGCTCCTACTTCCCGGCCCCCAAGCTCCGTTCCTCTCGACCGCCGGCCCGCGGCCAACCCACAGAGTAACGTGAAAGCGGTCAGAGTTTGTCCGCAATGCAGGGACGTTCCATTGGGCCCCGGTCCCATCGTGAACGGCGAGCCCACCTATCCCGTCTGCGAGAGCTGCCGCCAGGCCAATATCAGACGGCAGGTCCTCCGGGGCATAGCTGCGCAAGCGCTCGTAGAACTAAGCCAGCGCGTCACTTCTCGCGCGCCAGAGCAGAACGACCAAGTGCAGGATGTGAGAGGTCAGTTTCTCAACGGACTCGGCCGCTTGCCCAAGCGTCCTCAAGAATTTACGTGTCTACGGTGCAAGAGGCCGCATATGCCCCTGGCGCCAGGTCGGAGACGCTGTGTAGAGTGTATCTGCATCCTCATCGCTTTTGGCCCCGACGGAGGCGAAGAGCAGGCCGCTGCCGATGCCAGTCAGAGGCCAGAGGGAAAACGGGGGAAACGGCCGGCGGAACTGGAGCAGCAGCCTCAAGACGAGCATTGGCACATGTGCGACGGCTGCTTCAAGAAGCCGGTTCCCCCTGGCGAGAGGAAATGCCCGCGTTGTGTGGTCCGGTTCGCCCTGATGCACCGTATGCAGAATATGTGCGTCATTTGCGAGCGAAAACCCGCTGTCGGGGGTCAATCCTGCTGCGGCGACTGCGAAGTCCAGAGCAGTCTCGGCTCAGGCGCCATCACGATGGCCACTTCTGTGGTTTGCAACGCTTGCGGGTATTACGTTGACGAGACTACAGATGGGCTTTGCCGGGGCTGCCGTGCGTCTCGTGCGTCCACGAGCGCGGCCGTAAGCAGAGGGAGCCGAAGATTGTATGATGATTCGGACCCGGTGCACACACACACACCCGAGGTGAGATGGCCTTTGTTCAAGCTGTGAGTAGACAGTCGTTCTAGTGGTTTTCTCTACCGGAGAGAATCCGTCAAGGCCGGACAATATAACATCACGGATATCCCGAGACTCTGCTCGGGGCAGGCTGCGCGGAGGAAGAACTGAGCCTAAAGAGGGCTGACAACGTGCTCGGAACAAAAACGATAATGGGTACAGACTACGGTATGTACTTGCACCTAGAAAATAGATGGAGTATTTTGGTCGCGTTAAAGCGTCGCTGTAAGCATGGATAGAGATCAAGTTGAAGGTCGTTGAATTCTTCAGGCGGCAGTCCCGCAACGAGCCCTCTCTGACTTTTTCCCAAATGAACCCGACGTTTGATAATGGAAAAGCGACAATATGGTTTTTGAATCGTTTCGTAAATGGTCCTGGCCTCAGCGGGGATAAGATACGCAAACAGGCCAAGACATGCCTAGTAAGTGTTGTCCGCGTCTTTGTAGTGGGCGGGTTAAACAATCGTACGTTTGCCTTGCTTTCGTAGAATCCTTGTTGAATATCAGAAACAACCTTGAGAAATATGGACGAAAAGTCGTTGGGGGGAACAACTTTGCTATAAAGAAAGAAATGCTGATAGCCGCAAATATCTTGAATCATGTACGCCCCTGGCAATGGACTAGGCGTTAAATAATCGGTACCGATACTACCCTCTCTACATTCCGTTTGCGCGCCTTCCACCGCGTTTACTCCTGTCAATGTGACCCTGCAACACCTTGCGCGTCTGCACCAAACTCCTCTTGTTCTTGTGCTTGGCCTTGTTCAGCGTCATCAAGAAGTTCTTCTGGCGCGCCTTCTCCTTGTTCGTCGTGCTCTTGCCCTCGGCGTCCTTCTTGGACCGGCGGATGGCCTGCGTCGACTTGTGCTCCTCGCGGCCAGGCTTGCCCTCCTTAGCCATGGCCACCCTCTCCTCCTTGGTCGTCTTGCGCAGCCTGGCCGGCGCCTCGATCTGCTCGGCGGTGAGGCCGTCATCGGCGTGCCGGGCCAGGGCTTTCTCGATCTCCTTCTGGCGCTTCGAGGTTCGGTTGCCCAGCGTCTTGTTCAGGCTGGCTTCCATGCGCAGCTCCTGGAGCTTCTGGAGGTCGGCGGGCGTGAGGATGGTGGTCGTGGCCAGCTTTTGTATCCTCTCCATCTCGGCAGCGCTATCCTCGTCGTCCTCGGAGTCGGATCCGTCCTCTCCCGTCCGGCGCTTCTTCGGCGCCGGCTCGTCGTCTTCGTCTTCCGAGTGGCTGACGTTGATCCATCCACCCGAATCATCGCTGTCGTCGGAGTCCACTTCCCAGTCTTCGGATTTGTAACCGTCCTCCTCGTCTTCCTTGTCGGAGCCGTCCTCGGGAAGACCCTTGGCAGCACGCTTCAGCTTGCGCTGCTCCTCTTTCCACTTGGCCAGCAACTCGATGCCCTCGATACCTCCAACCTCTTCCTCTCCAAATCTCTTCGTCTTTATCTCGCCGCTCCTCAGACCCATGGACGCGTCCTTGCCTCTGTCCTTCTTCATCAGCATGTCCGCGCCAACCTCTCTGTACAACGACAAAAGACCCTTTGCAGCCATCATGGTTCCCTTGTCTTTGCTCTTTCGGTACTGGACAAGATCCTGCAGCAACGTGTCGGTCATGGCCAGGGGCTGTCTCGCGCAGATTTCACGGATGGCGTTGAGACCGGCGGCGGCAACCTCGGCGGCGGCGGCTTCTGACACAAACTCATTGGCGATCTTCTGGATAAGAGGCTCGACAGCATCCGGGGGAACCAGGTTATGTGTTCCCTGGGCGAGCGAGGCCAGGTAAGAGGTGACGGACTCTTGACGAGGCGTAAGGAACTTGATGAACCACGAGTAGAGATTGATGATGGTCAGCTTGTGGAGACCGACCAGTCTCGTCACCAGCTGCAGGACCAGGAGTTTGTTCTCATGCGCCATCTTAGTCTTGGTGTTCTGCAAGTGTTTCTGGAAAACGTTCTCGGCAAAGCCCTGAGGGTCATGTAAGAGATGGAAGGCCGAGAAGTTAAGCGGGTGAGGCTTAGCCTTGCTGCGCTCCTGCTTGTGAACCTTGGCAACGGCCTTCTTGTAGGCGTTGGCCTGCTTCTTAGACTTCTTGTTGATGCCGATCTGATGCTTTATCTTCATCAGGTCAACCGCCTCCTCGTCACTGCTGTCGTCCTCCAGCTCCTCGCGCTCCTTGTCTCCACCGAGGAAGAACCGCACGGCACCGATGACAACCTTTTCGTTATCGGACAGGGCCGCCTCCTTCATGACGTCGACAGTCTTGGCATCGGTCCAGATCTGACGCTTCCACAGCTCACGTGTGAGCTTCACGGCCCAAATGCCCTTGGGCGAGGTGCGGTCGGCGGTGATGAGGTTGTAGAGGACAGTCTGAATGGTACGGTTGAGGGGGTGGTTCGTAGCCTTGGCGTTCGCATTGCGCATCTCGGTAAGGATCTTCTGGAAGAGGAGCGTTCGCAGCGTCTTGCTTGGCGAAGAAACGAGGATTGGGAAGAGCGTCGTCAGGAAGCTCGTCGAGTCGATGACTTCCTTCTTGCGGAGAAGCGCCAGACTTCCGACAATCTTCTCGCGCAGCTCGGGGTGCAGGACCTCGTGGTGCTGCAGGAGGATGGCCTTCAGGTCGTCGGGGAAGGCAACGGCGTGTTTCGGGTACAGGTCCACGGTGTGCGCGAGAAGGTCGACGAGGTTGTGAAAGGACTCGGTGTATTCTCTCGTCGCAGTCGTCGGCGAGCCGAGGAAGACCTCGCGCTGACTCTCATATTGGCCCCATTGCTGGAGGAAGTTCTCTTCGTACGACTTGGGGTCGCGGCGGATCTTGTACTGCAGGCTCGCGCTGCAACGATTAGCAATTGGCGCATATAGCTGATCAGATGAAGGCTTACAAGTCTACATCGACCTTTTCGAGGGCGGCGACCTTGCGCTTTCCCATGATCGCTGTCTGCTTGGATTAAGTCGGGAGTGTATGGGGTGTCTGAGCGACGGCGCGGGGAGTTAGTTGCCCGTCAAAAAATCTCAAAGGGAACTTTTTGCATCTTATCGTTATCTTATCTTATCTAGACATTGAATTTTCTCGTCGTCTTATCTAAGCATGTGGGGCAAAGCCTGACCGAGCCACCGAGAACCGGCAACTCTGAACCGGCATCACTCACCCTGGCGGCGATCAAGGGATGAAGCACGGCGGAATTTACGGTGAAGAGGCCAACCGCATGGCAGCAAGGATACATCTTTACGATGCCAATCTTCGCCGTCATTCTACCGTAAGGCTAGCTTCGTGTTCTTCTTCGACTTGTCACGAGGAGTATATGATAGGTTAATACCATGGACAGTAAATGCCTGCGACGAGCAGCGATCCGTCGGCCACATAAAGTATCGTGTGAATCAAAAGGTCCTTGACTATAATCCCTCAATCTCTCTGCGAGAATAACCTCTAGTATTGCTTTCTCTTTGCTTGTACGAGAGTGTGAAGTTGGCTCTTGAACTCCTGGAACAAATAAAACCGCAGACTTGGAGGATATGGAAAAGTGATGGACAGTTGATTCTGTCTGAAATGTTCAACCTTCAATCAGAAGATTAGCAGATCCATCACCAGACCGGTAGAATATGCTATTGCGCATGAGGGAGATGCGACAGTAGTTATGCTTTCGAATGCAGGATAACTCGCTATTTTCTCCAAAAGGGGAACCGGAGTTAGTAGAAAGCTACATCTAACTGATTAATCTGGGCTGTCGCAGAGCACTTGCGATTACAGATAAATAGCATCCCGCCTAGGTAGCCACCCGAGCAATCCTGATGAGCAACGTCGAAGCTACTTACGATCTGATATTTCGACCGGACTTAATCATAGTAACTTTAAGATCATGCCAGAAAGGACGTTGAGCTTATCATTAATGAAAGCCAGTGTTGTGTCATGATAATCATTATTAACACGAGGAGTACTATAGGACATTGAGGCATGGTAAACAGGTTTGAGCGTTATAATTTGACTCAATATGGTTTACTTTCTCCGACGATTTAACGTTTTTATACATTTTTGAATGTGAATTAGTTCTATATCGAGGTGGATAGGTTTCCACGAGAAACATATCACCGTACCTCAAAAAGACCTTCTCACGATGCTTGTCAGAGATAATGAGACTTGGTTCCATCAAGATGCCTTCTTCCAATGATAGCCGTATTGCGCATGTGTCTGCTTAATGACTTCAAGGCCTTTATCCCACATGATCATCCTTTTTTCCCTGGGTATCACGGCGTTGGGCACTTTCACCAAGTCAATCGGCTGTCTCCGTAAATTTGTAGCTCTCTGGAAAGACTCACTTTCTAACCACCCATGGAATGCTTCCTCTAGATAAACGGCCTCTACGCCGCTCTCCGGCTTACCCTTCTCTTCCCGTTTTTTTCTTGACACGCGCCACGAACGTCAATTGTTCTTGGACGAGAATGTCGATGCCGGCGACCACAAGGAGCATTCTCTCGGGCAACGTCTCCTCGCTGGCCAAGAACGGACTCATCCTTGGGTTATCCAAATCATTTACCTTCGTCGACGCCGCGTACGGATCATACAGCGGCTGCATGAACGACATCGGATCGTTCTTGGGGAAGCTGGCCGGGCGTCGACATCATCGATCGCGGCTGGGAAGGGATATACGGGCGCGAGGCGGTAACTCAGGCTAACGGCGACCGCTCCCGTTTCTGCCGCGACGAGCGAGCAAAACGGAGCGCTTGCCTCCGGTATGCCTCCCACGAAGCCGCCCGCATGGCAGTCGACACGCAAAGGCCGCAGGCCGTTTCGGCCAGTTCCTACACCGGATCCGTTGAACAGAAGAGCGCGTAGGGAGCGGTCATGGCTAACGGGTATGTAGATGACAGTATAGGGCCGGCGAAAGAGGTTCGGGGCCAAGGCTAGGGAGTTTGAGAGAAAGACTACAGGCTGGAGGGCGAGGAGTCGCCAACGAAGGGACCAAGGGAGGTGGCGGCCGAAGAAAAGGGCGTCAAGTGTCGGCCTAACAAAGGCAACAGCAATATCTTGAAGCGTGCGAAACATGCTGGTGGCGATTAGGCGGTTCTCTGCTATGACCTTTGTGAATCAGGCCGTCAGATTCATTCTCGGGAGTGTGCTGGGTGTCAGGCTTGCGAGCACACATTGTATTCAGCTACTCCTAGCGCGGCGAATGGTCCCCTTTGCTTCCGATGGGCCCCCGAGTGTAAGTCGGCCCAAATGTAAGACCGATTAGCTGAACGTCGGCCAGTGGCAGTGTCAAGGGATGGCGTCGACACTCGGTGGACCATCGTCTTACCCCCTCACCCGCTCAAAGGCACGCGGGCAACGCGATCGGAGCGGAGCGGGCCATAGCTGCACGTTTCGAAACATTTTCTGGGGAATGCTGGGTGTCAGCATGGTCAACCGAAGCGTTGTGTGGTTAAACGGGCACACGGGCTAACAGCAAAACAGAGTTCGGACGAAAAAGATCGGCGGTAGCAATCCCAGCTTTGCGGAACGCCCATCCGGCGAGGCATCCGGGATGGGGGACTGAACCACGTAATCTGCGACGCTGCAATGACTTAATGACTCGAGGCTTCACAGCCTTGGCCGGGCCACGGTCAGACACACGTGGCACCGGTTTCTTCTTAAGCATGGCCTTGATCTTGCTCGTGTCATTAGAATGGAGTATCACCGATTAGATTTCACGCGACTTGAGATTTGTCGATACGGCTCATGGAGAAAGGATAGTAAGTGCAGAATGAGACATAAGGGCAGGGAACTTGCAAGCGTCCCGCCCACGCACGCCCTTGGAAGTCTCTGTTCCGTCTCAGTCTGTGAGTCTGAAGTCCGAGATATATGCAGCGTTCGACAGCAACGCCAAACGAACCTAACCTGATGTTGACTAGATCGTTTGTTACATTCATCGATAACCGAATGAAGGGACAAACGAAGGAGCCGGCCCAAATGGAGTGCCCTGGTGTCACTGCGGATTGGAGAGATCGTGTACAGAATTACTCTTAATAATTACATCTGTGAATACCATAATGGCAACATATCAATAAACCCAGTCATGTTTCTCGTCAATGCGGCCATGAACATTTTCCTTCGTGAATACGCGTGCCCCAAGCAATCGGGTCCGTATTATCCCATCTGAGCTCTCAAACCGGCTGCTTCAGACCGGGCAGAGGGGAATGCAATACGAGGCCAATAGAATAAACGATCAAGCCCGTTGTGAATTCGAATCCGAAGAAATCTCGTAACAACCCGAAGGGGCTGAGGACGATTCTCTTTCCCTCCAAGCTCGTTCAGCTTCAAAATTGCAATGATTCCTCCCCCCAAGCCTAGCAGCGGGCTTCTAGATAAGACGAACGGATATTTCTCGTTCTTTCAACGCTTTCATTCCCCCGTCTGGCAAGACGCTCAAAGGTCTACGTATACACGTTAGCATGTCTGTCGTCGCTCAAACCATGGGAATCTTCCAAAGCTTACCGTCGCAGTAGTCGACGGTGGTGGTGGTGGTGACGGTGGGGCGGGGAGCAGTGGTGGTAACAGCGGTGATGCCCCAGCAAGAGCAGGCAGAGGAGTACTCGGCAGCGTCGTCGCAGGAGGAAGCGTAGGCCGGGATGACGGTGGGGAACTCGGTGACCTCGCGGTTGACGATCTGGCCGTCGCGACGGATACGGGCAGGGCCAGCAGTGACGGTGATGGTGACGGTACTAATATGGTTTGTCAGTTATAATGACCGCCCGGCAAGTCCAGGCTTGGATCCTTTTTCCACCGAGACCGAGGAACAAGTGTGTCAGGGGAGGGACAAGATGGTTGACATACGTTGGGGAGGGGGTGACGGTGGCCTTGAGGAAGGACGTGCAGTCGGCCTTGCGGTCGCTGATGGGCAGGAGACCAGGGCGGGTACCGGTGACCTGACGGTTGCAGTTGTTACCGGAGCACTCGCGCTTCTCGAGGACAGAGCCGAGAGCGAAGCTGACGAGGGAAAGGATGACGGCGGCCTTCATTTTGAAGGGCTGGGATGAAGAGTCTATGAGAGAGACGATCGACTGAGGTCCTAAGAGATGGGATGGGTTGATTGGAGGGATCTATTAGGAAGTCGGTGGATGAGAGGAAAGGGGGAAAGGAAGGAGAGGGACGGTTACATGGAGGCGACGGTACCGTGATATATAATTGCAAGATTGGGGATAGTCCTTGCCATGATGGTGCATGGTGCGTGAGAGGGATGGACTGGGGGAGCGAGTATATTGGCCATGATCCCCGCAGATGGATTAACACGCCGAGGGACGCAAGTTGGTACAGCTCGTACCAGGTTTGTACAAACCGCAGCAACCAGAGAGGCGGATGAGAGCGTAGTGGAGGTCTCACCCGTGCCTCTGGGCAACATCCAAAGTAGGCGATGAGGAGGTGGGTCATCAACCGGGCCATAGGACAAACGGACCCAAGGAAGGGGGGGGGGGTGCGTGGTTGAGAGGCAAAGACAAAGACATATTTAGAGCAACGACAGCATCATGTACGCAAACTAACAGCATATTGGAGCCAGCTTTTGCCAGGCTCCCCGGCACGGTAACACCTGGTTCCTGAGCACTAGACAGGAACAGGGGGCGAATGAGGGGGATGGCCATGCGAGCGGAAAGCGAGGACCGACAGGTTGCAATAGTCGTTCCAACCCATTCCGCCCATTTTTGCCCGGGGGGGTCACAATCCCATTCCCACCTATCAGCGGTCGTAGCGGCCGTATGAGGTAGGTCGAGATAGTGTGTGGGCTGGAGGCGAGGCGAAGAGCAGGAATATGCATGAAGATGTAAATATGCGCCACGCGGGCGTAGCGTATTCGTAGGAAGGGTTGGCCCGCGGGCAGACGTACCGTTTGACTCACGAAGAACTCGGATCCCAGAGTGACCTACCTGTCTGACCCGTCAATGGCATTTTCCCTGGAGATTGTTGAAGTGCATGTTGTCTTACGGGTAAAGTGTTGTGTTTTGTTAACATGTGTTGAGGTGAAGAACAAGTGGAAAGACAGTTACAGTAACAAGCACTTGGTATAGCAACCAAGGGGGGTCATATCCGAAAGCTTTGCCAGCCTTAGCTGATATAGCAAGGTTTAATATTCTACGGTACTTACATTAGGTTCTATCCATGGATTTAGAAATTTTGCTGTGTTGAATTGGGCATGATACTATCGCTGTGCGAAGGCATTCCAGTTCAGCTCGAGAACGCGTGCGTGAGCCCCCTCCCTCTGTGGCCATTGATTCTTGGCTGCCACTAGGAACTAACAATGGAATGGTTTCCTACCTCCTCCCCTGCCCTTCACCAACGCTATCTCACCGGTGGAGGGGGGTTCGTCCAATTTGGCCTAGCCCAATCTGCTGGATACCAGGGATTCCTGAGGGGCCCGTCCTCCCCCATCTCTCGCCGAAGGCCGATGCTGTTTCTTTTTCGTCGAAATGCAAAGCGCGGGAGGCATTCAGGTTTGGCGGAGCCTGTGCTGGATGTAAGGGAGGCATCTAGATGCTCGAAGAGAGCCGATGAAACGACCTGTGGCTTGCCGAGTACATGCTGGAAACCATTGAATGCTGCACGACGCGCCGCATAGCTCATGGCGTTTCCCATGCGGTCACTGTTTGTGGATGGCAAATGCGATGTGGCTTTGTCTTGGGCTATTCTGGTGCTCTACCCGAAAGACATTCACCAGCTCGGAAAATAACTACGTAAGAAGGGTCTGTCTGGGCTGTGCTTGGCCTGATGCTTTTGGAACAAGACGTGCGATGGGGATCGATAAAGATGATGATGGGGGAATGGCCGATGAGAAAGCTTGGGACTGCGAAACAACACGCCGTCGGAGGAGACATTTCTTTTACTATCCCCTGGCAGCATCTCTTCTGAGAACAAACGCACGCCGTACTCTGTACCTCGCTTGATCTCCTCTGGGTGTAGCTGGACGGTATTAGAGGAATCAAAGCCAAGTACCACTGCGCTCTGCTTATTGAGCAGATGGCTGCCGGCAGCAGGATGCACCTGTGCCAGGGAAGAGGAGGAAAGAAAAAGAAAAGGTACGATATGCAGGCGAGGACATGGGAGGAGTTGCAGGGACCGATTCCATACTAGCAACTTGGTCTGTGACGACTCGAAGCGAAGAATAAGGAACAGGTTATTAGATAGGAATTGTTAGCGGGAGGGTGATTGCCAATGGGAATGCGTCGCCCGAGGGCCGCGCCGTCGACCTGCATTGGCGATGATGTTGTCGGTGATGATCCGATGCGACCTTCGGCCGTGGAACAATGGTTCTTTATTTCATCCGTCCTGATGGGAAAATGAAAGGCCACTGACTCTCGTATTGGTTCTTTTGTTCACTTATACCAGGTTGCTCAGCCTCTTGCAATGATAGGCCACGGTCGTGTTTATCATCATCATGGACGCCCTCGCAGCATTCAGCCCTGACAAACTCTTTCTCGATCGACTGTCTAGCGCAGGCGCCACACGGGACGAGACTCTGATTGTAACCGGGAAGGCTGCCCGGGAGTGGCTGTTATTGTTAATTAAGCGACAGCCCAGAATCAGCCATCAAGAAGAGGCTTCTCCGGGGTGGACTAAGAGCTACAAGGGCCGCTCTCCGGGTTAGCTGCCGGTGCTGAGAGAGCTACCTAATGAGGCATGCATCAGCGTCGCAACCCGGGGACCCATTGGGTGGGTGGCCATGCCACGACACGAACACACCTCGCAAGCTTGCCCAGTGCTGCGGTAGTACCAGGGCGGCCTAGAATAGGTAGTAGAGGTTGGCAGGTCTTACGGTGTAACTCTCGTGTCGCCATTTGAACCAGGCTGCAGTTACAGTATGTATGTTTCTTTGACACAAAAGTTTGTGGTCTAGGTACCGCGCACGCTTCCTGGGCCGGAGTCAGACTCGTAGTCCAAGCAAACCCCGACTGAGGGTTAACGCCTCGGAGAGAAGAAAGCCACTCGAGTTTGCCATCGACGGTGGCCTGCCTTTCTGGAAGGTGAGGAGCAAACCGGTGCCAGAGCCGCCGACTTCCATCCATATGCCATGGCCGTGCGATATCTACCGGCCTTCCTCTATGTCTCGGAGGCATACGGGATGGGCCACTCGACCCGACCAGGGGCCACCCCTCCCCGGGGAGGATGCGCCATGCCCATTGCCAGGAGCCGCTTCGCCGAAAGAGGCAGCTCGAGATTGGGGCCTGGCCGATTAGTCGCCAGGCGGTTGGCGCTCCGCCTTTTGTTGGAACGACGCTCATTTCCACCGACGGGGGGGGGGGGGGGGGGGGGCGCGAGGCATTCCAGAGGTTCTTTTTCTCATGGCTGAGGAAAAAAGGACAGCTTCGCTCTGTTTAGTCAATTCTCACCGACCTCCACCGCGGCACGTGGCCGTCAAAACCGTCGCCGGCGTGTCGGCAATCTTATATCCCAAGACAATGACGCGCTCTCTTACACGGATAGACGATCTCCAAAGGCCGGATATTGATCCTTCTGCAGAGCCCTCCTCCCGGTCAACTCACTCTCTCTCCATCACCAAGGCTAGTTAGTCTCCACCGGCCCACCATCCCCGTTTACAGCCTTGGAGCGCTTCCTCGCAGGCTCTCGGCGAGGGCGACGTGCAAGCGACAGGCCCCCCCCAGCTTGGCGACGGAGGCACGTTATCGCTGTCGCAAAGCTGAGTGCTCTGTTGGTCTCGATCCCTGTACTTCAAAGCCCACTTCGGAATCTCGGAAGGCTCTCAGGGCGGAGGATGCTAGGTAGACGGAGACCCAGCAGCTTAATAGTAAGCTTAGCCGCCATAAGCCAAGTACCCTGTCACCCAGCATCTCTACTACGTGCTGACTGATATCTGCGCCATCCTGACCTGTCAAGATTTCTACCTAGTTAACAAGCCGTTGAAGTCAACACATATGGGAGGGATCATCCTGCACCTCGGCCAGAGGCGTTTTGTCTGGCTATTCATCTTTGAACAGGTAAAAGATCATACGACTCGCACAAGACTCCCACCCCTCTCCCTCACTGACCCGGCCATTTTACCCGGCGGCCATCCAAGCCCTCTCCCCTCTTATTTATTGGTTTACCCCTCCAGCGGCGGGGGAGGGGGGGATATCTGTCCGGGCAACGTATCTCCGCATGGCATTCCCGCCGCCCAGCTCTGCTCCCGCAAGCCTTGCCCTGCTTTTCCTCCCCTTCCAACGTGTTTCCTACAGCCAAAGCTCAAACGGAACATACGCCTCCCCCGCACCTAGCTCAGCAGGACGAGCCGGGGACGCAGGCGTGCTATGCTCCGTCGAGCTCACGTCGTCAAAGGGGGTGGTTTTTGATCAGGCTGGATCTGGTCCACGGAGCAAGCTGCGCCGAAGGCGGGCTCTCCGCGTTTCTTCGTTCTCTCGTCACTCCCGAGGAGCCGGTAATCTTGAAGGTTTCCCCACAGACGAAGATCTTCTAGTTCGTGCAGAGTAGCAGGTAAGGTATGATGGGCTTTCCCGACAGACAGGCACCGCGTGGCATGGCCGTCCCGATCGGCAAAGTGACGGCTGTGCGGATAAATAGAGCACCCCTCACCCACCGTCAGCCAAGGCTGCTGTTTGCCAGGCACGAACTTATCCGTCGGCGCCTGGGTAGTATTGGGACGAACCGTTCACAACGGAACCGCCTCGTCGACCCGCCTCCCCTTGCCCTTGTTCGCCATTGCGCCCGTCACTGGTTCTACCTCTCTGCTCTCGTAGAAACCACCGGTTGGTCTTCCGATCCCGCGCCGTATGAGTAGCCTGGCGAAAAGTCTAGCAGCAGGTGGCTACTAACCGGATCAAGTGTCTGGGAAGTTCACTTTCAAGGTCGCCCAGGTACACGATGATGCCCTCAATGCGGTCTAGACAGAGAGCTGCAAACAACGATCAGCAGGACATCTTGCCGCTTCGCGCCCTCGCAATGATTCCCACCGAGGTGACTTGATGGACTTGGCTTCTGCAAGACCGGGGCTGGCGCTTGCATTTACCCCATACCCCGCAAGTTTGGAGCGGAGACACGGGCAGATAGAGCAAAAAAGAGCAAAATAAGGCTTCTCTGGCCTTCTCGGCGTCTTTTTGGCTGGCAGTCATTATCCCCCCCTGTCGTTGATATGTTATGTTACTGGAGGGCAACCGCAGCTGTCTCTTAGCCACGGCATCAAGCGGCGACTTAGCCCCCAAAGCTGGAAAATCTCACCAACGCCCCGTATGCCACCACTTCCGATTCCCGTCTCATCACCGTGGACCGGACTCGTCGCCTCACTTGCGAGGAAGGCCTCATGCATGCAGTCATGAGGCTCAAGCAACAGCACACTCCTCAAGTGCCAAGGACAAGGGGGAAAGGTATCATGTATGGTAAGCGTGCCTAGCAACAAAAGAAAATGAAAAAAACACAAAGCCGAACGCCCCGGTAGTGTAACGCCATGCGCATTTATCGTGTACACCGCCCCGGCCTCTGTGAAGTCCCGGCTGTGTTTTAGTCGAACCAAAGTTTTCTACCAAGACGGCCTTCCAACCCTGATGGTTGCCTCTTCAAGAGGGGAACGGAGACCGCTTCCTCGCCTTTGAGGTATGACGCGTGTTCCGACGACACCGCGGTAACGGAAAGCCTTTCTTGTAAAACCCATCTTCGGGAACAAATCATCAGATGCAGCTGATCTCGATCCAGCCTGACTGATTCAGCATGGCCGACAGAAATACGGCTCAAGACGAAGACCCTTCCTTCCCAACAGAAGTATGACCCATCGCCAGATCCGACGGCCGATTATGCCCAATCAACTCCGTGTCTTCGCTGACCACGCTCAACCCCACGGCGGCCAAGCTGTCGCTTCTCCCCCTGCCGTTCCCGCCCTCGCTGCTCTTCCGCCGCTGGTGTACGGCTGACGGCCGGCTCATACCCAGCAAACCCCCCGCCGTCCTATGGCGGGCCTCGGCCAGGGCGTCGGACACAGGCGTTGCTGCCAGCTCCGGGACATACGGGGTCGAGTCGAGTTCCTGGAGCAGCGCACGGTTGTCCACGCCCCCGTGATCGCTGCTCGCCTCGCTGGCGTTGCTCCAGTTCCGGAGGTGCGCGTAGGTCCCCTGGGAATCCGTGCTCCCGCGGTGCAGCCCGATCCAAGCGCTCGACCCTTGGCTGACGCGCTGGCTCCGGTCCGGGACGTCAAAGTAGCCCCCGGTGTACGCCGAGTCATAGCTGGCGTGTCGGTCCGAACCCGAGCCCTGCGGCACTGGCTGGTAGTCGCCGACGGAGCCCGGCGTGCCCCGGTACGATGGCGTGAAGTCGGTGTCGGAGTCGTGTCTCCGGTGTGACGGCCGTGGGGACATCATGAGCGGGTCCACGCTCATGTCCTCCACCTCTGACGGCGTGGGCTTGAACTGGTACATGGAGGGGCGCGACTGTGCGCCCGAGGATGTTCCCTTGTTGCTGGTTTCGACTGCCTGGACGACCTTGTTGAGATGGCGGATGATGATCCAAGCCGCGACCAGGACGATGATGAGCAGCCCCACGCCACCAGCCACGATTCCAGCAATCTGGCCTGCGTCAGGCCGTCGCTGTCGTCGTTACTCCTTGACAATGGCTGTTCCTTAGGCACTGTGCTTGGGTAGTATTTGAATACGACTTGGTCTGGGTCTTGTGCATCCAGGGTAGCTAGGGCTGTTGGGGCCGTCGTCGGCCTCGAGGGCGTGAGGACTATCGTCGCAGCCACCGTTGTGATCATGAGTTGAGTTGCGTCCTGTGTTGTCGTCATCGTCGTAGTGACTATATAAGTCGACGGTTCCGTGGAGTAACAGGCGCTTACGGCACATCCGAGGCCGTTGCGGCAGCAGCCGTAGCTCAGACTGGCAGGGCATAAGTAGTAGCTTGCCGGACACGACTGAGAGTATGCGACCCCGGACGCTGCGACGCAATTTCCTCCTCGTTCACATCTGTACCCCTCAGGACAGCAGCCGCCTGAGCCGGAGAAGTTAGCTACTGCGGAGCGACCGAGACGAATTTGTATTTGGTCGACTCACCTCCCATAACTGCATCGCATGCATAATATCCAGCCTTCCCCAAGCAGGTCCACGGTGCGCTTGTTGTCGCGTAGCATGAATCTGTTGCGCAAGCGTAGCCTAACTGGCAACAGGCTCCGTTAAGGCTCGACGCGCAGGCGGAATATCCAGTCGCACAGGTCGCTGTGTCCCTCCGGTTCAGATCCCGGAACACCGTGACGTGCGCCTTTTCCATTCGGTGTACCCCGTCTCGTCTCTTGAACTCCGCTCCGCCGATCATCAGACGGCCTTTGGCTCAGCAAGTGGATGCTTGTCGAGTGTCAAGGGCGGATGGCGGGCAAAACAGTTGCTCTTTGGTCGCCGCGCAGATCAGTAGCAAAGTAAGAAGCATCCGAGGATCTGTAATTTCTCATCCAGGAACCATCCGCGTGTCGTTTGGTATGATGATGGCAACTTGCGTTGGTGCCTGCGGGAGGGTTGAGGATCGAGATGGCCCAACTGCTTGTATGTTCTGGGGGCTGAGCCAGTGTACAGCACAGCGGCACCACACACAGTCACACCCCACGAGGTTGCAATCGGCGATGAGAGAGGCACAGTAATAGGGCAGAGATGGTAGGACCAAGAGGGCGTGACGGAACTTGGCCAGTTGTACCAGACATGAACCTTTTTCGCACAGTTTCGACCAAGACGCCCAAAGCTACAGTCAAGGTCTGGTCTCTTTTGTCTTCGTTGTTTCACGTATGATCGACCCGGCAGCGGGTGGTTGCATACGTGGGTGGGAAAGAGGAGGTCGATCATGAACTGCTTGAGAGGGGAATGGTCGGATCCCCAGAAAGTGAGTGCGGGCATGTGTGATTGCGGGGGACATGCCGCCCATGGGCGAGGCACCTTGGGGTCCATGGGATTTGGAAAATAGCTCTGTGTCTGACTGTCAGCACCCAGTGAAGGTGACTTCGCCATTCCAGGGGCGAACCAGCTATGAGGCTCTGCCAATCAGATGAGGGTAAGCGAGGGGCATCAGCCTTCTGGACAGCTACGATAGCAAGGCAGAGGTCCAGCAGGATGGAGAGAATTCTCTTTGGGATAGTAAGCTGGAATCCGATGCCATTGCCGTGGCTGCTGAGGTCGCCGGACACGGTTGGGCGCAGGATCGAGGAGCGAATTGTGACGCAGCTGCTGACTGGTCCGACGGGCTTGAGATGCAGTGACGCGGCACGACGATGCCTGTCATATACATGAAAATGGGGAACGCATGGCGAGGACATCGAGGGCCACCAATAAGAGGAGGATGCTCTGGCTGCAAGTCAATGACAAGGGTCAAGGAGGGTGGCATCTCATAGTATAGAGGAGGGCTGGACAAGCACCATGCAAAGCAGCACCTTCTCGGCGGACAAGCCCATGACGGAGTTGCAAATGGACATAAGGCCGTGGACGCGCAGATTGGAAAACCCAAAGCTCTTGGCGACATTGTCTTTGGGGGTTGTTCTGTCAGAACGCAACGCTGAGCCGACATGAGTGCGCCTACGGAGTACAGCTGACAGTATTGGGCGAGACTGAGTGCATCTGCACCGACAGGCGAACAACCGGAGTCAACTTATAGGGAACCCAACGATGGGCTGCCTCGCACCTGCAGTGGCAGTCGAGAAGAAAAGGGATTCTCAACACGTAACGGAGCCGGAAGTCGCCAACCGGGGAGCCACTCGGGACCGGTGCGGACCCTGAAGTCGGGCTGGAAGTTGGACATAGCCCGGCCTCTGTTTCAGGCATATGAGTTGGAAAGTCTCTCGGTACTGATAGAAGCCACGCAGAAGCCACCGCTCTACTTGTTTCATGTCTCGTAAGACAGACCCTCGGCACCAGAATCAGGCTGGCAATGGCCATCTGGATAGTGATGCCGGGCAGAGAAAGCTATTGGGAGTTGCTGGAGGTGGGACTCGAATGGCTCCTGTGAACCGGCGCCGTCTTCGGGTTTGTTATGAGGGGAGGGCGACGGTGCAGCTGCTTCAGGGAAACGCTTTCTTGTCTTTCCTTTAATCCTGCAGCAGCTGGGTGTTGAGAAATGATTGAGTGGCCAAAAAGTCAGTCAGTCGTCGCATTGACCCATGGTTTGGATGAAGACAGAACACGAGACGAAAAAAAAGGCAAATCGTAGGCAACCATCCGATGAACCTACCGACTGTTTTTGTTACCTGCTAGCCGTCTTGGATGGGATGACGGCGGCGCCATTCAGCTGCGTCGTGGGGCTGATGAGAAATGTTTACCTTCGTCAGAGATGAATGATGATGGAGAAAGGGTTTGTCGGCTGACATCGGGAAGTATCGGTTGCATTGAGCCGTCTCACGACACGGCAGCAGTAGTTCTCAAGGAAGGAAGGCCAGCGTCAGGCAAATGCTGCCTTCCATTCTATGTGATGTACTTGATTAGGTAAGTACTCACTCTTTCCTTCCTGGTGTTGGTGTACCATACCGGCTGGACCTGCAGTGACCAAAGACACGAGGAAGCAACCGACGGGACTTGCGCGCCTGCAACTCACTCTCCTCCTTCCATCATTCCAGCCCAGAGTGCTTTCCCATTACCGATGGAATGCACACAAATGCCAAGCCCACACCCGTTCGTTCTGAACGTCGCTCACATCGGCCGTCGGCAACTGGGATATCGACAGGAAAGGGAGGGGAGGGGCGGGGCCAAGAGGGAGGCAGTGGGTGGGTGGGTCCCTCTGCTGATCAGCTGCCAAACACACACTGTTTTGGGAAACCCTTCCCCGGATTCCTATTCTTCTGTCGCACGCATCAACGACCCCCAAATTAAGGTACACACTACTAATATGTAGAGAATAGGTACCTACAGAGCCGATACGAACACAACCCTCCTTCTGGACAAGGTAGGCTTACTTCCCTGACAACGAGCAACACAGGCCGTCTGTCTTGCAATGCGACTTAGACACCACGCAGACTGTGGCCGGCGCGGGCACTCAAGCAGGCTCCCTCCTTGGATGGATCAGCGGCCGCTGAGAATGCGGGGAAGCAAGCCTGCTTGACATTGGCTGCCTAGCCACCCACCTCTCACCGTGGCCTCGTGTCGACTACCATGCACCACCCACAAAGACGACCCAGACCGACGCTCTCGAGTCGTACCATCCCAAATATTCCCTGTCGACTTTGGGCTAAGAGGCTAGAAAAGCGCGTACGAAGGAGGTTCGCTACCATCAGCGTCCCGTCCCCCCCCCCCCGTCGTCATCTGCTGCCGGCATGTCTAGCCATCGGCCACCGCTGATTGATGTCATGCACACTATAATAGTGTGAACTGACAGCAAGCAGGCATCCTCATCACATCCCCATATTATAACAAGCTTACCATACGGTAGGTAAGCCCGGTGCAGGACGAGCGAAAGCAACCGAGTGATGCCCACGGATGGGTGGTTCCGTTTGCAGCCCGGCTTGGCTGGTGACAGACCACCAAAGTCAGGTCACCCGACTCAATGTTGACACACACACACGCGCCCCATCCTTCAACCCCTTCGACATGGGCGGCACCAGAGGCTATTGGATTTCAATTCAGGGCGATACCCGCCAAATCCCGAGTCTTCAGGCATCCGCCCGAACGGCTTTGGCAGATAAACTTTACCATGCGGCTGCTGCAGGGTCCATCTCACAGGTACGAGATGCACTCTAGCACCTTCTGGTAGTCTGCTGCAAAGGAGTTGTGACTACTACCAACTCGGGGAGCCGTGACGTCTCTGATCCGTTGCCGTGAAGAATGCCGTACGAGACGGCAGAACCGCTCGTCAGCCCGGAGCGGTTGTGACAGATGCGGCGACTAAGGTATCAGCTAGACCGGTCCTAGCTTAGGCCCTGGTTCGGCGATACGAAGAACCCCCCTCCTCCTCCTCTTTTATTTCTGTTCTTGATGCCTTGTGAGCATACAGATTCCTCTCGAGAGTTCCTCTGTCAGGCGTGCACATTAACTAATAATTACCAACAGGCATCTCCCATGTCGAGAAATTCGGCCCCTTTACTCCAACAAATGCCCCTGACCTACAGCAAGGACCATGCCTCGGAGCAAACTGGGCCGGTGCAGACAAAGACAGGCGGCACAGAGCAGCAGGCACACCGACCAAGAGAGAGAGTCCCCATCTCCGCACACCAGAATCGCCGCTGTAACCCCGCAAGTTTCTCCACCTTTCTGCTTCTGGCACCACTTAGCCTTCAAGGATCTCTGGGTCACGATGTGCGTGATGGCAGCGGTCTTGTCAGCATTGGGAAGGCCGACGCCAGCATGACATGGACTCGACCTTAACCTTGACCTTGACCTTGACCTTGGACTGTGTTTGGGGGGGGGGGGGGGGGGGCATGCTTTGTTGGAGGAAATCGCTGAACTGTTTGGCCACAAAAGCCCAATTCACCACTCTTTCGCTGCCTCGGTGCGTGCCTCTTGGCCTCCTTCTGTCCGAGGGGCATCTCATTGATTAGCACAAGCTCTGGTCCCTGCCCCCTCCCCTCTCTTCTCCGTCTCCTCTCTCCAATTTTCCCCATATTTCACCGTTCACTCCCGAGCCCCCGTCCCCATTCTCCATCCCCCACGCCTTGAATGATAGGACGGACCAACTATACAAATCCGTCTTCCCCTCAGCGCATTAACCCCCTAACCCTGGCCATTCAAGTTAGCGGCCCCGTTGAACAAGGGCAAGAACAATAACACTGACGAGAGAAAAGCTTTCCCAGCCTCGGCACCGATCCGACAGATCTAGGTCGATTGTCGAGCAGCGAGCACGAGAGGGGGGCCGCCCGAGAAGCAGAGAGAAAAGGACGAAAGAAAGGGTTCGGAGCAAAACTACCCACCATACACGTCCAGTGTCCACCAACTTCTTTACAACTTGCCCTTGCCGCTATTACCATCTCATTCCCCCTCTTTTTCTCCAGCAGAATCAGGCCCGCCCTTCGTCACCTTACATTACGTCCGCCACTCCCGACTGTCACACTGCCAGACCCTCAACATCGTGAAAGATTGACTGCTTTCTCTCGCGTTCTGAACGAAGTTGCCTCGATCCACACACGTCTTTGCCTCCGCGTATTTTCTCCTCCTCCTCCTATTCCTCTCTGTGGGTGATGTAGGTGTATGGCGACTTCGCCTTGTGAACCACATCATCTGAGAGAAACCGCACTGCGACAACCTCGAGAAAACGTCATGCCTATGCCTGCTGCAGGTACCAGCTCGTGAGCATCATGTTGCTGTATACCAAACTCGCCCCGCCAAAGGCCCCCAAAAGACGATCCAGAGCAGGTGAGTCGTCGCTTTTCTACAATCGACACTTCTTCCTTTTACCTCCGTTTTCTTTTCTTTGACCCGCGAGCGCCTCGTTTCCTGTTTGGGCTTGCTGCACATTCTCGCGTTATCACTATTGCCGCCCGAATAGCTTCGTCATTTTACTCCGGGTCTTGCTTTCTTTTAACCCGGCATGCCATACCTGCCATTACTTGTTCCATTACGTTCGATTTCTGACAGAATTTTGTTTGACACATGCAGGATGTACATACTGGTGAGTGGATGGACCCCAAACATAATCCTCCCCAAAAACCTTGGTAGCAACGTTTTCATTAACAGGTAGACCGGTACAGCAAAGAAAAGGTCCGACCTCAAGCCCTTGTTTACTAACTGGTCATAAATTGGCTCCCATATTTCCTCCTTTTACCATTCCCAACTTGCTCTAACTTCTCTTGCGCCCACAGAAGAAGAAATGCGATGAAACCCGTCCACAGTGCTCCCGATGCGCCGAGCGTGCTCAGGAGTGCTCCTACGAACCGGTCAAGCCTCGTCAACGCAAGAAGCGCGACTCTATCGCCGGGTTTGGATCCGGCACCGGCTCTCAAACAAGCGCATCTGCAATCACTCGACGTTATTCGGCCTCCGATGCAACCATGCGACGCTGGAAGGAGGAATATCTGGATGACGAGAACGATGTGGCTGTGGAGGAAGCCATGTTGGAAGAGAATGGCAACCCGCTCATATTTGACTTCAAGAAGATGTTCGCCATGTACCACAACAAGGACGACGACGACGACGACGCGCCCCTATTCTCTCCCGTCGACTCCGTGGCTTTCGACCTGTCACTGGAAGACGCAGACGAAGAAGTCATTCGCTGCGGATCGGTGCAGCATAACGCCATATCCCGCCTCGCCGTTACACGGCCGCAGCGCCACTCGGACCTAGCCATGATCGCGCCCGTCCCGGTGGCGTCGCCACATCTCGAGCTATTGTTCCCGACGTTCTCCGAGTTTTCGGATCGGCCAAATCGTCGGGCTTTGGTCGACCACTTTACCAACGTCATGTCGCATTTGATTGTACTCCGCGAGACCGAAACAGGGAACCCGTTCCGGCAGCTGGTATTGCCGCTTTGTCACAGCAGTTCGACGGTGACAAATGCCATCTACGCGCTGGCGAGTGCGCATCTGGAGAATAGAGGCTGCGGGCACGCTGAAGAGAAGGCGGTGTACTTCCACAACCAAGCCATTCAGGGTTTGGCGCGCTTGATTGAGCTCGGTGGCCAAGCAAACAAAAACGAGCTTCTAGCCACCATCATGCTGCTGGTTTACTACGAAGTAGTGAGTATTTCCGCCTTCCATCGTAGGATGGGACTCGACTAACCGGGTCAAAAGCTTGTGCAACAAAACCGATCCAACATAGTTGATGGCCATCTCAAAGGCGCCATCGCAATCATGAATGCCAACAGCGATGATACCAACCCCACCACTGCCTTTCTTGAACGCGTATGTCTTCTCGAATTGATCGATACCAGCGATCCCTACTCTGACAACTTTCCAGGCGTTCCGCTTCTACGATGTTATTGCTGCGCTCTCTTTCGGCACGGCTCCCCTCTCAACGGCACCAGCAACAGGTTGCCTCGCCCCATTCCCACCCATTGACTCCTCTACTTCGTCATCCCTCGGATCTGTCGACACATTGCTCGGCTTCTCCACAACTCTTTGGCCCATTATCCATCGCCTCTCCAACCTCCTGTCGCTCAAGACCGAGCTCCAGGCGGCTATCGCCGACGGCCAAACGACCAAAGTTGCCGTTCTCCGCAGCGAGTTTGAGACCACATCAGAAGCCATCGAGCATGCTCTCAAGGTATGGCAGCCCAGCTTTCCTCCAGGCTTTTCGCCCGATACCATGGACGACGTGATGACGGACGAGTCTGAGGTGGCCACTGAGCGCGCCCGGCTGCAGTCTATCCTTAACAATGCTCTGGCCTACCGTCACTCGGCTTTCGTATATCTCTACCGCAGCATCTACGGTTACCCGCGACGACACCACCAGGTGCAGCATCACACGCACGCTGCGCTAAGCCACTGCGCTGCTACAGTCAAACACGCTGGGCCGATGGCCGCTCTGCTGTGGCCCTTATTTGTTGCGGCCTGCGAGGCCATCAGTCCCAGCGACAGAGAGTTGGCACAGCAGGCGTTCGTGGCGATCGAGCGCAGGCAGGGCATGACGAACATTCAGCGCGCCTGGACCATCGTGCAAGAGGTCTGGAGACGCGCAGACATGATTGATGACCACACCACGGACGATGACGGCGCTGTCATGATGTCAACGCCCAACCAGCAGCTTAGCAAGGGGGCAGACCTGTGGAGACGTGTCAGCGAGGATATGGGCGTGACGATTGTCTTTGGGTGAGGTGTCTTCATGTGCCAAGGTATACATATCCACATATGATAATGAATGCGCCCTCTGTCATGTATAGCGGTGGTGATGAGACCGGAATCAATGAGCAAAGGCAGGCATATCTGGCAATGGATTGGGCGGCTTACACAAAAACACAATTTTACGCATGGGGATTCTTAGTGACAACGACGGTGGGAACTATGGACAGGCGCTAATGGTGTTTTTTTCTTTTCTTTTCTTTTTTCCCCTTCAAAGTTGGACTCGGGGAAAATCATGTCGGCGGGAGCCAGAGCCGTAAGTAAGAGAGTTTATTTGTCTTTGTAAGTCCTGCATATCGAGTTCCTTTCCGTGGGTTTTACGATATCATCATTCTGTGATGGACGTCAATTGCAAGCCGTCCTTGCCTGTCTCCATTCCCATCGGATAGGTATGAAATGTCATACCGGGCTCCGACAGGCCTCTTCTCACTCTGCGGTGAGTCTACTCGAGTTCCCACCTGGACATCCAATCACCCGTTCTCACTGGTGGGTTTGGCACCAACCTAGCAGCAGCAGCGGCTTCGCCCTCCGGTCGCAACTGTAACTCGGAGCGGATGACATTTCTCCATAAACCTTATATTGCATTGAGTACTGCTCATGGTACTTGAGATCTGGGGTAAAGCGGGTCCCTCTGCTGCCTGGATTGCATTTCCATCTGACGAAGCCACGCTGCCACGTTAAGAGTGCACACACCGCTAAGGGCGAGGTCGATAGGGGACGGAGGGTATTCTCCGCGGGAGATACTCCGTACCTACCAGGTAAATAGGTAGTTATATGTATTCCATTTGCGCCCTGGTGACCCGGCACTGCGGCTTCTCTTAAAAACACTTGCCTTGGATATCTACCGCCTGGGGAGGTAGCTATGCTATGAAGTATTCAGCAAGGGGGGGCGGTGATCTTGCCTGCCGCGAAAGGTACGGCAAAGACCCGGTTTTCTATACCTGCACTTAGGTACCTACAGTATCCGTACATCGTACATCGAATGTAAAGTACCTTGGACCATAACCGTAGTACGTACTGATTTAATAGTACCTACACTGCTGCCAGGTAAACTACCTAGGCACCTAGGGGAGGTAGGTAGGCAGTTCAAATTAGGCAGGCAGGCACCTTCCAATGTGTTTGTGTATGCACAAAGGCAGGTATCTACAAGGTGCAGAAGATGTTCCCTGGGTCAGCCAAGTGCACTACACTGCAGATACTACGGAAGATACTTGCTTGCTATGTACTGGCCAAGTACTCCAACTCCAACTCATGCACCGCCTCCAACCCCCCCGATCCCTTTCCCCGTCTTCCCTGTCCTCAATCAAATTCCCCCAAAATCCATGTCAAGACGTCGCAGTAACGACGAACCAAACCGAAACAAACAACACTCGCCGAACCCCCGCCCTCCGATGCAATGGCGGCGGTCTAAGACAAGACGAGCTAATTAACTCCCAACGCCCTTTATCGTTCTCTCCCGCCTCGCGTCCACGTTGTCTTCGTCTCTGGCCCCCCTCTTTTGGCCGCCGTCGCCCCTCGCTTCTCAACCACCATCTCTCTCGCTTGGCCTAGTACAGCTTGGCTCTCTATTGTGCCCTTTGCTCATCTCTGTTGGTCGCATGTTAGCTTTTCACACCTTTTTTCCACTTCTTTCCAACTCGGGATGAAACACGTCCATGGTCCCCCTTTACACGAACTACATAGTACGGCATCGAATTCCCACCTCTCCTGAGAGCTCCGGCCGCCATGTCCCATATCCGTTAAGCCCACAATTAGCCTCCCGTCGCCCGATTCTCGGCTGAAGCTCGATCCCTACCGCTGGACTGGATCTGGAGCTCGTCTCCACCGAACCCTCTCGCCCGCCTCCTGCACCAGCACCACCCAAGCTTTCCCCAAGAACCTAGAACTGTCCCCAGGAGCCACAACCCCAGTCTGCCTACTACCAAAACTCGAGCCAGTCCCTGTCTTGTGTTGGGAGAGACCTGTCTTACCATCTCCACAGGGGTTCGACCTGACTTTTGGAGACCTGACGTGGACCACTCTTGCGTTGCGTTGGGCCGGCTTGGGCTGGTCTGGTCTGTCCCTTTCAGTCAATCTCCGCCCACTGCAGCGCAGCAGCATCATGCTGCATGCCCGTTGAGAGGTTCCTTCACCTCGCGCGCCATGACCTCCATCATTGAAGGAGCGACCCCCGCGCCAAAGCAGATCCGCTTCGTCCACAACCAAGGTCAACCACCATCCAAGAGACGCAGAATCAACGCCGCGTGAGTCTATTCCCGCTTCCTCTTTGCCTTGATTCTCTCGCCCGCCCCCCCCTCTCGAGCCCGCGGCCTCAGACACAGAAATCCTTCCTTGCCTGCAGAAGCTGACCTGACTCGACTCGTCGCTAGCTGCCTGACCTGTCGCAAGCGAAAGACGAGATGCGCCGGCGAGCGCCCCATCTGCTCGACCTGCTCCAAAAACGGCCATACATGCTTGGGCTACAACGAAGCGATTGAGAAGAAATCTTCAGGTGCCGCCACCGCCACCCGGGACCCCCTACATGACGGCGACGACGACGACGATGAGGACGACGAAGAAGCCCAGCCTCGCCAAGAGGAAAACCGTCACGATGAGAGGCGGCAGCAGAAGGAAAAGGAGAAGGGCCTGCGATCCCCCGTTGTCCAAGCAAGGGGCGGTGATGCTCGAACGACAAAATCTGGTACCCCTCCTGGTCGCCCGCCTACATTCCTGCGACGGTCCTCGGACTATAGCTCTCGTGAACAAGATCAAACCTCACATCACCGCCGCACCTCCCGCCCGCGCACGACGTCTTTCTCCGACGATGCTCATAGCGCGCATGGCCGTTCCCCTGTCTTGCATCATACCGAGCGCCATAGGGTGCCCTACTTCCGCTACTTCGGGCCAACAGCCATCGTGCCTGGCTACAAGCAGATGGTCGTCTCCGTCCGGGATAGAAGGCGGAGCACAGGAGGCTCCGCCAGTGCTACATCGCCGAGTTCCGGTTCCAGTGTGATTCAACCCATGGGAATAGCCCTGTCAGGCATGCTTCCCCACGACGAGGAAGTCGCCGCGGACGAAGACCTGCCCGTATACGACCCTACTGATGCTGCGCCGGTGCACCCCTTGATTCTACACTTGGTGAAGACCTTTTTCCTGCATTTGGGCTGCAACTATCCCTTTTTGAAAGAAGAAAGATTCGTTCGCATGGTCAAGGAGAAGAGAATCGAACCAATTCTTGTCGATGCTGTATGTGCACTAGCCGCCCGGTTTTCCGACTCGGCACAACTCGGACACAGCAAGGCAGAGGAAGCATCGCATGCGGAGAAAGGCCAGCATTACGCCCATAGAGCTAAAGCTGCTACTGTCGATACGTTTCCCTGCCCATCTGTGGGTGCTGTTCAGGCGCTTCTGATGATGGCATACGAGGGCTTCGGTGCAGACCAGGACAGTGCCCTATGGATGTATCTGGGTCTTGCTATCCGCATGGCCGTAGACCTTGGCTTGCAAAAGATGGTGGGCGTGAGATATCAAGGTGAAAGAGACCCTCGGTTTACCCGTCACGGCGGCCAAGCAAGCAGTGAGGCCGGGGCAGACGAAGAGCCACAAGAAGACAAAAACAATCTTACCCGCGAGGAGCAGCTCGAGGTGGAACAGGAGCGTACCGATACGTTCTGGGCTGTCTTCATACTCGATAGGGTCATTTCGTCTGGCACAGGCAGACCCGTGACCATACGTGACGATGACTTTGAGTTGGCGCTACCGGAGCCAACGCTCGACCCGACGTCGGGATGGCCCGCCCCTTTCCCCGTCTTCATTCAGATCATTCATCTGTACGGCCGCGTTTCTGATGTTTTGAATAATATCCGTAATGCCAAGGACATCACGCAGGAAAAGTGGACGAGACTGGCCCGGATGGAGCACGAGTTAACAAGGTTGTACCAAAAGCAGGATCCCCGGCTTCATTTCAGCGTCTCCAACTTCAAGACGTACTTGAAGTTGGGCCAGGGAACGAACTTCATCCTCCTGCACTTTTGGTTCCATGCGCTCATCATTATCCTCCACCAACCCACCCTCTTGACTCCCTTTGGCTCGTTGAGCCGCACACACCAACTGCTACCCAACAGTCGTGAGCTGTCCATGTCCAGTGCCAAAACCATCGCTGACATTCTTGCGTTCGCCGAACTCATCGACCCAAAAAGCTTCATCAGTAACCCGTTCACGTCCCAGCCTATCTATATAGCCGCTTGCGCCTTCCTCATGGAATCGATCGCAAACGCCTCCAATCCTACATCGCGAGAAACTTCTCCCCCGGCCGAGCTTAAGACGGGAAGTCAGAAGCAGAAGGCGTCCTCCCATGACCACAGAGCATCATCTACAAAGCACTCTCTCTTGGCCTCGGCCGCCAATCAGAATTATTCGCGCTGTTACAAGTCTCTGCAACAGTTACACAAGTACTGGGGCGGCGTCAAGTACATTCTCACGGCGCTTGACCAGAAGTCCGAGGGTATATGGGACTGCGAGACTTATACCAGCGAGGAGTACGAAAGCACCAGGCTGCCCCGTCGCGGCTCCATCGGCAGCCAGTTTCCACATCCTACATCGCCCAACATGCCACCTATCGCTTGGTCTCTAACGGGCACGACAAACTCGCCCAACTCAAGCCTTACGCTCATGTATCAGAACATGCATGCTGCGGCATCTGGCCATCACAGCTTTACACAGCCGCAGACGTCCAACGCCCCCACTTCCGCGCCTACGCCTCCCGGCAACATGATTTACGACCCGATCCGACAGAGTCTTCCGGAGGCGGCGCCTCACTCCATCTTTGCCACTGCCTATCCCCAACCGGTAACGTCTGCCATGCGACACTCATCCCGGCAGCACTCATCCCAGCGGGTGTCGGCATCTTCTATGGATAGCCCGCATGGACAAGGGAGAGGACAAATGCGGTTTAATGGCATCCACGAAGAGGAGGCGTCTTCTCCCATGGGCCATGGCGGCTCGATGGTTGCCGGGTCCTCTGGTCCTCAGCAAACCCCTTCATTCACACCGTCATCGCATAACTCGACAAATTACGATCATCATATGATGCCATCCGTCTCCCCGTCTAGCAATATGCATGATGCGACATCGCAGCATCACCACAATGGACAGCATATTGCGTTCGATCCAACATATGCGAATGCCACCTACTCGTATCTCGGCCACGGCATGGGTCCTATCACAGATGTCATCACTTTCGAAAACCCGATTGACATAGGCGCGTTGGGTTTGCCCCATGAGATGATGCCGCCGTGGTTAGAGTACCTGCCCGGCGACGTTCTAGGCCTCTTTGAGAATAACGACATGGACCCAGGGTCTTAGCTGATTTGCCGCCTTGGCCTGGCATTAGGCAGCCACCCGATAACCAGCCAGGTATTTGCAGCATGTCTTCTATTAGAGCGAACTGAGCCACGATGCGTCGGCTGTAACGGCTCGAGACGGCATTTGGTTCTCATCATCTGAAGCTGTGTCCATTCGCGGTACACGGCCTTTTGGGGTATTGGCGTCGGGTAAAACGAGTGTTCTGCCGGCGGTCTCCAATTTTTAGCTAACCAAGGTAATGATAACGACACAAAAACTGTTTGTTTATTTGAGGGAAGGGTATATAGGGGTTGTTTGTAAAGCACATGTCGCAACTTCAGTGCATACTATATTATATTTGCTGTAAAAAAATTGAAACCCGGCGATGGCAAGAGCAGTGTATATTCGGATGACGGTGATACTTGGGAACAGCTCATCGGAACGTCTTAGGCTCGGCTCGACGGTGAATTTGACCATTTGACCGTGGCCGTCAATTTCTTTCGACTTTCGGTCCGGGGGCGGATGTGGAACCAAGCGGGATTGTGACCCGGAGCCGGATTAACCGCAGGAGCTGTAGCGGTGGGTTCCCCGGACAGTACGCCGTGTCGCCCTGCGCTCAGGACATCATGGGCGAGATGGCTGGCAGGTGTCGGCGACTTCGAGTCATGATGGAGGGCGAGACTGACGCAATTGCCGAAAAGACTGGAAGCGAACGAAGACGAGGGACGTAAGATGCACGAGAGAAAGGTTGACGCCCGTACTGGATTTTTTTCTTCTTCTCTTACTTTTCCCTGTTCACTCACTTTTTTTTCCCCCTCTTTTCTTTCCCAAGAGAAAAGATGTGATTGTTAACGTCCAGGACTTCAACATTCAGTATTGAAGAATTAGGTAAACCGGGAAAAGGGATCCAGAAATCGCCAGTGATGTCGCGATGGGATCCCGGGCAGGTCTGACGACACTGGGGCTGCCAACACATGGGTGAAAGGCGCACGATAAGTGGACAGGTGGATCCTTCTTTCTTAGTAAACTTACCTGTCCTTGGCAGTCTGTCTGGGTGGGAACCGGACTTTTCGCGGAAAGACCGCCCGGCTAAACCTTGGCCGGTTCGAGGAGCGTCCACACAGAGGATTTTCCGACGAGCCGAGCAAGAGCTGATCCCTGCTCGTTGAAAGATACGTACCGCGCAAGCATCAGGATCTGGCTCGTGCACACTTAGTAACCAAGTGAGATGGCGGGTGGGTGCCCGAGTAATCCCGAGCCAATGTATGGTTGGCCGCATAGAGGACAAGTTCCCAATTCGCGCGCCGGGGGCGCTGCTGGGCGCCGGAAAAAAAGAAAAGAAAAAAAAGGCCTCACAGTTTTCCCTCGACAAACAACAACCGAAAAAAGTTTCTCCCTTGTTCCTCCCAATCCTCCAATCTTCACGATCCTCTTCGCGCGGTGCTTCGTGTCAAGTCCTCCTCTCCACTCGGCCTTTTTGTCTGTTTTTTTTTCTTCTTCCCGGTTCATACATCACATCACACACAATGGCTTCCTCTCTGCCCTCCACCGGCTCGACCAAGGTCGACGCCGTCGTCGAGAAGGCTGCTGCCAACGCCCCTGGCCAGCTGTCCGGCCTCGCCCTCTACTCCAGATTCGCCCTTGCCGGTGCCGTCTGCTGCTCCGTCACCCACGGTGCCCTCACCCCCGTCGATGTGTAGGTTTTTTTCCCCCTCCCATTCTCTACTTGTCGGCTGTTGCGAGTTTCCGTCATCGATCCCGATCGGCCCTGCGGTGTTTTCGCGCAAGGGCCGGACGAAAACTTGGTTTGCCGAGGGAGCTCCGGCCCATCGCGACGGACAGAACACGCACCATTGGCACTGGCTAACAATGTCAACAGCGTCAAGACCAGAATCCAGCTTGACCCCGCGACCTACAACCGCGGCATGATCGGTGGTTTCCGCCAGGTCATCCAGTCCGAGGGTGCCGGCGCTCTGCTCACCGGTTTCGGCCCTACCGCCGCCGGCTACTTCCTCCAGGGCTCCCTGAAGTTCGGAGGATACGAGTTCTTCAAGCAGCAGTCCATCAACCTGATTGGCTACGAGAACGCCGTCAACAACCGCACCGCCGTCTACCTCGCCTCGTCCGCCGCCGCCGAGTTCTTCGCCGACATTGCCCTGTGCCCCCTCGAGGCCACCCGTATCCGTCTCGTCTCCGAGCCCACCTACGCCTCTGGCCTGATCTCGGGCTTCGGCAAGATGCTCAAGAACGAGGGTGTCGGCGCCTTCTACGCCGGATTCGGCCCCATTCTGTTCAAGCAGTAAGTCCCCATGCCCGTCCTCACCCGTCCCGACCCACACACCGGTGGAGGGGAAAAGAGAGACGGCAGCAAACTGACGCGGATGTTTAGGATCCCCTACACCATGTCCAAGTTCGTCGTCTACGAGAAGGTCTCGGAGGCCATCTTCCGTAGCTACCCCAAGAACACCCTCTCGGACGGTGCTCAGACTGCCGTCAACCTCGGCTCCGGTCTCATTGCCGGTTTCGCCGCTGCCATCGTCTCGCAGCCCGCCGACACGATGCTCTCCAAGATCAACAAGACCAAGGGCCTCCCCGGTGAAGGCACCACCTCCCGCCTGGTCAAGATCGCCAAGGAGCTCGGCATCCGCGGCTCCTACACCGGTATCGGTGCCCGTCTCTTCATGGTCGGTACCCTCACTGCCGGTCAGTTCGCCATCTACGGCGACCTGAAGAAGGCCCTCGGTGCCACCGGCGGTGTCGAGATCTCCAAATAAGCGAGTCGACGGCGAGCCGTGGTTGAGGGTGAAGAAGGTTGGGTGCTGATTTCAGGAGGAGGGGGAGACGGAAGGCAGTGACGACGTTATCTTGGTTGCCTCAGCCGGACCATCCCTCTCAGCCTGGATTCGGAGTGTTATATCCGGGCATGATGACGGCGGGGACAACAACACATTCATGATGATATCCTCGCGGCTGCTTGCTTCGGGCCCCCGCAATAGAAGCTTTTGTTATTTCATTTTGTACGACGACAACAAAAGAAGGGCTATAGGGGCAACGATTCGGCCCGGGAAGCTTCTTTGTTTTATCCGTTTGGGAAAGAGTCTTTTGGGGATGGGGACTCGGGAAAGAAGTCTTTTTCTCAACAAACTGCCTATCGTTAGACGCAATAGAGCAATGATAGACGGAAAGATGGCTGGCCCGCCGGAGGGGTTGTATAATAGTCGCTCTGTAGTTTTTTTTCTTGCAATCATAGACTCTTTGCATACATGTGTGTGTATACGACTTTGCAGACGGCATGTGACTGATGGGTTGCTTAGAGTCATGTCCTGACCCAGCGGCTCGAGAGGCAGGGTTGGAAGTATCACATGTTTACGATGATATAGGTGGAGTATTCTTTTTTTTTATCTTTTTTCATTTGTGACGCAGGTGAATTGAATTTGGACGTCCAAGCGTCCCAGGAACAGACAGGGTCGTGCAGCCTAGGTACATGGGACTTTGGGCCTGGGCGACGGGTAGAGATGATGTTGAAAAAACCAAGCAAAGAAGTAAAATAGATAGCAATAGGCGGTATTCTGAACAGCGGCGCTCATCGAACGTGGAGCGCAGAACAGCACGGAGAAGGGGGGAGGCCGGTCCGGAACCTTCGACCGACCGCTCCCGTTGGGAGAGCGAAGAGGAAAGAAAAACACGGGGGGGGCGATATCAGACAGGTCGTCCCCAGCCTTTTCCATTTTCTTTACCAGCATCAAAAAATGGATCAAAAGATTGGGGGAAAGAGAGGAGGGAAAACACGGGCACAAGCAATTGGGCGGAAACCGCCTCACTTGCTTACCGGAAGAGACGGCGGGTAGGGGGAGGAGGGAGGTTGGGCGAAGCGGGTACGGTTTAGCGATCGACCGCCGCTGTGTGTTTCTGTGGCTCCCACGCGCCCCCCACCGCCGACAATACCACCACCACGCCGTGTTTTGGCCCGGCAACGCAAGTAAACAAACCGGGGGTGGGCGAAGGAGCACCTGTTGGGGGGGGGGGAAGGTTTCCAGCCACTCCCGTCACTTTGTCAGTGCAATTGCCGAGCCAGGACGCCGTCGTTCGACGCGGAAGAGAGGACGCAGCAACACATCACCTCTCACCGCTGCCCAAAGGGTCTCTCTCTTTTTCTTTTGGGAAGAACCCACTGTTTGGGCCGCTGGACCAACCACTGCGGGACAACGAAGCACATATCAACCCAGAAACTCAAGGTGCTCCTTGTTCTCTGGCCTTTTATCTCTACTTTTTTTAACATCTCGACCATTTGTTTACTCTCTTCCACACTCTGGCCTACATTCCACCACTTCCCAGCCGCTTGGTTGCTCCCTCGACCCGTCCCGAGCCGAGCATACACACACACACACGCACATTTCCAACTATTGAGGATCCTCATTCCTCGCCCTTTCCCCATCCTCCTCTCCCCCCAGAGACAAGAGAGACAACGGGAGGGTCCCGTCCCAACAATCCCAGCCGTCCGGAAGCCCGCTTTTTTGGGTTATAGCCTTTCTTCGTTTCCGTCTTCGGGTCCCCTCTTCTCCGTCGTCACCGCGCACGAGGCCCCGCCGAACCCGAAGTCATGGACGACAACGACAAGGTCCCCGCCAAGCCCGAGGCGGAGGCGGACGAGGTTCCGCCCGCGGTCGAGGCCGAAGCCGACAAGGAGGAGGACGTGACGGCTCCCGAGCCTGTTTCTGAGCCTGCGGTCGAGGCTGAGGAGACGGAGACTGCTGCAGAATCAACAGATACCCCTGACGAAAAGGAGGCCGATGTGGAAGTGGAAGCTGAAGCTGAAGTAGAAGCTCAAGCTGAAGCAGATGCTGAAGTAGAAACTGAAGCTGAACCTGAAGCTGAAGCTGAGGTCGTCCCAGCAGAAGACGACACGCCGGCTGCAGACGACGCCGACAATGACATCACACTAGACGAGCCCGACCAGGCGGACGCCAAATCGGAAAAGGATCTCGCGGAACAGAGTCCCGAGCTAGAGCCCGCGGACGATGCCGACCCACAGGAGCCAGAGCCCGAGTCCGAGCCACCGTCCCAAAATGAACCTCAACAGGTCGTCGAGGAGGAGGCGCCGGGTCCGGAAGAGCCCCAACCTCGGGTCGAGGAAGAACCCGAAGAGGAAGAACCATCTCACGAGGAGCCCAACGCGGAATCCGTGGCCGAGGTCGAGGCTGAAGAAGATGCTGAGCGGGGAAGATCACTCCAGCCGGCGGCTGAAATCACATCTACCGCCGACGAGGCCAGCCGCTCTTCCTCCTCTCTCCGCCGCGCCTCCGGACACACCGAGGCCCTCATCCACGCCGCCGCCAAGGAGGTCCTTGAGCGCCTCGAGGCCCAGACCATGGAGACCATCAGGAACAGATCACACTCCCGCCAGGACTCCGCCGGGTCTACCAACCACGGGACCGAGCTGCACTACGACCTCCGCTCTGGAGAAAGCCGCCGCGAGTCCTACAAAACCGAGTCGCGCGCGAGTCGCCGCGAGTCTTACGACACCCGACCCCGAAGCAGTCGTCGCGAGAGCGAGTTCCGCCCTCCTTCTGTGCATGCCGAGGACGCCGCCGATAGCTCCTCCCAGCACGGCGACTCGGACGTGTTCAGCGACCGCAGCCCCCGCAGCTCGCTGGGCTCCTTCGACGGCCATGTCGACTACCACAAGGACGCGAGCCACCGCTCCTCCAAGCGCTCCTCACGCAACATGCCCGACGACGTGTCCATCTCCGAGATGTCCTACTACGACAAGGAGGAGTTCGTTCCCACCATCCGCGGCACCAACCGCATGCCCTTCCGCTCCCCCTCGGACGTTCGGGCACTGCAGTACTCCTCGCCGGCCGCCTCCGTGACGGGCTCCTACTCACCGCGCTCCGCCAAGCGCGCTCAGATGCCCACCATCTCCCGCCTCGGCAGTCCCACCGTGTCCGGGCAATACAGCACCAAAGGCCGCAAGACGCCCGCCCGCTTCAACCCCAAGAAGGAGCCCGCGCCCCTCGTGCTGCTTCATGTCACCCTCCTTCCCCTCCGCTGGCAATGGGCCGAGATCCTCGAGCAGACGCCCTCCGATACTCTGTCTCCCGAGGCCAAGACCCTGCGCGAGGCCTGGCACCACCTCCACGACCGCGTCGCCGACACCGTCTGCGAGCGCGGCATCCTGCTCTCCCACCCGCAGGAGGACTACGAGCTCCTCGAGGAGCGTCTGCTCGAGGCCCTCGACCTGCCCCTGCGCCGGCGAGGCCGCGTCCTCGAGTGCGGCCACTACATCGGCCCCTCCAACGAGATGACGCTCGGCGAGGACGACGACAGCGACGAGGACGAGTACGACGAGGACGCCAGGCGGAGGACCGGCGCGCTGGTCAAGACCCACTGGTGCCACACGTGCCGCCACGACATCCGCTACGAGTCGCTGGGCCCCGGCAAGATCTTCCGCATCAAGGTCTACGCCAGCAACGGCCTGATGAGGACAGGCGCCTGGGCCGCCTGCTGGAAGGAGATGGAGCGCGTCGACGTCGAGATCGAGCCCATTGTCGGGTCGGCCCTCTTGGACGAGCTGGAGCGCCTCGTCTTCGCCCAGTCGCAGCAGCTGCAGCTCGTCAAGCACGACCCCGCCATCCTCGAGTCCACCGAGGGCAGGGACATGCCCGAGGACCGTGGCATGTCCGACTTTGACCGCGGCGTGCCCTCCATGGAACGCGACATGCGCTCCCTGGACCGCGGCATCCCCGCCCTGGAGGAGCCGCCCCGGCGCGAGCCGTCCCACTTGGAGGAGAACAACCTCCTCGAGCCCAGCTACGTGGATCGCGAGGCCCACATCGCAGCCTCTTCGCCCTCCCCGGCTGCCGGCGACGCCCGGTCTCCCTCGCCTATTCCCGACTACGACGAAAGCGAGGAGCGCCGCCTCCGCGACGAGGAACGCATGCGGGAGATCTACGGCCACGTGCCGCCGTCCGAGCCCCAGCACCACGAGCCGGCCCCCGAGTCCCCCCACTCGGAGTCGCATCACGAGTCCTTCTCGGCCCGGTCCCCGTCGCCGCACCCTTCCTCCCCTGCTCCTCAGCAGCAGCCCGAGCCGCAACAGGCGCAGTCCCAGCAGTATCCACCCCACCAGCCCGCCGGCCCGGAGGCGGCCTACCCCCCGCGGCCGCAGGGTTTCCAGAACGCCGGGCTCGGCGAGCTGCTCCTCGAGGCGGCGCGCGTCTTCATGCAAGACAAGAAGAACCTGGCCATCGTCGTCATGGGCCTGCTCGTGCTGTTCATGGTGACCCGGCCCGCGCCGAGGGAGGTCAGGGACTGGGACGGCAAGTTCGTCGAGCACGTCGCGCCCATGGTGTCAGAGCCACCGTCGGCGGCGGCGGCGGCGGCGCCTCCGTTGATGGAGACGGTCCAGGCCATTGTCGAGTCGGTCGCGTCGTCCGATGAGGCCCCAGAACAGGTTGTTGCTGTGGAGTCGACGGCCCCCGACGTCGAGGCAGCCGAGCACGACGTCCGGGAGGAGGAGGAGGAGGTCCCGGTGGCAGAAACAACCGCTTCTGTTGCCGATGAGGAGCCTGCTGAAAGTACCTCGGCGTCAGCCACGTCGCAGACGTCTGCTGTGGAAGAAGAGATGCCCGCGTCTGAGGAGGTGATGGCTCCCCCTGCCCCTACCCTGGCTCACGAAACCATCATCACCAGGGAGCTGGTCCGTATCATCGAGACGGTGACGGAGACTGTCAAAGCTGTCATTACCGAGACGGAGGTCGTCAGGGTTCAGGCTACGTCCAGCGTAGTGCCTGAGGTCTCTGTTGAGGAGGAAGCTGCTGCTGCTCAGGCGGAGACGCCTACCGAAGATGCTACCGTCGAAGAGGCCCCAGCCACCGAGACGGTTTTGACTGTTGAGGAACCCGTGGACGAACAGGTCGTCAGAGACCAAGAGGTTGCGGAGGATGGACAGGTTGTCAAAGACCAAGAGGATGTGGAGGACGAGCACGACGAGCTCTGATGTCGATAATGATCTTTCGAGGTGAAAAATATGAGAAAGAGGCGCACACGAGATGAACGACTACAGGAACAAAGCCAATGTGAAGAATGTCTGAAAGAGATATGAGAAAGGGGTACGTTGGTGAATGAAGCGAGGCCTGGGATGTCTGGCTTTTTGCTTTTCTGTTGAAGCATTTTGGAACGATGGTTACAGCAAGCAAGCAAGCAAGCCAGCTTTGAAAAGAAGACTGTGATTTCCGGTTGTTTTTGTTGTTGGTATACGGCTACGGCATTTGGAGGGCGTTTGCGAAGGTTTGCAGTTTGAGTACTGTAGATAGACAACGTAAATTTGGTCAACCTCTGCACACTGCTGTTTTGACACAGGTGAAAGTAAATCTTTGTCATGGAATATCGTTGAATGCTCGGCTTCTAATCAATCCTGAAAGAACAGCATACGCCCGCCTTTATAGCCATTCTAAACCCTCTTCATGGGAAAAGCAAAGTCCCCTAAATTCTCATCAGACACGAATCCCTGCTTCGGCCCCTGAGAGAAAAGGTCTCCGCTAAACATATCGCCCATCCCCGTGCTGAATCCAGCAAACAACTCCTGCTGCTCGCGCGAGAAATCCGCGATTGTCAAGTGGTTTTCATTCTCAGCTAGCTCGATTGCTCTGCTGAAGCCCTTCTCCGTGTCCGGTACGGCGCCGACGCTGATCAAGAACCGGACCATGTCAAGCCGGCCATGTGCGGTTCGGCCCTCCTCGACCGCGGGCGCAGCGTTGACGTCCGCTCCGTGGTCGATTAACTGTTGGGCAATGCTGATATCGCCGCTGATAGCTGCACCTTGAAGTGCTGTGATGCCGCCTTTCTTTGCTGGGGGCGCGTGGACATCTGCGCCGACCGACAACAGAAGTTCGACCATTGCAGGTGTGTCTGCAGGCCTCATCCCGCATGCCGCCGCTTGCAGAGCTGTCCGGCCAAATTCATCACCCGGGGCAGCGTTGACTTGCGCCCCGTACTTGAGCAGTAGGCGAGCATAATCCAAGTTTCCAACTTCGGCTGCAACCTGCAGTGGCGTCTTTTGGCCACAATCAAACTGATCTTTGTCCTCGATTCGAGCTTCTGCTTGCAGTGCTAGATCGAGGCATTTGCTGGCAGGCTTGGAAAGCTGGCGGACAAGAAGATGGAGGACATTTCCATAATCACCACCTGGACGGTTGATCGGTGCGCCTCGAGACAGCCAGTCTCGGAATCCCTTAGTAGACAAATATGAACTGGAATAGGTGAATGCCTCGAGAACAGTCATACCCCTCTGCTTGGCGGGAGGTGCTCTGACATCAGCTTTGGCATCTAGAAGACACTTTGCGATGTCATCGTGACCAGATTCAACAGCTGTTTGCAAAGCCGTGCGGCCGCCATCGTCATGCGCGGGAGCGTTCGCATCCGCGCCTTGGTCGAGTAAGAATTGTACCACCAGCAGTGCCCCTCTTGATGACGCCTCTTGTAAAGCATTCTTGCCATGGACCCCGTAAAGATTAATAGGGGCTCCCATGTCGAGGAGGAGGTCGCAGCCAGTCAGGTCACCATGCCCAGCGGCAAGTGCTAGTGCAGGAGCACCGAAGACACCCGACTGATATCTTCGTATAATACAATAGATGAATGAAGCATGATCCCGCCAATGTCGGATATGATGACTTAGTCGCAATAGCATGACTTCATTTAAATGAGCTCCGGCTTTGAGTAAGAGGAGGAGAATATCGACGTCGGCGTGTTCAGTAGCCAGTTGTAGCGGCGCACTTCGTAATAGTTGAGGGTCGACATCCCCAAAGATGTGGCTCCCAGTGTGACGATTTCTCGCATCGGGGTCTACCCCACGTCGAAGCAGCGTTCTCACAGCCAAATTGTTTCCCAACTTGACAGCTTGGCATAAAACAGTATCCAATGACTTTTCTTGGATACTATTGTGGTCAAGCAGTATCTTCGAGAGTGCTTGGCTGCCTGACGCTGCGGCATCGACCATGTCGTCCAATAGTCTTCTGCATCGGGTTAACAATCGACGAAGCATTGGGAATCCACCACTCCCTTCTCTAATATCTTTGAAGGACAAAAGTTCCTTCAACTTTTCCGAATCCACGGAAAATTCATGGTCCATATCGACGCCCTCTGGGAGTAGGATTTCTGCGCTTCTAATACCTTCAGTTTGCAATGCAACGGTGAGGGCATTGGAAATCTCGTCTCTGTCCGGTGTGCGGCCTTGCGTGGAACCAAGTTTAAGAAAGTATTTGAGGATTTTGGATTTCCGGCTGTAGATAGCCTGTACCAAGGGCGTGACTTTGCGCTTCAGCTCCCTGTGCGTGATCGTCGCAACGGTGTCTACCTCAGCGCCCCGGCCAATAAACATGTCCACAAGGTCGATTGAGCCGCCATGGATAATGGCAGCATGAAGTAACTGCCCGCATGCTTTCTTGGAAATGTGTACACTTTCGTCTCTGTAAATTTCTATGATCTGTAAGATCATCTTACCTTCGGGTCTGTTCTTCAGGTACTGTCGCCTATCCTGAGCTGATACTTGTAGAATGGCTTCTGCAAAGGCATTGGAAATTGCCGGAGATTTCTGCAGGTAGGAGGATAGTTGATCCTTGACCCCCAACTGAACTACCCATTCGCAGAAACCGTAGAATTTCATGTCAACCATGGAGTTGTTACAAGAGCGGTGTATGACAGTTGCAAATAACAAATAAAGAATCCGGTGGTCAGTCTGGATAAGAGACGCCAGACCCTTTGTGCTGTAAGAGCGAGTCGAGTTGTTTCGGTGAAGAAATTGATCCAGTAGCGTTGAAATCAGTCTATGTATGTCAGAAGTCGACTGCATCGCACGTAGACGGAGAGAGGTAATGTTTCGATGAAGTCTGATTCCTGCAGAATTGTCGACCAGTTGCTGCAAACGAACCATATTGTCTCTAATAAAGGAATCGCTGGTCTCCATGTTGTTGATAGTACTGCACACTTCTACTCTCTTAGTAAGAAAACGTCCCATCCACAAGGTAAACATGCATACCAGGTAAAAGAAGAAACGTCGACATTGAAAGATTGCTTGACCATATATTACGACCTAGTTTGGGTGAAGGGCAAGCATATGGCAAATTGAATGCGGAAAGGTTGATGTCAGTGAAACACATTGGGATTGAACGAGTCGATTGATACTGGTAATTCGTCATAGGTGGGTATATATTGCCTTCGAAGTCCCATGATGGGCTTAGTCGAGTCTCCGTATCGGTGATAACGGTCTCAAAGTCGTTCAGTGACCCAGCACAATATGATGCTTCGGCAGTTCCCAGCTTTGGCGTGCTCACATCAACGTTCTCCAGATCGAAATGGGGTATCCACTCAGTGGGATCGGGGATTAGATCGTTGGTGTTGTCTCCAATCGAAATGTTGGCGTTTCTAGTGGCTTTATCTGTGGAGCAAGGGCTTGCATTCGGGCATTGGGTAAGTCGTGGGATTGGTGTACGAATCTCCAGGCGGTGTTTGTTCACAGTGTTTATGCCCAAGTCTGCGCTCTTGTCAGTAACATCCTGATGCTATGTCTTGAGCGAGATACTCGCCGATCACGACCGCATCGCCAGTTAGATCTCGGCCCCGAGCTCCAGAGTAACGACGCATCTCCCTCGCCAGACAATTGGCGTCGATCTGGCGGCCATTGAGGAATACATCTGGTCTTTTGCAATCGGCTTCCATCTTTTGGACCACTCTTGTAACAGCAGTCCATTCTTTAGCACGAAGCTTTTTCAGTCCTGAATATCTGCTTGTGAACTGTCTGATCCTAAAAGTTTTGTCAATATTTCCAAATACAGACTTCATGATGGACTTTGAAGGCGTATGTGATTCTCACGCCATGTTCATCATGCATGATTTTGATCGTTTCTTCGGCAGGCTTGTCTTCCATCACGTACAACCGAGTAAGTTCATCGGCCCATCGCGGCCAGTCGACAGACATTGTTAGTAGAAGGCTGTGAATAGAGAAATTGCAATGAGAAAATCGCGAGTTAAGGAAACTGTTGGTTTCACCAGGATGGTGATACGGTTAACCGTACGTATCAATAGGCAGTGACAAATAATAGGGGTAAATACTGGTTCTGAATTATACGTAAAGAAGGAAAAACTATTGTGGGATTACGCGGCGAATTCACCACGTAATATCCCTGTAGATCTAGTAGATCCACAGCAAATTAGCTATAGTTATTCTAACTAATTAGTATTAATCTATATTACTAATATCTAGGTAATAGTTAATATTATAACACTAGTAACCTTCTAAAGTGCTATAAATTATCCTTATTTTCTAGTTATTTATAAAGGGCCTAAAAACGTAATAAAAACAAAAAGCTAAAAAGTATTTAATACTTTTTATATATATAATTTATTATATATATAAAACCTATTTATTTATTTATATCCCTAATTAACTATTATTAATTAACTACTCTAGCGCCTTATTTAGTAATAACTTTATAAATCTATTTACTAAGTTATCCTCCCCTTATATTTATTAGATCTTATAGATCTTATGTTACTTATATAACTAGTAAAGCACTATAATATTAATTATAAGTTACTTCTTTTTAGTAGTACTAAGCTTTATAAGGTATTTATAGAGGGAGTATAAGTTTATATAAAGGATTATTAAGATTTATAGTAACTTAAGGTAGTTAGTAATTATTATAAGTATAGTACTAATTATATAGGTAATGTTAGCACTAGTAACTATACTATAGACTTTAGAGGCTAGTATACTATATATAACTTTTTTATACTTTATTAAGCTAAAGTAGATAATATTACTAGTAAGTATAAATTTCTTATTATTAGTAGTAAGTTATATAATATTACTTTTATTAGTAAGTATAATAATAAAGCTAAGTTATAAAGTAAAATTATAGTTATTTATAAATAAGCTATTAATAAAGATAAAAAGCTTTATAGTTATAAGGTTAATTAGCTAAAAAAGCAGGCTATAGTTAAGGTAACTTATTTACTACTTAATTTAGTAGTTAAGAGCCTTAATCTCCTCCTCTATAGGCTCTTAGTGTTATATAGTAACTAAATAATTAAAGTAAGCCTTAGGTTAGTAAATTAATATAATATACGCCCTATAGGCCTTTTACTAAATAAAATCTTACTTAGTAGTAAGTAAATTTATGTTAATAGGCTAAAGCTTTTTACTTTAATCTTTTTAGTAAAAATTTATTTTACTATTATAGCTAAAGGAAAGTATACTACTATTAAAAGTAATAAAATTATTAATAGTTAATAGTTACTTAGGCTTTATAGTAAAAGTTACCTTCTTAAGCTCCTTCTCCTTATAAGTAAAAAATCTATTATTTATAAGGCTAATTATATTATCTATTTATATACTAATAAGGCTAAAATCTTTATTATTAGGTAGTAAAATAAGTAAGTAGGGGTTAAAAGTTAATAAATTTATCTAGAGATTCTCTTTATAATAGTAATTATATATAGCCTACTAGTAGGTGTCTACCTTAGTAATACTATAAAGTAGCTTTATTACCTTTATAATAAAGTTACTAAAGTAAAGATAGTAAATTTATATAAGAAGTCTTATAAGAATAATATAGTTAAGTAGTATTATAGATTAAGTATATACCTAAGTAATATTATATAACTAGAGGTAAAATCTATATTAAAGAAGTAAAGAAGTAAGGGTAAAAATAAGTTACTAAGCTATCTATTAGATAGTAAGTAACTATATAAGGATTATCTTCTTACTATTATTAGTATAACCTTAAATAACTAACTATAATTTTTTATATAGTTACTTATTTTTCCTTTTAACCTTATATACTATATATAACTTAAAGATCTATATATTACTATACGTTTTCTTATTATAAGTAATAATATAAAATACACTATAGTTAATAAGGGCTTTTACTTTTACCTTATTAAATTCTTTAAAGGGCTTACTAGGCGTAGTAATAATACCTTTTTTATATAATTTAATAGTAAGTATATAGTTAGCTTTCTCCTTTATAGTAAGGTATATATTAAAGATATTAATAGTAAGGTGTATTTTATAAAAAAAGGTAGTAATTAGGTTTTTTTATAGGCAGCTATAGCCTTATTATAGGGGCAGCCTATTATTAATAATAATAGTATTATATACTTCTTTTATAAATTTACTAGTTATTATAGGTTCTTCTCCTTACGCTTATATAAGATTATTACCTCCTTTAGCTATTATAAGTAGTAGCACTAATTAGCCTTCTTTTTATACTATATAGTATAGCTTTACTATAGTAATATAAAAATTATATAGGCTATAAAGTAATTTAATAGTATAAGTAGTACTATTATTAGTAAGTAGGTAAAATAGGCCCTACTAGCTGTCTTTCTTATACTATATATAGATAAGTAATTAAAGGGGTAGCGCTATAGTATTTATTATATTTAAGCTATTATATATTACTAGCGTATTATATACTTATCTCTTTATATAAATTTACTACACTATATTTATAGCCTTTTTTACTA